TCGACCGACCGACCGCTCCTTCCCATCAGGATTCCGCGTCTCTGCTTCTCGCACCCTACAGCCGCAAATTCGGATCTACGTCTGTTATCTCGTCCATAAAACTCTTACCTGACAGCGCAGATACGAGGGCGAGGCTCTCGAGGGTAGCAAGGGTTTGCACAGATTTCTTCGAAGGCAGTTGTAGCCGGGCCTTCACTGTACCCCGAACCTGCACAAAAACGCCAAGTCTGGAAAAAATTCTTGAACGTCGGTTCCTATTCCTAAAACGGAAGAGTTTGCACCACTGTACAGTGTGAGTCTGATGCTCGCAGCGCCGTCGTAACTTTGAGTGCAACTCGCCTCTGAGGAGTCGTCCGAAGGCCTCTGAACTGCACACTTGAGAATGAGCCCCTTTTCAGTGCCGACAAAGACGGTGGTAGCGGAAACTTCTAGAGAGGTAATCCTCTCCCCCTTCCCCAGATCCAATACTGGAACGGCCCGAAACGGATCCATCTTGAGGGCTGCAGAGTAGGCGCTAGAGGACCACGCACAGGGATGAGATCGGGAGTTGCGCACTCATCTAGCAAGCCCAGGCAACCTCAACGGACCACCCCAAGAGCATGCGGTTGACGACGCTGTGAAAGGGCTGATGACCCCTGCCTTGAGGCAGCTTCGTCATCGAGTCGTACGGGCCGAACCCTAGTCCAAGACACCTCAGAAACAATGGGGAAGACCAAGAAAAATCGAGATTTTCCCCTGCGCTTGCCTGCCTGTCGCGCACGCGGAAGGGAGGAAGGAGTACAGGAGGTACAGGTGTGCCTCTAGCCGACCGAAGACCACACAGATCTCGAGCGCAAACTCGAAACTCCTGTCCTAATCGAAAAGACTGAACTCCCTAACACGCCCAGTCCGAAGCAGAAGCCACACAAAATTCAAAGCCCCAGAGGGGCCTCCATTCCCGAACGCTCACCCCGAAAACAGCCGAGGGTTGTTCACCGACCGACGGCCGACCCCCCGTGTTGCACGCGACTGCCCTGTATTTTTGCATGCGTTCTCCATGAGCTACCTGCCTCACACTTCCCCTATTGGTTGTTAATCCTGCGTAGGCCCTTGGGACTTACCATTATATGCCAATAAAACTCGCAGAACGCTGCAGCACGACTGGCATTTGAAGCTCGAAACACTGCGTTGCTGCTGCCACGATGCTGCTACTACTACCCGGCGTGGTATGTACGTGTGTGCGCTTCAAAGGGCGAAAAATAACTGCTTCCTTACATGTGTCATGCACGAACATAGGCAATACACCAAAACTACGCTTGTTTCGGGCCCTTCGCGCGCGCGCGCCGTACGCGCAGTGATCGGCAAGCATGCAGCTGTCACACTTCCGACTTGTCTCAGAAGTGCATGCGTACCAGACAATACCGAGTTTGTGAAGGCCGCTCCAACGCACTCCCGTGGCTGCCTACAACCAAAGCATTAAGTTGCCATGAGTAGCTAGGGCTACTTAGTGCAGCGAGGGGCGGATTTCTAGCCGAGCGTCCAGTTTGTTCAGTAGGACTTTGCCACACCCTGGGAAGCTGTAGCAGTATCGAGGGCACACTCAAGACGTTCAGTGAACATAAAAGGGTGCCCTCTTATGCAGGCAGTGGCGCCCTGTCGTGGGCCTCTTTCTCCTGCATCAAGAGCTCCCGAACTAGAGCCTTTCTTTGCAGTACGAAGTAAACGCCATCTGTGTGAAGATGCGGGCACTTACACCGTGAACTCCCCTCTTTGCCGGTCTTGTGCTCAGTTTCTTTCAGCTTTCAGGGAGTAGGACCGACACTATACCGCCAAAAGCCCTCACTTCCTACGAGGTTTCGGCGAGTACCCGTGGGGCCGGAAGGCAGCGCGCGTCGAATGAAAAAGGGTGGCTGTGCACCGAGTACTTTGTGTCTGTTCCTATCTAGCCTTGGCGAGAAACAGCGTGTCTCGCAGCCAGTAAAGCTTACCAGAGTGGGCCCTGTGCGACGGCGGCCATGGCGCTCCCGCTGCCCGCCTAGCTGCCTGTTTCATTGGCGCAAAGCATGTTCCACGTCTCCTCCTCTGTATATGACTCCCTCTTAGATTGACAAAGAGGGGTGAAGAGATGAATACAAGAATCGGCACACACGCCAATCGTGGGGCAGGCGATGAGCCTCGACCTCCCACAACGGCAAACACCGTAAGAACTGCAACAGGGTGCATACACATCCCACGTAAGATTCAAGGCCATGGTTTTGTGGATTTTCGTCTACACAAGCTTCAGGCTTTGATAAAAAACACCCTCGAGGGTACCCGTCACCCCCACAAGCCCGCCATTCAGAAAAAGGGCCGGGCTAGCGCAAATAGCGAAGCAGAAAGGCCGCACTGCTCTTTCTGCCTTCTCAGAAGGGGCTTCCATAGACCAGAATGTAGCGGTTTGTAGTAAATGAGCCACGGCGCAGTAAAATGGTAGGTTCAGTTGTCTTTCTAGATAGATGACTGACGGGCAGGCCCACCGGTGCGATAGGCAGCAGCTGGTCGTACAAGGGTGTCTCAGGGATAAAAAAAAGTGCATTCAAGTCTTGCACTGTGCCGCTCTTCTCCTGCCTAGTGATGCTTGCCATTTTCTATCGGGGCCTTTTCATCTGCCAGCATTCCTTTTTCTGATGGATCTTGCTGCTTTCCTTTGGGTCTGTTGACGGCCAATGGCATTGAAAGCTGGCTAAATGATCTAGTTGCTCTTTTTTCTCCCTCCTTTCCTATCTCGCATGACCACCTCCACAGACTTAGGCCCCCCTTACATATGCTTGTATCTACCTGGCTTTGTCTTTCCGTGTACGTGTGTGCATATGTATGCATATATACATATATATTTATATTTATAGCTACGTATATGTGTATGTGCCTCTCTATCTCCCGCGCTTCCCCTTTTTGTTGTAAAATTGTAAAATTAGTTGCTTTGCATCCGCTAGAGTCCTCCGCCTTCTGCGTTGCATGGCGACTGCGTCGGCATCTCCCTTCCCGGTTGCCTCGTGCGCACCTGTCGATGCCTCGTGTGCTTGTCTGCAGGCACAGCGCCTGCATGCCACTGGTTGGATCCATGAATTGTGTCAGCCTGTTGGCTCTGTTACTGCGTTAGAGAAGTGCTCGGCAGCCCTCTGTGTTGGAGTGGCCTCCCAGATCCAAGCAGAATTTCAAGGGGTAGAGAAAACGGCCTAGAGCCATGGAGTTATGCGCATGCAGTGCACAGCTTGGGGGCAGCCCATGTGTTCCAAGCACAACTCTAGCACACACTGCAGGACGGAAAGACATAGAGGGATAAGGAAATAGCGGCCGGCAAGGGCATGTCAGCCGCGCAGAAGAACGCTCAGTCGCCCATCGAGAGATAGACGGGGGTTGGTTGGCTGGCTGGAGTGCAAGCATTATTCAACGGCCTCAGGGGACGGGAGCAGGGGACTGATCAATGGAAGCAGCACGAAGAGGGCACACCCTCCTTGAGCAGGCATGAGTTTCTCCGAGAGTTACAGATGCCATGGTTGTAGAGAGAGAGGCCTAGGCATGGCTGCACGCAGCAGCCATCGAGAGCGCACAAACAGGAAGACTGTGGGCCCCAGACAGTGAGCGAGTGATTCACTGCAACATCAGCGAAACCTTCCCGTCAAAATCAATAGAAAGACAGTATGGAGCCTCAAGCAGCAATAGTTAGGGAAATCACGGGAGACCCTCCTATAAAGAGACACTACGCTAAACTCGTATTATACATATAGGTACATCTTTATGTGAATATCGAGGCTTTTTCGTGCCTGCTCGTGCCTCATCTACGCATCTCAACAGGTCTAATGACTGGGCATTGGTGCTAAGAGAGAGGACACGCAGTGCAGTGTGTCTAAGTCGGTGTCTCTGAATGCGCTTGTCTTCCCTGCTCGCATAGAGACGCAACTGCAGGAACGTGGCAACCAAGCCAGCAGCCGCGAAACGCGCAAATGCCAGCGCTTCTTAAAGGGTTCCCCTACGCTTGCTGCTCTCAACCCTCGTCCTGTCTGTATAGATGCGGTAGAGCGGCTCAAAGAGTTCAAGTTTGCTAGTTTGGTTTGCGGTTCTTGGAGCCCTTAGAGCTGCTCTGCCAACTTATAGTAGAAGGGCGAAATTCAGGCTTGGATCAGCGAGGCTTTTTGCGCGTCCAGCTCACTGTGCGACAGTTTTAAGGAAACTATACTTAGAACGGTTCGGCGTTCCGTGAGTTCGAGTTTTCCCGCTGCTTTAGGAGCAGCAACGATTTCAGTCTCGCTGTTTCGCGCTGCCTCTCTAGCTCCTCTGCTTGAAGCATCTGCTTCTCAGTTTGTTCCTGTAGCTGTTGAAGCGATACCATGGTCTGAAGCGTACAGCAGTCGGGCTCCTGCGGCAGCAGGCTTAGCGACTGCTGCTCCCGTTGTTGCTGCTGCAGCTTTAGCGACTGCTGCTCCCGTGGCTGCTGCTGCAGCTTTAGCGACTGCTGCTCCCGTTCTTGCTGCTGCAGGCTAAGCGACTGCTGCTCCCGTGGCTGCTGCTCCCGTTGTTGCTGCTGCAACTTTAGCGACTGCTGCTCCCGTTGTTGCTGCTGCTCCCGTTCTTGCTGCTGCAGCTTTAGCGACTGCTGCTCCCGTTCTTGCTGCTGCAGCTTTAGCGACTGCTGCTCCCGTTGTTGCTGCTGCTCCCGTTCTTGCTGCTGCAGCTTTAGCGACTGCTGCTCCCGTTCTTGCTGCTGCTCCTGTTGTTGCTGCTGCAGCTTTAGCGACTGCTGCTCCCGTTCTTGCTGCTGCAGGCTTAGCGACTGCTGCTCCCGTTGTGGCTGCTGCACTTGTTCCAGTAATTGCCGCAGGTGCTCCTGGTGGTGCCGTTGGTGAAGCTGCTTCATAAGGTGTTGCAACTGCGGGGGCCGACTGACAACTGGCCGTGCTTCTGCTGCAGGCTCGTTGCAGGAGGATGTCGCCTCAAGAGGCTCCATGCTGTATCGAGGGTTGATGCAGGAGTCAGAGCTGTCGCTACACCGAGGGCTTCCATTCGCTGTACTGTGTCCACCACTGCTGCTCCTGCTGCTGCACTCGCTGGCTTCGCTGTAGAAGCTCCTGCCGCTGCTGCTGTCGCTCCATTCCTCATCCGAAGAATCTCTTGAGTCTCCTATGTAGAAGTACTTTGCTCTCTTTCGAAAGCCCCCTGCTGCTGCAGCAGCAGACGATGATGCAGTGCCGCAGGGGGCAGGAGGATCCGACGAGCAATGCGCCAAAGAAAAAGGGAAAGGGGAGGAGGAGGAGCAGCAGCAGGGGGTGTCTGCTCCTCCGTTCTCATAAGTCCGCATGAAGCTGCTGCTCTTGTTACGGCTCGGATGCTCCACGGTCTTGTTGCTGATTCCACTGTGCAGCAGCAGCATCATATTGCTGGTGCTGCTGCGCTGCCTCAAGCCTTCCAGAAATTCCCCCCCCACATTCTCATAGAGTAGGCGCGATGTGCCTACAGCCTCCTTCCCTTCGACGCAAAGAAATTTGCAGCAGCAGCAGCAGCCGCCACTGCCGCAGTTGCAGAACCGCTGCTCCTGCTGCTGCTGCTCCTGCTGCTGCTGCTGCTGCTGCTGCTGCTCTTGCTGCTGCCGACACGGCTGCGGGCTGTTCGCTCTGCTGCTGCTGCATCGAGATGAAGGCTGTGAAGGCGTTTCATGGGGGGATGACCGCAAAGTCAGTTCGTTGCGAAAAGCCTCACGGCGAGGCAGACGTGTTGCCCTCTTCTCCTGCTGCTGCTTCTTGGTTTTTTGCTGCCGAAGGTGGAGCCGCATGCATCGAACGACGCTGCCATCAGAGGAGGCGCGATTCGCGCTGCTGCCCCCCGGGGGGTGTACAGCGTGTGTCTGCTGCTTGCACTGTTGCTGTGGTCGCTGTTTGAGCTGTCTTGACAGAAAAAGAGGCCAAAGGAGTAAGCGGAGGAGCTGCCACAAGAGCCAATGGACGAGGGGCAGCACGTGAACGAGGGCAGCAATTGCAGCCGCTGCAGCTCCGAGCAGCGACAGCACGTGCAGCCGCAGACATTCGCGCCGCTGCGAGAAGGGTAGCAGCACAGATCTGCCCTCTTGTTGTTGGTGCGACTGCGACAAAGGGCTTAGCGTAAGAGGCAAAAAGCTGGGCAGCAAGAACTCATACCCCCCTGGAGCGACATCCACTGTAGAACCATCCCCAGCGGCGGCAGTAGAGGCATCATCCCCTTCACCAACCTTGACGGCAGCAGCAGAAAAAACCCCTTCAAAAGAGCCTTCCTGACGAGGGGGGGCCCCCCCTCGCGTCTTGGGGCCCCCGCATGCATTGAGAGCTTCAATCGCGTGGCACCCATGCAAGTACAGGAGTCGCAGCTGCTGCTCCTGCACCAGCAGCAATAGAAGCAGCAGAAGCAACAGCACGGGGGAGCACAGGAGGTCATGTATCCACAGAAAACAATGCTGTAAACACGACGACACCCTCTTTCGAGGTGGTTCCCGAACTATGGGCTCCCGCTTAAGGGGCCGTGTCTCGCGGCTGCCGCTGCTGCTGCTGTCACTGCAGCAGCTCCTGCAGCAGCGGCTGCTACACAACATGCTAGAGCAGCTGCTCGTGCTGCTGCTGCTGCTACTGCTGCTGCTAGCTGCAGTGGTAGTACGCTCACGAGGAGCCATTTCCCCTCTGGCTGCCAAAATACGCATAGAGGGAGGGAGGAGGGTTAGGCCATGGGGAAGAACGCCAGCCGGGGGTAGAAAGGCATGGCAAGTCACACAGCGCAGGCATCCGCGATGACTTCTGTGCTGCTCTTGCGGTATACTGCTGTTGAACAGCTCGTTACCACTCTAGGAGTAGTTGCAGCCGCTGCAGAAGCGTGTGCTGGAGGTGCTGCTTCAGGCACCACTGCCGAAGGGGCCGAACAAGTGCTGTGCAGCCTCCCTCTGTGTCAGTCTGTGCCGTATCTAGTGCTGCTTCCAAGCAATCCGTTGAACGGCTATGGGATTGATGAGCTCGTTATCTCCCTTTCGCGGACGAATTCGTGTATATGATGGTGGCTTGCTTGGAGCTCAGACACTGTCCGATCTCTCATAAAAAGAACCTTCGCCACATAAGAACAGAACGAAGGAACCTGGAGTGTACGACCAAGTCGCTTTAAGAGCGTCCAAGGGCGAAGAAAGAGGCGCTGCGCGCGCCGTGCTGGCAGCAGGCAGCGGAGTGGAGGGCACCAATGATCGAAACTGGGAGAAATAAGGAGATAATAGACGATAAAGAAAAACACCTGAAAACAACAAAGGCTATTCCTCAGGGCGCATTCGATTGTTCAGAGAAAAAGGCGCTCGACATCCCAGGAGGCCGGGGAGTGCAGGGGTTGGTTCGGTCTATACCTCGCACGTGCTGCGAATGTGGATGAAGCATGGCGATTTTTTGGGGATTTGCCGTCATTATTGTGTGTAAGGCCATTTAATTAAGCTGTTCTTGCTTTGCGTGCAGCGTATAATTTTTTACGGCTTATTGGGCTGCTTTTTGAGGGCTAATTCCACAGAACGATTCTCTTAACTGGACTAGCAAGCAGGCAAGTCCCTTTTCCTAGCACTTTGCGCAGAGCTCTGTCCACTGGACGTGAACCGTGCGGCCGGAACTGTCTGCAGAAGAAGCTACGCCTCCCATTTCATCTTTTGAATGATATCTTGTTGTTCTAGTCAATTTGTGTAATTTTTCGGGCGTTGGTCATCACTGGGTGTTCCGCTGGTCTGGACAGGAGTGTAACTGGCATCTTTTGCTTCAGCTGTGGAATCCTGCACCCCCAATGTCATACACAGAGCCTTTACGCTCGTTGCCTCATTGCTTCTGGGTGTGAAAGCGGCTATTATGCGCGAATCTACACAAATAGCCGCATCTGCAGCACCATACGAAAAGAGAGCGATAGAGGACCTGGGGTATGTTCGTCCTGTCGGCTGCGGCCCCACAGCGCAAAACCAACCCTCCCCCGTCCGCTCTCCCCCTCTCTACTCTTCCGTTTCAACAAAAGAGGCACTCATGAGGGTGGAGACTCATCAAGATAGTGTGCTTGGGGGGAACTCAGTGGGCAGCGGAGTGAGCGAGCTGACAGCTGGGTGCCTGTAGCGGGCGTGGCTGCTCTCAAGCAGCGTTACTTATCCTACAGGGGTTATATTCAGCTGCTTTTTTGAAACGGTTTGATCCATGACTTGGACATTCGTGTGTGCCAGTTGTTCCAGAGCAGCAGGGTCACTCTGTGTGCTTCTTGTGATTCAAGTTACACCGTTAGACTTCGTACGAATGCCGGGAGTGTGCAGGTTTACCCGCTTGGGCCCCATAGAGGAGCCCTTCGTAAACAGCTCACTGTGAAGGGGAAGCTTGGACAAGGAACAAGAAGTAGCTTCCTTTGGCGCACGACACCTTCCTGTAGCCAAGTTTGTAGCTGTACTGAGCTTAGCAACAATCTAGCACGTTCTGCTACTTCTTTTAGTGATAAAATGTTATCGAAAATTTGGCCATTCGACTCGCTTACTCGTATATCTCAAGCACTGTGGAGTTTTGATGCTCCATACACCAGGACGCATTTGCAATGCTCAATTTACGATCCGCGCACGCAGACACTCATCTCCAGACGCAGTACAAAATTTCAAAATTTGTTGAGTTTCTCAAGAGAACTCACTTCCTTCAGTGCCCGCACCCCTCAGATATGCCGATATGAAGATAATGAGATACCTAAGGTGCGAGCAGGTGCACCCTGAGCACTCCCAGCAATCGCTGCCTGCTGCCCACAGCATCTATACCACGCGCCCAAACCATTACACTTTCTGCTTTCGAGGTATTCGTATTATGTAACAGGTAAAATATACTATCAAACAAACCAACTGGCTTTTTCTTTACTAGTTCTTATCTGAACATACTGTAGAGTGGTAGAAAGTATGTAATTGCAGCTTGGAAGGCTACATCAGCGATGAGCGCAACACCTGCGTCTTCGACTGAACACGAAAAGCCAAATCGGGATTTTGCGCGTAAGATTGTCAGGGGTTGTGTCAACCGGCCCTAGCCTACAGTGTATGATCAACGATAAAAGAAGGCCACAGGTAACTTGCGCTCCCAGGCATCCGTAGTTAAGCCCCAACAACGCATCTACCTCTATTATGGGAAAGTGAGTCATATACACCGGAACTCCGAGGGCGTGCAAAATCCCAAAACCGTAAGTAAAGAGAGTGAGCCCAGCTTAGCCAGGCTGCCTGAAGAACCAAAGCAGGCGCACTGGGGGAGCAAAGGCCTTCGAACAGGCTGCAGCGCAGTGAAGGGGTCCAGTGAGGATAGAGCCGTAGTTATGGACCCAAAATGAGCGAATTCTGCGCTGATTCAAGCTTACATTGATGGACAAGTATTACTTGCGCTATTATCACCGGATGTGAAGGGGACTCGTTATCCAAGGAGGCCGGGGAAAATTTGCATGCTCACTTAAAGGTTCAGGCCCAAAGACTCAAGTTTGTTGACGGGCGGCAAAACGCAAGGATTAGGAGGGCTAAAGCAGTTAATTGTCGCTTTAACTGGGGGGGGATCGTTTTCATAAGTGTAGTCTAGGACTCCAATTTGTGCATGCACCATGATGTTTTCTTAGGTATGCCTAAAGTGACCTAAAGGAAGGCGTGCATGTGCCCATACTTGAGCGCTGTGGACGTTAGGATGAGAAGAGGTGCTAGAAAGAAGCAAGTTCCTGGCTTCATAATTGACTCTCATTTTCTCCTTGTGAATCCGGCTGGTCGGTGTCTAAAGAAGGTAATTCAGAATCTCCATGCAGTTGTGGCTTAACAGTGCAGTAGGATGAGAGGCCCCGAGCAGGCATCCCTTCCTACTGGCTCTGCAACCGCTTCTACATTGGGGAGACGAGATCCGTTGAACCCAATCCAAGAAATAGCAGGAATGGAAAATGCCAGGGAGATCGTGGATATGCTAAGTAGTGACGAGCTTCCAGCAGATTGGCCGCCGGCTGGTCGTCCAGCTTACCGTATTAAGGTATATCGTGGGTCAGTCATGAGCTATGTTCAGCAGTACCGGATGCCTCCACAGCATGCTAAAGAGTTTGAGTGACAGACATATGATATGTTTAAAACAAGCGAAGTGCAGCCATCGACAAGCGCCTTCGGGCATAAATCGGTGTTGGTGCCAAAACAGGGCGGAAAAAGCCGCTAATGCGGAGCGTTAAGTACCTAAACAAAACGATTGTGGAGCAGAAGTTCCCAAAGCCTCATGCTGTTGAAGTAAACTGCAAATTGACTGCAAGTCATGCACATTAACAATATACTAGCCATTTTAAATAGCAACCACCTTCTCACATATCCCCATTCTCCCTGGTGCCAGGCCCAGAAGGGCGTTTTACACTCGCGCTCACAAGCTCAAGTACACCTGTCTCTGACTCGTACCTGTTAAGCCCCAGCTAGAGTGCAGCGGCAGGCTACTTCGGATATACGTGGCCCGTAAAGGAAAGCGGACAGCAACTTGCAGCGACACCATAGTGGTAAAACGAATTGTTCAAGCGCACCTCCAGCAACAACGTCGTGTGCTTCAGCTATTGCGGGATAAGCAGGGGTATTGCGCAGGCACGGACGTTTTCGACGTTCATTAGAACAAGAATGTTTTTGTGGTTCCGTGCCTCGACTACAATAATACAGCCAGATCCAGCAAAAATCGAGCAAAAAAGGGGTGGCCTCTAAGCAAGCATAGTTAACGAATGTTGGCTTAATGTTGTGGGCCTGAAAGTTTGGTCCTGGCAGATCAGCAAGCTTTACGAGGAACACTTTCAACGTGTCTTGTTTGCAGTTCCCTCACGAAGCAGTGCTCCTTCTAACTCGCTCGAAATTCCTAATAGCTGGAGATGCTATAGACCTAGCAATATTGGCTTCCGAAAGAAGTCTGAACCCCCCAAACGATTCGCAGACATTGCCGCATAATGAAGTGACCGGCGAACGACGGAGGATCCACAGGGAGCCGTCGGGGTGTTGGGCTTCAGAGCTATTGAGTGCGGATGACACATTAGATGGGAATTTCTGGCGGAATCAGGCCGGAATTACCAGCCGCCGTTCTTCACCTGGAAGCCTTTTCGGCTTTTCTGTCTGCGAAAGAAGCTCTGGCTCTGCCTGGTTAACAACGCTCACCACAGTGGATGATTTTCCTTGCATCGCATGGTAATTGTCCGTCCTCAACGCAGATTATGCTCGAGCTAGCAACATTCTTCTACGGACATTGTTTGACAATCTCCGAATTATTATTGTTAAGGTGCTCTGTGCACTCGGATTTACGCACAGGCACTCTCAAATACGTTATTCCTGCAACCTTCCTTGTGCCCTTTGGGATTTTGGAGTAGACCATGGTGCAGGCAGAGGCTGTGCTAGCATGCAGATATTGCTCTTCGAAGCGAATGAGTTGTTGAACTAGTGTGTTGTGTTCAGATTTTTTCTCGACATTTTAATTGGCTTGTGCGTTATCGTATAACGAGGCCCAGACATTCCATGGCTCCGACTACTGAGAGCCATCGCGCCGCCGCAATCTCGTTGGTTTAGTCTCTCGTTCGTTGTTGGCTAGTGTGTGTGCAATTTTCTCCCCCAATCTCACTTCAGCGGTTGGTGAGTGCATGTGCTCTGAAATGAGGCGTAAGGGCACGGAGGGGTAAGCTACCCTGAAACATTGTCCACCGCAGTACTACCTTTGAACAGAATTCCTAAAAAGTTTACTAATCTGCTTGTCTGCTCGTATATTTCAAGCATCGCGGAGTAGCGTCAGCTTGCTGCGAGAAGACACTGTATAGCGTGCGTGTGTGATAGACTCTCAGTGTCACAACTGTCAATATACGCTAAGAGTGCCTACGTGCAGTTCCATGCACCCAAACTGCCCCTCTACTGGCACGTGGGGAAGTCTGAAGGATGCGGCCAGGGGAGGCAAAGGACTGTCTTAAGAAATATGCAGTAACGTTATTAGGTTTGCATCGTGTACGGAGCTAAGTGTCTCCCTACGGGGCCTTTTTAATGGAGCGTTATACTATGTGCGTGTTTGTACGTGCCGTACATTCTTGTCATTCACAGCTAGTTGCATATAGCCACCAGCGCGCGCACGCACAGCAATGCTTCTGGTTGTAGTGAGCTAGCTTTGAAATGCGACAAATTAGATACATCAACAGCCCAGCCAAAAAAAATCCACGAGTAGCCCTCTACCATGGGCTTTTCTCTTAGTAGTTGACCCTGCTTTCCACCGACGAGAAGCCGCGCGACAGAGGATAGTGCGAAATGGAAGCTTCTTGACCGTGCAATCCCCCATGTTACCACCCCTTTGCTTGCACCTAGTCGTCGCTTCCGGTTAAGATACCTATCAGCCCCAGCACCGCCGCCTACACTCCCCAGCCAAGCAGCGCACATACCAAGCATCGCTAAATGCATTCAACAGACTGATTTACTGCCAGCAAGGCCTACTAATGCGCCCTTCAAGACCTTTTCCTCCAGAAGCCCACTAACACAGTGTCCAGCGAACAACCTGTTCGGCTGAGTTTGCATGAACGCTTTTTAGGGAACTGACCAAAGTCTCCGCGCGATATATCCACAGCCCGACAAGAAAGTCCTCTAGTATCGAGTACAGCACTATGAAAAGATCCCAGACTTCTCAACACAAAGCGCCCCACTGTTTGATCACGCACCAGACAGGAGGCCTTGCTGTGTCTGTTAGACATGCTTCGGGGAAAGACGAGAAACCTCTGTGTAGGGACTGTGGACCGTTTTGGTCTGCTCTATTGACAAATTAGTGACTAGGAAGGAACTTACGCAGCACCTCAGAGGATTTGCTGGCATGCTTGCCAGTACCCCTGCAGAAACATTGTGCTGGACGGAGAAGCGGGAGCGGCGGCTGTGGCGCTATGGGGGAGGGTAGCATCTGCATCAGCGGCAGCAGCATGTGGAACGGCAACTCTGAGTTTTCTTTTGAATGGGTTCACGTTGTTACGCCTCGCATTAGCGCCTAATAGAGGATAGACACTGCATCTTTGCGTGTTGCTGTTACCTCGTTGTGCCCTGCCGCAGCCGCTGCTGCTGCTACTGCTGCTGCTGCGGGTGTTGGTGCAGGTCCTTTGCCGCATCAACTTCGGCCGTTTTCATTTGTTGCTGCTGCGGGTCGTGTTTCAGCTCCAGCTGTAGGTGTTGCTGCCACAAGCAGCCCGTTTTTTGCGGTGCTTGCTCACACTCACCGCTAGGATGTGTGCAGTATGGCGAAAGCGGCACTTGCCTGTGCTGCTCTTCTCGGTGGCTCTATTTTGGGCCGTCTCAGCGATTCCTGTGGCTGTTCAATCATCAAAAAGTGCGACTAGCGGGGATAAAGACGCTGGATCAGAGCATCCCAAGCAGCCAGCAGCGGCGGCATCAGCACGAGCAGAAGATGGTGATTGCGATGTCTGCAAGAAGAAGCTCACGTATGCAGAGCAGAGAGCAGACAACGCAGAGCGCGATTTGCTTTCCTTTAGGCAGAAGCACGAGGAGGCGATGGCTACATGCAGCAGCAAGCAGCAGCCGGACCAGACGTGCAAGGAGCAGAGCGAAGCGCTGCGCATGCGGCTGAACGAGGAGATCACGACGAAAGAAGAACTGGAAGCCAAGTTGCGGCAGCAGGAGCACCAGCAGCGAGTCGCAACAACGGATCTGCGCCACGAGTTAGAGAAGCTTCGAGCGCAGCTTCAGCACCAGAAGAAGCAAGGGAAACAAGATGGCTGGCCTTCAGGAACTATAGAGAAAGTCGCGGAGCTTGCCTCTGATATGGGGCAGATATACCGTGCTGTGATTGAGGTTATGGTCTCCGCAGTGCCTCTTTCCTTGAGGGATGCAGCCCAGCAGCAGGCAGCCACCGCTGCGACGGCTACCACCGAGCAACTGAACAAGGTGTATGTCCACGTCGAGCCGTACGTTGACTCCACCAAGGCCTTTTACTTTACTTACATTCATCCGCATGCGACGGCAGCAGCAGCGTGGGCTCGCAGTGCCGGCAGCAGCGCAGTAGCAAAGACGGCAGCATCGGCTAACCAGCATCTCGATTCGGCCCTTGCTGCAGTGTATGTACACCAGCCGCACCTCCGGCCCCTAGTGCCAACTGACTTCTATGGGCGGATTCTTCTCCTGCTTCTCCTTCTGGCCACTGCGTATCTGTCTGGGGCAGTGCTCATGCGCTGCTGCAGCCTCGCGTGCAGCTGCTGCTGTCGCCGCAAGAGTAAGACCAGGAGGAGCTGCAAGAAGGTGTTTGCTGCCGACACTGCAGCAGCTTCCGGAGGCGCAAGTCAAGGAAGCAGTGGTCGCGCGTACTACCAAGGAAGAGAGAGTGCACAAACGCCTCAGCCGATGCCACCTAGACCCTTCGATCTGGAAAAGAGGAGGAAGCACTAAGTTGCAGCAGCTCGGGCAGGAATTGTGTCTGTATTGCAGCAGCGGAGAACTATTGCTTCACTCACAGCCAGCGTCGAAAAAAACAGCAGGCAACTGGGCACGCTCCTGCCAGTTGGGCCCAGTAGCTTTGGCGCCACGCTGCTTTCAGGAGCTCTTTCGGTGTGCGAACGGATAAATGTGTATATATATATATAGTTACATTTATATATATATATATATATATATATTTATGCCTTCAAGATCTTGCTTTTCCGTTATGCAGTTGTATCACCATAGATCTATGTGAAACCGCAGAGGGCGGCACAGCAGCAGTGGTCGGGCCGAACGGCTTTTCTCGAGTTTGTTGCCGCTGCTGCAGCATGTGTTGCGTTGCAGCGGTCTGTTCGCTGTTGCCTGAGCAGTAATTGCTGCTGCCTTAGTGGCTCTTGACTGTTGTAAAAGCGAGGAGGAGACCACGCTTTTGCTTCCTTGGGGGGCTTCTTTTCACCCCCAGTCATGAACAACGTCTTGCTGCACTCCTTTTCTAGCTAGCTAAGTAAGAAATAGCCGCTGCGCCTGGAGCAGCGCAGCTCGCGCACGTCGTCACTCACGCAGCCACAACGGCAGCTACTGCTCTTGCAGCTGGATGCCGTACCCAGCCGTCACCAAAACAGTAATCCTTAAGCAGATTAGAGGAGACATTGTTGCCGGCCAGCTCAGGTGGCACTGGCTAGCGCATCTAGCTCGTTAGGAATTCTCTATAGCGTGTGAAGGCAGTAGCGGCTGTGCAACGAAGAAGGGACGCGGCAGCTCTTAGCGCTTTTACCGCCGCCGCTCCGACATCCTCCCTCGAGTAGCAGCGCGAGCACAAGCCACCGCTTGTAAAAAATAGCTCCTTGGCGAGCTAGAGGGCTGTCCAGTAGCTGTTCGGGGTTTGTGACGGTACACAAGGTCGCCACGAGTTTTCTGGCCTGTAAGGGGAAGGGAGACACGAAACTCATTTCGAAGCTTGCAGATACACGCTTTGCGAAGGCATTCAAGCACTTGCAGCACTGGTGCAACGGCAGGGGCCTTCTCTGTGTGGCTACTGCTGTTGCTGCTGAACTCGGTTAATTTTGTCTTCCAGCATTGATATTCGGACTGCTGCGTCCGCTGCAGCGCGTAGAGCTGCTCTGCTGCAGTCCTCCACTTGCTGTTGCAACAAAACGAGAGCTGCCGTTCCTGCGGCAAAGAAGCCAAAACTAAAGTATTTCAGCCGCTGCATCAGGGGCACCCGCGGCTTCTTGGGGGTGCTGCTGCTGCTGCCCGTCTTGTCGTCGGAAGATTCAGCCTTTGATGGGGAAGCCGCTTCTTTGGTTGCTGTTTTGCTTTCTTCTGCTCCTGACGGTGTAGCAGACGACCGCATGACAGCGAATAGTCCGCCCTTTTTGTTCGTGCTGCTGCTGCCCGGCTTCCCCGCAGCGTCTTTGGGAGTTTGTGCAGCAGCGGCATCCCCAGCCGTTGAAGCTGCGGCTTCCCTGGCATTCGGAGCTCCTGCTTCACCGACAACGGTCTGCGGCTTTGAACCGCCAAAGAAGTTGAAGTGCCGCTGCTGTGTGGACATTCCGTATCGTAGCTGCCGCTTTACTGATCCTGCTGCTGTTATTGCTGCTGCTGGAAACTTGGGAGCGGCAGTAGCAACAGCAGCAGCAGTTGCTCCGGCGGTGGGAGCCCTCATGACGGACCACAGCATGTCGACGGAAACTCGAAATGCTCTCGTGTCTTGCTGCAGCAAGCTTCTACCACTCTTGTAGTGCTTCTGAGACGTTTTCATGGAGAAGAAAACGGAGGCCTTCACAGCGAATGATCCTCCACAGCAGCGGCGCTTCATCAAAACGCGCATGCACTGGAGCAAACAGTGAAGCGTGAGCCATATCAAACCCTTAGCCCTCCCTGCTTACACATGGGGCCTAACATCCTTCTTGAGAAAAATGACACTGATTCTGAAATGTTTTTTTCATGAGAACTCGCAGGAACAGCAGCAGAGTGTCGGGCGCTGTCTCGTTCCGATGTCGGCAACGTGTACACCCATGACTCTGCGTACCTATTTTGTCCACTCGAACAAATGCTAAACCACATAAACACACAACTGTTATTGCTTGCAACTGAACCAATGGATGGTCAGTTGGCTTGCAGAAACATCATACGTCCTGGTGCTAGGGAACTGGGGGAGGTCGCGATTTAAAGAGAAAAGGCTTCGTCCAGCAGTGTGTCCTTCCTGCCCTTGCTGATGCTAGAGGGCAATAAGAAAATAGAGCACCGGTAAAAAATAGGTAGTACCAAGCATGCTGTAAGGCGTGTTTTTGCCTTTAACCCGCTTGGCGTACATCTGAACCCTGCAAAATAAGCTAGCGTACAGCGGGCAAAAATACATTTAGGCATTTTCCACTTCACTGGTATCCTTATCTGAGATGAGAGCTAGCAAAGAGCTGATTGTTTGATTTTGCTTGTTTGTACATCTTAGGTTTTTCAGCCGATCGGTAAAAATACAGGGAACAATTTTATGGCAGCATGAGGTAGATACCGCATCCAACTAGGTGTGAACGCTGATAAGGTGTAACACTGCGCATCCTAGCTGACGCTCTACCATCAGATTGGGAGCTTCGACGGGTACGTGCATTGCAAGGAGGCAGCTCGCTAGGAAGAGCGATCAATATGTAACATTCCATCCAAGGTCTCAATTGAAAGTCAATCAACTCTGGGCTGAATACAGACGCGACATAAACCTTTCTGTGTGTTTTTACCTAAAAATCTCTTCTTCCACTGCCGCTGTCCTTTAGAGTTCCCGGTTTGAGGGCAGAGGGGCACCCAGGGGTCGCGTAGCTGCAGTAGCTAGAACAAAAACACTTCAATAGTTCAAGGCTAGGTATATACAGCATCTAGCACAAAAGCCAACAGTATTCTGTATTCCTTTATGATGCAAACGCTACTCTAGTGCTTAATATGGAAGCGTTTTCAGCTCTGCTGTCTGCCAAAGAAGCTGTAGCTTTGTAGATTAACAACGCGTATCACGGTGGATGATTTTCCTTGCATCTCATGGTAGATGTCCCTCCTCAACGCAGATCATGCTTCAGCAGGCTGTATTCATCTATGGATATTGCTTGAAAATTTCCGAATTATTGTAGAGGTGCTCTGTGTACTCGGATTAATGCGCAGGCACTCTCAAGTCCATTGTTCTTACATTCTCCTTTGTGCCCCTTTGGGATTTCGGAATAGACCGTGGTGCAGGCAGAGGCTGTACTGGCATGCACAGATTGCTCAATGAGGCACGAGAGCGCTATTGAACTAGCGTGCGTTCAGATTTTCTTCCGACAATTTACTTTTCTTCTATGTTATCGTAGAACGGAGCCCAGACATTCCATATCTCCAACTATCGGAAGCCATCGCGCCGACGCAATCTTGTTGGTCACTCCCTCTCATTTTTTTGGCTAGTCTCTGTATTTTGCCCCCCTCTGATTCCTCTTTATGGGCTAATGCGCATTTTTCGCTCTTCTCGTTTGGACACTTTTCGCGTTTCTGCCTCACTGTGGTGTGTGCAAGAGAACGGGTACACTTTCGCTGTTCTGCGTGCAGTTGCTCTCGATAACAAGGTACGGAATACGAAGCTGTGTGTTTGAAGGGAAGGGGAACACGTAACGGGCTATTTCACCCTTAAGCGCTGCCTACTATACTAGTTGTATTTCCATCAGAAGTAGTGTAGATTTGGCAATTTGGTTTGTTCTAGTCATTTCGTAGTCCCGCACGTTCGAGACAAGAAGGAGCAGTGCCGTTCGCATGTGCGTTAGATGCTATATGCAACTATCAGAGGGTGGTGGGAATGCTTATAGGGTGGAGGTACGACGACACTAGCTATTCCTTTTCTCCTCACGTCGATAACTCAGAGAGGCGCGCCCAGGGGAAGGAAGACGCTATATTGGTAAATACTTAGTACCTTTCTATTAAGTGTGTATTTGGTCTGGGGTAAACTGTTCCCACAAGGAGATCTCACATGGAGCGTTGCGCCTTGGATCCCCTTGTTGTAGGGCTTCAGTGTAGGCGGTCGGTCAGAAAGGGGAAAGGTAGAGCCCAGCCTTTATAGTCTAAACCGCTGTGCAAATCATACCTAATGAAAACTACTCTTTAATCTTCGAATGCTCAATATGGAGGATGAAGCCATTCTAGAATACCCAAGCTGGAGTAGTGTAAGTGGGGGTACCGCCTGCGCATAGAGGGGCCACCTCGTAGGTCGCTGTATGAAGCGTAAGATTCGCCACTACTGGTCTCGAATGGGCTTAGATCTGAATACGAGATCTAACTGCGATGTGTTTTCCGTACCAGCGGCACAAGGGGAGGTGTACAGAGCAGATCCGTGGCCGTTTGCAGCCGCTACGATGGGGAGGGGCACTAAGCACAGACGGGATCTTTTAGAATTGCGATTCATCACTCGAAGTCTACTCCGTTTCATTGTCTAGAACGAAAAAACAGTGATTTTGGAGCGGACGACGAAGAGCTCAGGAAGAAAGGCGTGCAGCGATGCCACCGTTCTTTGCGCTGGGGATACTGAGGCTGCATGCAGCGGCAGCAGGACCAGCACAGCAGCCGGAGCGGCTGCAGCGGCAGCAGCAGCGGCAAGAACAGCCCCACCGCGGATGTCTCCGCAACAAGTGTTTGATTCGCGGCTTTAGGGCAGAAGCATCTGAAAGCCGCTCAGCGTAAAGAGGGCGAGTGGAGGGTCTGGCTGCTCCTGCTCACCAGCAGGCCCTTCAAAGCACCAGCAGCACAAGGAGCAGGAACGGCAGCAAAAGGCGAATATTTCTTTGCCAGAAGAAGCAGCAGTCCCTGGCAGATGACTCCGCCTCAGGCTGCAGAGTTTGGTGCTCCCCCTCTGGAAGCCGAGGGGGTTGCAGGGGGGCATGCACAGGAGGGGGAAGGAGGCGCTTGCCCTTCCGCGGCGAGAGAAGCAGCAGCGACGAACGGAAAGAGTCTTCTCCATGATCTCTGGAAGAAGAACGGCGCCAAGGCTAAGCGCGTGGTCAAGCTGCTCCGTCGGAAGCGTCAGAAGCAGCAGAAACGTCAGCAGCAGCAAGCGCAGCAGGACGACTCGCCAGATCTGAAGCAGGAGCTTCTGGCAGCAGTGCCTTTGCGAAGCAAGCAGCGGGAGTTGTTGCTGCCGCTTGGTCGGAACAAGAAGCTGAAGAAAAAGCTGGAGGCTGCGCTCGAGGTCGACCCCCACGAGGCTGAGACAGAGAGCGAGGAAGAGACTGAGGACGAAGGCGAGGATGCGGAAGAGGACGCTGACTCCGGCTCAGAGGGAGAGCGCGAGGCTGTTGCAGACGAAGCGAGGAACAAAACAAAAGGAGGCAAATTCAAGGAGGAACCCGAAGATCAAGGCGTTGAGATCGAGTTTGTACCGGCCGAAGAGGCAGAAGGGGCAGAAGGCGCTATTGCACAGTTGGCGGAAACATTCTCAGACGTCTTTGAAAAGCTCAACGCGAATCTCAAAGCCCAACCCTTGCAGGTGAGGTCAGCAGTTTTTTATTTTAGCGGTGGCATTTTGCAGCAGGAGTTGCACCCTGCCCGAGGGGGAGGAACGCGGCGTGCAGCTCCACATCACAAATTATTTGTTTCATAAGTGTGTAGCTTTCAGAAGGGCTGCTTTTTGTGTAGAGTTTCCTGTGTTCGTCATCTCTACAGCGTTTGCATCTTGCTGCGTGTGTCGTATGTATGTATGTATGTGTGTATGTGTGTATGTGTATGCATGTATGTATGCATGTATGTATGTGTTCCTGCTGGTAGCTCCAGCCTTATACACACTTCTCATGCTTCGTTCGTTGGTCATACCCCGCGTATTCATTTTTTCGCAATTTGCTGTGGCATCTCCCTTCGGCCTCTCGTGCCTTTTTCGAATGCGGTTCGAAGCGTTGAGTCTGTGTCGCTGCGGACCCCTTCTCGTGGCTGCAAGTCTTTCTGTCTGTCTGTCTGTCTGTCTGTCTTTCTGTCTTTCTGTCTGACTGCCTTTCTTTCTTTCTCTGCCTGCGGCCGCAAAAGCTGTGGAGCCGAAAGTGGCAGCGCGGCGTTTTCGAATTTCTCGTGACGTTCTGCTGCGCGTGGGGTGTCTGTACACAGGAAGCAGATGAAGAGGAGGAAGAAGAGGGCCTGGGCACGCGAGGGGAGATCCAGGCGTTTCGAGACGACGACGAGGAAGATGAGGAGGAAGCCGCAGCAGAAGGAGATGCAGCGATATCAGCGGGAAGCAAGCGTGGGGGAAAACTACCCCGTGGCAAGCAGCGCCGTTTGCAGCGTCCCTCCATATGTGCTCTGAAGCAGCAGACTGCAAGGCCAGATCGCATTGAGGTTTGGGATGCAACGAGTGCAGATCCGTTTTTTCTGGCGTTTTTAAAGGGCCTTAGGAACGTCGTAGCTGTGCCTCAGCACTGGTCTCAGAAGCGGCGGTATCTCCAGTGGAAGAGAGGCTTCGAGAAGCCTCCCTTTAAGCTGCCACGTACGGGGGATGCTGGGTCGTTGCGTTGCTTTTGAGTCTCTTCGGGGGTGGTTGTGTTGTGTTGTAGGGGGGAGAAGGGTTCCCAACCGTGTGTTTTGCTACTGCTTAACACGGAGGAGGGGGGAGGGGAAGAAGAAGGGGCATAAAGAGTCGAGACACAGGCTTTGTGCCTCAAACGGAATCTAAAGCAGAAGCGTTGGGAATTGGGCACCTCCCTTGGGGGATCTCGCAGGAGGATGCGTGGGGTCGTTTTCTGACGTTTGGGCGTGGTATATGCAGCACACATTGAGGCTACAAAGATTTCAGAAGTGCGATCAGCATTAGTTGAAGCCGAAGCACAAAAGACGATGCGCCAGCGGATGAGGGAAAAAGTGCGGCCTAAAGCGAACAGGCTGGCTATTGACTACCAGGTATGTCTGTACAGTGTGAGACGGCGGGAGGAAGGGGGGAGAGCACTCGTGTGAGCCTTGTCTTCTCTCAGTAGGAATGTCTTTTGCGACGTCATCAGCGCTGAAGAACAGTGGCAACGAAGGGAGGGAGGGAGGGAGGAAAGGAGGGTTGCGGGGAGAAGCGATTTACAGCCGCCAGCGCACGGCCAGAAGGGGAAGACGAATGCGACGGGGGAGAAGAGAGTCAACAGAGGGGATGGCAGAGAGGCTGAAATCTTTTCCCTAGCAGTTTTTTACGAAACTTCTTACCATGAGGGGTGTTTCATGGGGAGCGCATAATGCCATGGTGTAGCGCCAGAACCGTCAGGGTATGCGTTTATGGGTATATTTATGTGTTTATAAATATATATGGTCGTTTGGAGGAGAGGCTTTTTGGCGAATTGTAGGGCCCTGAGGCGCTGGAGAGAGAACCCAGCTCTGATGCATCGACGCCTTCGTGCTGAGTTGACTAGAGATTCTTTTTTTGGCGGTCCAATGTTGAATGCATAGATGTATATCTGTACATATATATAGATATATATATACCTATATATATATATATATATATATATATATATATATATATATATATATATAGGAGTGTATGTATACATGTATGGGGATTTTCTTGTGGCGGGCAAACAGGTTCTGATAGCGATGCAAAGTGTGCGTGGCTTTTATGTGTGGATAGCCATTCATCCATGTAAATATATATATATATAAATGTGTATATGCATATTTATATGTATATATGGTGCCGCTCATTTTCTGTGTGTGTGCTGGCAGGTCCTTCATGATTGCTTCTTTAAGCATGCAGTTAAGCCACCGCTCACGAAGATGGGGGATCTGTATTTTGAAGGGAAGGAGTTTCTTCAGGCGAAGAAGAAGGCAAAGCCAGGCCAGCTTTCTGAGAAGCTTAGGGAAGCCTTAGGAATGGGGCCTCTTTCTCCTCCTCCTTGGTTGCTGAACATGCAGCGGTAAGACAGGCTGTCATGGTGGCCGCTGTGTAAGAGGCGCTAAGTGGGGTTGTTGTGGGATCGTTCCACCGGCGCTGGCCCCTCTAGCGTTGCCTCTCAGCCTTGCAGCATGGCGCACTTCTTGCGCAATTTTCTCTCGCGGAATCGCGCTACCAGCCTCCCTCTTGCTCGGTGTGTATGGACAGACAGTGAATGAGGCTTTTTTGAAGGAGAGGAGGAAGTTCACGGCGTCTTTTTCTTTCCTCCTTTGCGTCTCGCAGATACGGCCCGCCTCCTGCATATCCGCGCCTACGAGTGCCTGGTCTGAACGCGCCAATTCCCACCGGTGCAAGTTACGGATATCAGCCAGGGGGATGGGGTCGTCCTCCAGTAGATGACAGCGGCAAGTTGCTCTTCCAGGCTCCCGAAGAGGAGCTGGAGGAAGAGGATGCGATGCAGCTGCAGGCGGGAGATAGAACAAATGTCGAAGGGATGTGGGGAGAATTGCCTCCAGACGTCGAAGTTCAGCAAGAAGAAGAAGAAGATGGTAAGCCACGGGGGGTGGGGTCGGGTCGGGTGTCTGTACAGCACAAAAAAGGTCTCGCGCTCCTCTGGCTCTTGCTCTTTCTTGCACGCACGCGTCGGTTTCACCTCTGGTTCTTGTCCTCTTCATCTTTGGCAAGAGCTGCGCTCGCGCATTTGTTTTTCTGTTGCAGAGCAAGAGGGCACGGCAGGAGGAGAAGGCGCTCAAGTAGGCCGAGCGATGTTTGATGAGACCTCCTTCATTCAGCGCTGGTTCTTCGCCTCTCTCTTCAGTTCTTGTGTCGCAGATGCAATCACGCTGCTTGTACAGGGATATACGGTGGTGTCGTGTGTATGTATGTGTATGGCTGTCTCTGCGGATGTGTATGTATGTATGTGTATGTCTGTCTGTGTGGATGTGTATGTCTGTATGTGTATGTATGTATGTGTATGTCTGTCTGTGTGGATGTGTATGTATGTATGTGTATGTCTGTATGTGTATGTATGTATGTGTATGTCTGTCTGTGTGGATGTGTATGTATGTATGTGTATGTCTGTCTGTGTGGATGTGTATGTATGTATGTGTATGTCTGTCTGTGTGGATGTGTATGTATGTATGTGTATGTATGTATGTGTATGTCTGTCTGTGTGGATGTGTATGTATGTATGTGTATGTCTGTCTGTGTGGATGTGTATGTATGTGTATGTCTGTCTATGTATGTCTGTATTTCTGTGTATGTCTGTATTTCTGTGTGTGTATGTATGTCTGTGTGGGTGGGTGGGTGTGTTTCATTTTTGCGTGCAGCCGACTTCAGAAACACCCTTTGCTGGTGGCGCTTCGAGCGTTGGTGGCAGCACCTTAGGCCTCGAGTCTCCTGCTTCTTTAGAGCTGCAGCAGCGGCGCGGGGGGGGAGCCTCATCAGTCGCGTCGTCTGGACCTAGGGCGTACACAATTTTGACTCCTCAGGATGCTACTGTGCAGCAAGGCCAGTTGTTTGGTGTCAAGCACACGTATCGCATTCCGAGCAGCGCCTTGCCTGGGCCGCAGCAGCAAGCCGGGTCGGGGGTTGCTTCGGGTGTACAGACACCTGCGGGCATTGCAACTCCGAGGATCGCCAGTGGCCATGCCTCCCCGTTTATCCAGCAGCCAGGCGTAGGAACCCCCTTCCTGGGAGCTGCCAGCGTTAGTGGCACCAATACGCCTCTCATAGGTCATGGTGGAAGCGCCACTCCCATCGGTGTTACCGTTTCCCTCAACCCCAACGAAATGGGTAAGTTGCACGCGGAGTGCTTGTTGGTAGGAGCCTCCCTTGTTGTGCTGCTTTCGCGGCTTTCGCTGGGCTGTTTCAGACGGCAGGCTGTGGAGGTCACGCAGCTGCAGGGAAGGATCGTAGGGAGCAAAAAAGAATGATCAGCGAAGATCGGGGGAGGCTCTTCAGGCTGCACCGGGTGTATAGGCAGAAGAAGGGAAGCTCTTGTATAGGCAGGCAGAAGAAGGGAAGCTCTTGTTTAGGCAGGCAGGAGAAGGGAAGTCTTTGTATAGGCAGGCAGAAGAAGGGAAGTCTTTGTATAGGCAGGCAGAAGAAGGGAAGCTCTTGTATAGGCAGAAGAAGGGAAGCCTTTGTATAGGCAGAAGAAGGGAAGCTCTTGTATAGGCAGGCAGAAGAAGGGAAGTCTTTGTTTAGGCAGAAGAAGGGAAGCTCTTGTATAGGCAGGTAGAAGAAGGGAAGTCTTTGTATAGGCAGGCAGAAGAAGGGAAGCTCTTGTATAGGCAGGCAGAAGAAGGGAAGCTCTTGTATAGGCAGAAGAAGGGAAGTCTTTGTATAGGCAGAAGTAGCGGTTGCTACCAGAGTGCTTTTTTCTCGTCCTTCTCTGCCTTTTTTGTGTCTCAGAGCAGGAAGGCGCCTTCACTGCGGATATCATTAGGCAGCAGCTTCGTCAGCACGAAGAAGCAGCTGCTCGCGCGAAGGCAGCGGCAGGCCAGATTGATCCGGCTGATCGTAAGAGAAGCCCCTTTTCTCCCTCTCTCTTTCTACCCGAGCCGTGTGCTGCTGCCGATGGCTCCCTTCCACGCTGTAATAGAGATCCCTACCTCCTGCCTCACTGCCCCTGGCCACATTTGAGGCTTCCCTTTCTTCCGAAAACCATGTGCTTGGTGGCTTGCGGCTCCAGAGAGGAAGAGGAAGGGCGATGAAGTGCGCGGCGTCTCAGCGACGGCTCCCAAATCAAAAAAGAAGAAACAATTCAAGTTCTAAGGCTTCTGTGCCTTCGCTGGACAGTCCCTCTGTGCGCTCGTTCTTTTCCTTGCCCTTGTTCGTCGTGTATGCGCCTCTCGCAGTTTTTTTGCGCGACTTTCAGCTAGTTACGTCTCGCTCCTTTCGCTATTTCGTGTCTCGCCTCTCTGTCTCCTGCACACGCCACCTCTCGTCCGTATGGGTGTGTTAGTGCCTCTTTTTACCTCGTACAAGGGCTGCCTATCTCCGTATCTTGATCTTGATGCATTTTCATGTACTTGCTGCCTCGGCCACATCTGCTTCGCTCCCTTCGCTCATTAGAACTCCTTGGCGTGCCTCCTGGCTCCGCATTGTTTTCCCGTCTTTCTTGCTTGGAGCGTCTTTCTTCCTCGCCTTAACTCTACAACCCTTGAGGGGCTGAACAGGCAACTCGAAGCACTTTCTGTTGCTGCCCCCCTGTAGAGCCGCAATCAGGGACTGGCGCTGTACGAGCGACTAAGCGAAGGGCAGGTTTGCAGTGAGAAACGCGAATTCCTACCAGGCAATCGCGGTAGCACAGAGCTGACAGCGAGAGAGTTCCCTGCAGACGAGAACTGAGACACTGACTGACCCCTGAACCGCTCGTACCTCAATACCGTCCCCTCGCCTCCTGCTGTATTGAGACAGCGTATAAGGGGGTTGATGGAGCGAGACGGCGGTTGGTGGTAGGGAAATTTGGAGCCTCGGGAGGCTGACCCTTCGCGGATGTACTCAATAAGACTTAGGGGGGAGGGAGTCTAGCGGTAAAACAGGAAGACAAGGCCACCTTCACTCTGCGCAAAGCTATACGCTATCGTTACACTTCCTTGCAGTGCAGCATGCCGAGCTGCGCTTTCTCAGAGTAAAATACCATCCCTTCAGGGTCAAAAGTTTTGTATTGGCCTTGGGCCTAAAAAGCTACACGAATGGAAACACTAGAAGAATGAGCGCTCCTACACAGTTCTAGCACTCTAAACACGAATCTCTCAAGTGTTTCCCTTAATTGACTCCCTCCCCTCCCCCTGTCTCTCTCGCTACTGTTCTCGCCCTGCTGGGCTCCGGCATACCGGGAGAGAGACAACAAGGGTGCATGATGTGCCTTGCTGTTCGACCCCTATGCACTCAACGAGCGTCCATTCGCACAGTGCATGCGTTAGCACACACGGTGTCCCCATGCACTTTCAAACTAAGGAGCTGACCACCTGTATTTTGCGAGCGACAACAAACATCAAGAACCAGACCATCGAAGCAGGTGTTGACAACTTATTGTGCATTATGAATAACAAGGCACCATGAATTGATTAAGTGCATTTTTGGCGTACAGCATGCTGTCGGGCCTTAGACTAGGCGAACAACGCTCCATCCCTCGGGAGGCACTGGACTCGCGACTTGAAACGAGCTGAGCAGAGAGTTACTCTGTGTTTTACAAAGATTTTCCCTCCTCCCACCTAAGCCTCTTAGAGGGAGAGCTAGGGTGCTCGTATCTGCACCCTTTTAAGCAGGCGGAGCAACCAGAGTTAGTTGCATGTACTTTTTGCGCACACGCGCATGCACAACATTGATCCTTACGATGTCGAGTTGACGCTACTCTTCAATCAATAGTGCATGCAAACAGCTTACCAAATGGTCGATTCATTGCAACTTCTGAATTTAGCCGAATATTTTGCTGTTCATACTGTAAGTGCAGCTCGCTGTGGAGCGTGTTTTGTCGGTTAGCTCTCGACAGTACGAGCGAACGCTCTGCAAGTTTGCGCTACATGTTGCACCGTGCAAATGGGTGCAAACGAATCTTTGTGGAGTGCTAAGAGAGGCTGCGGCCACGCGGATGCGCCGTAATGGTCTCCCTCACTCCTCCCGGTTGTACCAGAATCCTGTGCGAGGGACGGCAGAGAGAAGAGGGAAGGAGTTCTGCTTGGACTGAGACACTTGTTGTTTTTCTATGAGTTTTATACGCGATTTGGTCCAAAAATGTGTCTCTATGGAGAGCCTAGAAGTGCGAGCTCTAGTACCCACATAGCAAGCAGCACGAGGTTTCAGCACTCAGCACACAGTCCCTAGCACCTATTTACGCACTTAAAAACGCTGAGAGCAGGAGAATGATGAGCGAGGTGCTTTGAAACGCAGCTGGGATACGTTCTCTCTCATGCTTGCGACTTCAACACGGCAGCAAACCATGTCTGCACGGCTGACACCGCACAACGCCATTCGGCCGGAAACCAAGCATTTGGCCGCTCCTTCTCCGCCGTTTCTGCCTTAAATGGCGAAACAGCACGTCAATAATGGCGAGAGGAACGCCTACAAAAGGCGCTGAAGAGTCAGGAGGCTTCTGGCCGTCGGCAGCACACAAACCCCACCCAACCGGCGGAGCTTGGAGAGGCCCCAACGCGGACGGTCTCAACCCTTCCTGCGATTGCAAACTGAAAGCCTATGCAAAAATTAAAAGTTGGTGGGATATCGGGTGTTCTGAAGCGCGCCAATAAACCTGCAAAGTTCCCCAATTGCCGTGAGATCGCCACCCCCTAGCCCTCCTCTGCACCACGTTGTTGAAGGATTATGAAAGGCGGCCTGGGCACGAGCGTGTCCACTATCGAGGCGCACTGCGAATCTGAATCTGCATGCGTCTGTGTTTCCTGGATGGCTGCGAACCTTAAAGCCTAGAGATAATGGTGCTGGTTAGAAGCCCTAAGCGTCCAGTGCCGTCCAGCGGCAGCAACAGCAGCGAGCCGCAGCAGCAGCATCCCTCGAAGATTCCAGCCGCTTCGCCTCTTCTAAGACGTCTCAACGCAGAAGCATCGGCAGACTCGACTCCTGCCAACTGCACAGCGCCGGGTGCTGCCCTCCGCCAGCTGGAACTGCCAGCGCAGCAGCAGAAACAACAGCAGCAGCCAGTGCAGCAAGAGGGTACACAGCAGCAGCCAGTGCAGCAAGAGGGTACACAGCAGCAGCCAGTGCAGCACCAGAAACAGAAGCAACAGCCAGTTCAGCACCGGAAGCAGCAGCAGCAGCAAGCACAGCACCAGAAACACCAGCAGCAGCCAGTGCAACAAGAGGATCCGACACAGCATCGCCGCTGCATTGCAACTTCGGCTCGCTCCCCTGTGCGGGCGTTTCTTAGCTCCGAATCCTTCGCAGCTCCTACTGCTACTTCTTCTTTGGAGGTGTCATCAGCCGGAGCACCAGCGGGCACCCAAAATGCTCATGCCGAATCTCTGCGGCAAGAGGAGCCTATGAAACGCCTCTCCACTCATGACGAGCTGCTGCAGCCACTGCAGCCACAGCAGCAGCAGCTTTCCCAGCACCATCCGGAAGAAGATGTTATCCATGGAATCCCCCGCAGCGCTGCGGCGTTTCAGCAACAATGGCACCGGCGGCTGCAGCAGCTGGAGCAGCAGCTGGGGTGTATGGACATCGAGCAGCAGCAGCTGCAGCAGGCAGCGCAGCTGGAGGCGCGTTCCCACGTGGCGATCAGGCAGGCAGCCCATGTACTGCGGCAGCGGCAGGAGCAGGAGCAGCAGCAACTTCAGCAGCTACGGCATGAGCAGCAGGAGGCGCAGCAGCAGCATGAGGCGTCAGAGAGCAGATTCGTCTCTGTGCAGACAGAGGCCGCTGCAGCAGCGGGGGGAGATGAGCTCTTGCAGCGACGTTTGCAGCAGACGCATGTCAAAAAGCAGCAGCTGCAGCAGCTGCAGCAGCAGAAGCACGCCCTTCTTCTTTGCCTTAGCAAGACGGAGTGCAAGGCTCGCCAACTGCAGGAGCTCCTCTTGCAGCTTAAACAGCAGCAAGAATACGACGTCAACACGCTGCGAGAGGAGGAGCTACTGCTTTCTCTCGCAACGCGCTTCAAGTTTACGAGGATCAACGGCACAAGCATCACCGGCTTGACAGTGCCTGACCAGCGCCCTCCTGCTGCCGCTGCAGCGAGTGTCTTTGCCGGCAAGGCAGATGCAGCAGCGTCACCATTCGAAGCGGCAGCGAATAGCAGCAGCAGCGGCACAGCTAGCGACCTTGTTGGGGAGCAGGCCGAAGGCGCAGCCATCGTACAACTTGAGCTGCCATCGTTGGAGCAGCAGCAGGAGAAAGGCTTTGCTGCTGCACCCCCTGCGGCACCATGCGAAGCTGCAGATGTCTTATGGCAGCAGCTGATGCAACAAGCGCACGCGGAGGATAGTCGTGCGGCCTTCGTGCTCCAAAGAATTAGGGAAGTTTGCTCATCCTAAGTTGTCGAACGCCGAAAACTCGACATCAAAGATCCTTTGGTCTTGACTCACGAACGCCAGCTCGCTACGCTATATACATGCATGTATACATATGCCTATGTATACATGTATGCATCCCCTACCTCCGACTGTTCGAATAACGTAGCAGCTAGCTAGCGGACGCCCCCGCCCGGGTTCCTAGTTTACCACTAGTTATTCATCTACTGAATCGGCTGATTTGGTGTCTAGAAGACTGTACACCTAAGGAGTCGGCACGTTAGATGGGCACTCAGCTAGCTAGCCGATCTGGGCCGAAAAGGGAGTAGAAACGTGCGCTATCTCAACCAGTCCGCCCCACTCTGTAGAGCTCTAGAGGAATTGCAGGAAATTTAGTCGCAAAGATGTGAAGACAGGCGGCATCCAGATGCGCACAAAGCTACTCGGCCTCCCTCTTGAGACTCTCTTTTTCCTCCACATTGCTGCTGCTGCTGCTGTCGCACTTCTTGTCGGGCAGTACAACAAGTGGAGCACCAGACACCGCGTGACGGGGAGCTGCAGCAAAAACTGTGCTGCCGCAGGCGTCGAGGGTCCTCGCTGCTTCTGCAGCACACACCATGAGCACAACCAGAAGCAACAGCGGCACATGTCTAGCAAATCGAATAAAGTGCACGGGAAAATTGCGAAATCGATTCGCGAAACCCTGCATGAGTACGAGCAGGCAGGCGCAGCGGCGCAGCAGGGAAGTGGCGTACTCTTGGCTTCTTCTCGCAGCTGCTTCACGTGTTGCAGCTGCTGCAGCATCGAGGCTCGCTGCTGCAGCGCCCGCAGCAACAGCTGACGCTGCTGTTGCTGCATTTCCCAATGATAAAAAACAGCAGACACGACAAAGCGCAGCTTCCGCACCACCAGTTCGGCCTTCACTACTGAGAACGCACAAGCCTCAGCCTCTCGAGTCCAATGCATTGCGTGCGAAACTTGCATGCAGCCGAGACTGCAAGAGCAAATGGCGCGCCCTTTCTAGACTTGCATAGGGGGATACACCGATTGAGATGGTCGGGGATAACAGATTTGCTGCTTCGCACCGAGCTTTGCGAGTTGCTTCGCGCTGGGCACCTGCAGAGCGTCCTCTTCCTCGTGCTGTTGCGGTTGCTGCCTTTGCTGTTGCTCCATGAGCTTCTTGAATCTCTCAATCAGATCAGCAGCAGCAAGTGCTGCCTTCACCGCGAAGTCGCGCGCCGACAGGAGCCGCGAGGTGTCGGACAGACAGACCTCCGAAAACGCGCTGTCCGTACACCCCAAAGGGGGCTGCAACAACGAAATACACCCGAACCCAAAAGCCTCCGTGCCTACAGTCGCAAAATAGATGCCTTTTGATCAAGCAGGAAGGAAGGCGGTCAAGCCGAAGGCGGCTTTTGTGTCTTCCGTAGCCTGATACGACGGTCAAGTCTCACCTGTGCAGCCCACTCGAGAGTCTGATCCACGGCGCCAACAGCAGAAGACGGAGGAGGATTTCTCGATTCTAATCCCTAAAGAACAAACCCTAAACTCAGAAATTGATACACCCTCTCCAAGCCAAAAGCGCCCATGCGTCGGAGGCACCACTCACCCACCCCTCCCCTAATAAAGGGATGAACAAAAGCTTGAAACTCGAGAGGCCGTCTGGAGCCTCCAAGCGCCGCTGCTCCTCTCGCCCCCTTATCCCAGGGAGATAATCGCTTACTTTGCAAACGGCCAAAAAGTGCCCTGCAGCTTCCTGGACGTCCGAGTCGTCAACCGATCCATTGAAACTGCGCATCACGTGCGCGTATCCATACCTGATGCAACACACATACATACACATATATACATGCATGCATACATATACACATACATTAATAAATACACGTACACACACATACACACACATACATACACACATACATGCATGCATACATATACACATACATTAATAAATACACGTACACACACATACACACACATACATACACACATGCATACACATACACATACATTAATAAATACACGTACACACACATGCATGCATACACATACGTACACACATGCACACATACATATGCATACACACGCACAAACTCACACATGCATACATACATGCATACATACACATACATACGTACACACATGCATACATACATATACATACACACGCACAAACTCACCCATGCATACATACATGCATACACATACATGCATACATACACATACATATGCATACATACACAACCCGAGCACCCTAAGCTCCAAGCCATGAGGAGCAGTTCACGACGCCCACAATCCCAGACACACCACTCACCTGGTGCACGTACACTCGCTAGGCTTGTTCATTCACCCTAAACCTTGAAATCAGCCATCAGGCAAAGCGCCTTCAAAGGCAAGAGCCCGTCTCAGGAACCCCCTCACTACACAGTACCCCATACAGCCAGCTCAGAGGCACAGGCAAGGGAAAAAGACGAGAATCTCACAGCACTTGCGAAAGCGTCATGACCAGCCGAGAGTCAGGCTGCGTTGGCTGGCAGCAGATATGTGGCGGCTTCTCCACATCGGGCAGTTCAACCTGCAAAGCAAGGCGCCCCCACCCCACAAACTGCACACCGAGTAGCCTCTGGAGCGTCGAACCGGATCTTTTGGAGCGGTTCGGCGCAGCCTTTTGCTAAGAAGCAGACGCGGTGTACTTTCGAGGCAGCTTTGCCTCCCCCTTGACTCTGCTCCCTCTCTAGACCAACCCGGAAGACGCACAGAAAGCCACCACGGGCTCCAGGCATCGAAATACTGAATTAGTTCCCCTCGCTTTAGAGCGGAGAAGAAGGAGGCAGCCTCCTCCGGAGTCAGATGCTCCAGCTGAAGCCTCCCTTGTGTCGCCAGCTGCTGCAGCTGGCGCAGCCGTTCTTCGCTGAGTTGCTGCTCTCGCGCTCTTGAGGGGTTTTGGTTCTGCTGTGAAGCCTCTTCATCGTCGGAGCCTGCTTCTTCGTCTTCGCTGGAGTCAAGCCCGAAGCTGCTGTCAGCCAGCCGCTGCTGCGGCTGCTGCTGATCCGCTTGCCGCTGCTCCAGGTGAATGCGAGTTAGGGTTCTGCAGAAGGCGCGTTTTTCGTGCAGTGTGGGGGCAGCCGCAGCCGCAGCCGCAACGAACTCGGAGTCGTAAAACTGCGATATGCAATCCGCGCTGTGCTTCTGCAGCCACAAGGCACACAAGAGCCCAGGAGAAAGAAGAAGATCCTCTCTCCTCCTCGACACGCGAGTGGACGCTGTCTCCACAGGGAGGACGAGAAAACGCTCGCTTCGCATCGAGCAGAGGTGGCGAGGCTCGATGTTTAGGGTCTAGGAAATTGAAGCCATGATCTATCTCGATGAAGGCGATTTCGGCTTGCACCTTGTAGCATGGCAGCGAACAATAGAGGAGCTTGCACTTGGGGCAGACGTACTTATGCTGCGACTCCTTGCACCTGAAAGCAAGCGCACTCCCAAAAGTGAGCGACTGTCAATACACCCGGAAGCCCGAAGAACGTCACCTCTTCGACTCCTCTCGGGAATTCGAAAGACCGCTCTCACGGGCAAAAACACGAACAAAAAAGTTGAACTGTATAATTTAAAGGGTTTGCGGCATGGGAAGGGCTGCACGCACGCACACTTGGCAGACTTTCAAGTCCGATGAAAGCGCCATCCTGCTGCTGAGGATCCAAAGCTTGCTCCCCTCCCCTCCCCCTTCTCTGACGCGCCCCCACCTTACAGTAACGCCAAGACCAATGGTTTAGGATTTTCGAGCACATACAGTCGCCTCGAGGAATACGAGCACTTGGAAAGCACAGAGATCGCGGCACAAGCTCTACCGAGTGAAGCCTCGACTGCTACAGGCACGCCACGAAACTTTCAACCTGTAAAACCCCCGCCTTCTAGGAAGTCAACATGCACATATCGTGCAGAACTGCTGGCAGTTTCGCCTTTCCGGTAGTTTGGGGATCTAGGCGGTATGCCGAAGGAGCACGAATATGAAATCACCGAGCAACTGTAATTGATGACCAAAGCAATCCGTGCTGCTCATTATTGATGCGTAGGCGCGACTTGGCTGCTGCGGTCTAGCAGCAGCCAAGTAGTGCATGCGCAGGGGAGTGCAGGCTTTGCAGGATGGTCTAATGGGGTTATTGAGGTCTGAGAACCGCATTATTGGGTATGTGCAGGATAAATTCCCCTAAAAAGACGGCACCTTCGACCTTATTGGCGCTGCTTATGCGGCCGAAACACAGCGAGACACCGGCTCCCCTTGCTGCCCGCCTTCGCCAATCCTGCTTTGAAGCTCAAATCTCACAGCCAGAGCTCAAAAATGTCGGATTTATTGGACCTAAACTTTAGGACTGTCGATGGGAGGAATTTCTCGCTGCAGTTGCCGGAAGACTTGGAGATTTCCGCCTTGCTAGAATTGGCTGCCGAAGCTCTGCAGCAGCAGCCTGTCGTTACACCCGGTGCCGATTCCCCTGGTGCTGCTACAACGTCAGCGAGCATCCGACTCATCTTTAGAGGGCAGGCGCTGCAGCCAGAGCAGCAACTGCAGCACTACCGCATTCAATCTGGGCAAACCATTCATGTCGTTCAGAGACTCGTGACGCAACAGCAGCCGCAACAGTCGCAGCAGCAACAACCGCAGCAACAACAGCAGCAGCAGCAATGGACGCCGATCCCACTGCCTGGAGGCGGAGCTTTTGTTATGGCTCCTGGACCTTTCGTTGGTGTGAGGTTGGGGGGTTGTGAGGTTTGGGGGTTGTGAGGTTCATGGCTTTGGAGTTCAGCGCAGGGTGATGCCTCGCATTATTCCTACGAGTCAGTGCGCCGTAGTCAGCTTGGGAATTTGGACGAACCATGGAGGTGTTTTTGCTGTGTGTGCAGGAGGGGGCTGACGGGGATCCTCCCTCTCCCCGCCAGTTGGTTGGCGGCTTTCAGAGGATCGTTAGCACGGCGCTTTCCTCGATGCAGGAGGCTGCTGCTGCGGCTCAACTCCGCTTCCAGCAGCAGCAGCAGCAGCAGCAGCAGCAGCAGCAGACCTTTCAACCTCCGGGAGAGTCTGCTGCCCTCCAGCCGCAGCCTCTTGATCTCGCAGGCAAGTAGCGTTTGCGCTTCCGAGAAAATGGCTCAGCAGAGACACCCCCAGCACGCTTGGATTCTTTTTTTCACGGATTTCAAGGGGAGCAGGGTGTGTGTGTGTGCGTTCTGACTGCTTCAGCAGGTACAGAGCCACGGCTCTCTGCCGAGCTCGCCAACGCTGGCGATGCGCTAATTGGTGCTGCTGCTGCTTTCGGCCGTGGCGTGACGGGATCTTTCGCAGCCTCTACCGAAGCAGCGTCAGCAGCGGCAACAGCATCAGCAGACGCTCTGCCATGGGGAGCTCTGAACAAGCTGCACGAGGCAAGGCGAATCGTAGAGCGTAAAATGGCTGTTGCTGTATGAAGGCATGGATGCAGCCTTCGTGAACGCGTGGAGTTTGGGGGGCAGACGCTGTGCGCTGCAGGCACTCACAGATGCTACCGGATGGGCTCCTCCTCAGCAGAGGACGGAAAGGGAAAGAAGAAGCGCAAGGACAGAAACAGGTGCAGCAACTGCTCCTGCTGCAGCTGCAGCTGCTGCAGCTGCTGCACCGAGGCAGCAGCAGGAGCAGTTGCTGCTTCCTTTTCTCTCCGAATTCGCTGCTGCCACAAATGTGCTGCTGGCAGTGCTGCAGCAGATACAGCGGTGGCAGGAAGGCGGCAATGCGGTAATGTCGAAATTCATGTGACCTTTAATTCGTGTAAACCTCATTCCTTTCCCCCCCCCTCCAAGCAAATTCCGTGTTGCAAGTGCTGAAGCCTCCTTGATGGGCAGTCCCCGTGGCAGTGGCGTGAGGCTTTTTTGGCGTGGTGGAAGATCTAGGAAGAGATGCCTCGGGTGTGTTGTCTGTGCAGCTAACCTCCTTGAGACTGGGGCAGGCTGCACGTGCCACTGGCTGGCTTTCTGCTGCAGCAGCCGGGCTGTCTAGACACCTGGCACTACTGCCACTGCGGCTTCAGGATCAGCAGGAGCAACGGCAGCCACAGGAAGTACAGCAGCAGCAGGAAGTGCAGCAGCAGCAGGAAGTGCAGCAGCAGCAGGAAGTGCAGCAGCAACAGGAAATGCAGCAGCAGCAGGAAGTGCAGCAGCAACAGGAAATGCAGCAGCAGGAAGTGCAGCAGCAGGAAATGCAGCAACAGCAGCAACAGCAGCAGCAGCAGCAACAGCAGCAGCAGCAGCAGGCCCCAAGCCTGTCCAGCAGCAGCAGCAGCAGCAGCAGCAGCAGCAGCAGCAGCAGCAGCAGCAGCAGCAGCAGCGAACGAATTGGTGGACGTAGCAGCGCGGAAGAATCAAGGGCAGTCAAGAGAAGGCAGACAGACGACTCTCCAATAGCTCCAACAGCTGCATCAGCAGCTACACCTCCAAGAGCAACAAGAGCGGTGACTGAGCAGCAGCAGCAGAGCGATGGAGCGCAGCAAGCAAAGCCTACTGAAGAGGAATTGGATGGCAAGCCTCATAAGCCCTGTAGTACACGATAAGGAGCTGTAAATATGCAATTTGCTGCCGAGGCTAGATGTTTTCGATGGAGAGGAAGGCACATACACTGCGTCTCATCCCATGGGAGGGCGATCCCTTCTCGCTCGCTAGCGCCTTCATCAGCAGCTCGCTCATGGAGTGTGCGGCTTTTGCCGTCGATGTGGTGTGCAGAATGGTGCGAGGCTGGCAGCGACAGCGATGAAGACGGCGTGCAGCAGCAGCAGCCACAGGAGCATCAGGTTGCAGGTTTGATGCAGAGCCTTGCTTCCGCTTCTGCTCCTCAGCAGCAGCCAGAAGCAGCAGTTTCAGATGAGGTTGCTGCCCTAGCAGAGCTGCCTGCAGAAGCTCAGAGACTCTTTCGGCTGTGGACGAACGACCTTCGCGCTTTCTCCAGAAGCGTAACTAACTCTCATGCACTAGGATTCGATTGCACTGCAGTGCAGCTGCTGCTCTTGTTGCAGATCCCTCTCTCTTATATATGTATATGTATATGCATACCTATCTAAATCCATCTACGAACTACCCTCCAGTTCATGCGCGCTCGTGGGCTTTGACTTTTCGAATCGCATGATGACGGAGCCTAAGCTCGCGACATCAGAATACGGCTTTCTTTGGGGGTTGCCACGTAGATTGGACCTGAGCTGCATGCGTTGTTGTTGCGCGTACGGAGGTTGCACATAATGTGGCAGTTCACAAGGCGCGGGAGTGTATTTTTGGAGGCACTCCGTGCGATGGATGCTCTAGGAATTCGAGGGGTATGCGTTTGTGGGGTGTGCAGGTCCTTCCCCTCGCAGCGCCTCGACCTTTTAGCTACGCGTACACCTCGCAGACGCAAACATCCAACACGGAAGCAGCCAGAGCATTTCTTCCTCTCAGGTGGGCTGCACGTGACTAATTGACTAAGTCGGTTGAAATGAAAAGGGGGCTTCTGCTTGTGCGTTTTACTGAAGAATTTGGGGAGTCAAGCGGACGGCATCCCTCCCCCGCATCCAGCCGCTTGTGCAAAGGCGGAAGCTTCGGTTGTTGTTTCTGCAAGGGGTGGTTTGTCGCTAGTCTGCGGGGATGCATGCGTGCGTGAGCCCTCCTCGATGGTGGTGCAGGTGGCATTCTGCAATGAATCGCATTGGAGTAGCCGATCGGCAGGCTCCTCCTCCGAGAGACTTGGAAGAGCCGTATTTGCTGCTGCTGCTGAGGGACCTTGCAAGTGCCGCAGCAGCCAACCCAGATTTCTTGGAGCAGCAAGAAAGATACCCTTGCCTTGCAGCGCTGACAAGAGCGCAGCAGCAGCAGCAGCAGCAGCAGCTTCCGCAGTAGGGCGCAGCACTGGTCACACGCTGCAGAAGGAGCTGCAGCGTGTGACCAATGCTGCCGTGTGGTATATATTTATATATATATATAGATATATATATTTATATAGTCTAGACACACACTGCCGGGGAATCCCTGTTTCCGCACAATGTAGGTTATCCCCCCATAGGAGCGTCTCTCTCTTACTCTCTGAAAGCCTTTTGGTGGGGTGCCACTCAAGCTGCTACAGGAGGCGATCCGCGCTCTTTATCTGTGGCTTTTCGCCAACCCCTGATGTGCTGCTGCTGCTGCTTGGCGTTCGGGGGGATTGCATGACACCGAAGCATTGGGGGTAGGCGTCCCTCTTGGACTGACCGATGTGCAGTTTGTGCTGCACGCCTCTGCTCGATGGCGTTTTTTCTTGCCTTTGTTGGGGGGAGGGGAAGGGGTGGGGCAGATGGCTGTGGCGACACCAGCAAGCCGTTTTCGCACGTGCAGTCGGCCCTACACCGGGAGGGAAGGAGGGGGGTAAGGAGCTAGGCGTGGCGTAGGATAGATCCGCATGCCCGTCCATCTACACTATCTCCCTATCGAGCATTATTCCCTGTTGTGGGAAGTACCATCTACGCCACCTCTATGCGGGTGCCTTCCCCCACATGAAAATTCGCACGCAGCGAGGTCTGCCCGGGGAGGACTACTGAGGAAGCCTCAACGCCGATCTGCAGACAGCGCTCTCAGCTCTAGCAGCAATGCTGGCAACCGAGGCTGCAGCAGCACTGCACTTTAGTTGCGTTTTGGTGGGGTGTCAGTGTCTTTCGAAAAAAGCGAAGCAGAACTGATACACGAGGGCTGCCAAAAACCACAGCAAGACAAGCCTGCAGACTGTGGTGACATGCTGCAACACTACCCCCCCTGTAGAAGCCAACAACGCACGGTGTGCTTCTATGTACCCCCACCCCCTCGAGAAATATATATATATATAAATATAAATAAGGGTTTCTTGACGAGGATACTAAAGGGGACGAGAAGCGGCAAGGGGGGGAGCAACGAGCGAGTGCGTCGCATGCGCGTGCATGTGTACATCCGCATAAAAACACATGCATGCGCATCAACACAAGCAAACACGTATACAGAGCGAGGCAAGACCGGAGGAAAAAAAAGGATGACTAGCGGGCAGACACGAATTTGGTGTGCAACAGAGGGTCAGTTACCTGCACAAAAACAGGCACATAAGACTCCGGCGAGGCGCCTTAGTTTGGAGAGGAGAGGAAGCATACAGAAGCTGACCACTAGATAGAACGGTTTGCCCAACTGCCACATTAGCGAGCAGGCAGAGATCTTCAGGAGGCAAGCAAATCCCGAGGGAAAAAAAATCCGGCAAAAATTCGTCTGGTAACACTGCGAAAGCCCTACTAGGTGAAAGAAAGAGGGAAGTCAAAGGTTGTTGTTCATGAAGTAGTAGTAGTAGTAGTAGACACGTATGTTCAAGTTTTCCTCATGAGGCTACACTGGTACGACCTACATCTGCGATTTTGACCGTTATCCAAATACCGAGGATCACAACAAACACCAAAGTGATGCTCATCCTGCAAATCCACGTACCGCAGAACCCTCAAGTCGAGATGGTCTTGCGGTTCTACTGAGCTGTTAACAACACTGGTGGGTAGCGCGAAAGGGAATTTACCTACGAAAGGCTGCAACAAGACCCCGTTAGTCATGAACGACGCATGCTCTCGCACTCCCTCTGCCCCCTGCATGCGTATAGGAACCGCGTCAGGATTGGGGGGGCAGCATGCGAGGCTTGACATACCAAATGATGATAAACCCTTTCTGCGCTTTATCCTGCTCGTTGACACTGACGCCAGCTTGTAGACGCTGCAATCAGACACAAACCCTTTCACGACAAAGAAGCCTTCACTGAACATTCATATGAGGAGAAAGCCCATGCGCAGTGCATCTCATTCCGTTCTGCAGGGTGTAGAGCGCTGAGCTTACACGAGGCGGTGCCCCCACTGCTGCGAGCGTAGAAGATCCTCGAAGCTCCTATATGCCCAAAACGCATGCACACACATATTTTTACACATGCACACATGCATATATATATATATATATATATATGCACACACAGGGCACATGCACACACAAACATGTACATATGCACACACACATACTTACATATGCACACACACATATTTACACATGCACCCATGCATATATATATATATATATATGAAAAACAGAGGACACAAGCACACATGCATATTTACATATGCACACATGCATATACACGCACCCATAGGAGACAAGCACACACACATATCCATACACGCACACCTCCACATACACCTGAAAGCACCGACCGAAAATGCTCACGAGCACACCCACTACCGCATACACATGACTATCAGAGAGCAGACCATGCAATGGGGTGCCTGTGAGCGCGCGAGCGCCGAAGCGCGATGCTGCTCGATTTAGCCCCCGACATGCGGAAAGCGAGGCTTCCGGCAGCGGCTGCTGCAACTATCCCTGAACTCGGCAGTCGTGTAGAGAGGACAGCTGCTTGGGAACACAGGGGACGGGGAGAAGAGTGCTTTGAGGATGAGCAAGAGCCTACCTGAGCAGTGGCTGTGAAAACTATGCCGGTGCTCGTGCTGCTGCTGCTGCTGTTGTTGCCGACGCTGCTGCCGATCAAGAGCAGCAACAACGGCAGCAGCAGCAGCAGCATCGGCAAAAGCCGTCGTGGTGGCTCTACACTCATAGTTTATACCGCAACGGCAGCAACCAAGGCACGTACAACGGCTACCGCTTCCACACCAGCGACCTGCACCGATATCTCAGGGACGGCAACAGCGGCTGTTGCTCTGTTTAGGGTAGAGATATAAGATCGTGAAGGGAAAAAGAACAATTTGATTCATGACAGAGATGTATTTTGTGTGCGGCTCCCTGCTGGAGCTCCTGTCGTCGCCTCAGCCCCATCAGGAAGCAGCGAGGAAGCTGCTGCTGCTCCTGCATGCCACGCATTGCGCGCATCAAAGACAGCTTCCTGCCTCACATAAGCCGTAGACAGCTCAGTCTAGACGTCCGGCAGCAGTGGCTGCTGCACAAACAGCAGCGGCTCGCTCCTTCCTGCGGCAGCAACGGCTCCACTAGCGGCAAGCTATACCCAGACAAGGGACGACAGCAACAACACGCACAGCTCCGGCGGTAACTACGGCTGAAACGCAGAAACATCCTGTGTCGGAATTCCCTGGAGGCTGGAGGCTCTTAAACGCAAAGAACCCCGGCAAAGAGTTTGCATCTCACTTCTGCATGAGGTCTTACGCCTGTGTGTCGGCGGCGCCAAGCCGTATTGTGTCTGTACACCCCAGGGCCCACGTAAGGCGACATCCCAGAGGTCTCGTGCTCTCAGAGTGACAGTGCGGCGCTGGGAAATACCGCTAAAAGTCTCAACAGCAACACCAACTGCCAAGGCAGTGGAAGCTGGACGGCAGCTGCAGCACTGGCTGCAACTGCTGCCGCTTCGGCATCAGCTACGAGCTACTGCGAGTTGGAGTCAGGCGTTTCCTTTCGGATCCCGTTCTCTGCTGTCTAGACGCCAACCCCCTGCGAAAATGCATAACTCAAGCCCCCACGTGAGCAAGGAGTTCTTTGACCTCATCAAGTTTATTGGAGAGGCCAGATCCAAGCAAGTACGCTCGACAGGTTGAGTTGTTGTGAAAATTTAGAGCGAATGAGGGCAGGAGCTCAGACTGGGAGCTCTGACGGCTGCACCTCTTCTTGTTGCTCTTTGACGACGGGAGACTTGCGAGGCTTTGCTCTAGCGCGTGATTGGGTAGAAGCGTGAATAGGAACGCAGGGGCGCAAATGCGCACATGCGTATGTGCAAAAACTTCAGGAGGAAGACAGAATTATTGCCAATGAAATCGTCGTCCTCAAAGAGCGAATGAGTCAACCCAAAGTCTCCACTGTGAGTAGGAGAACCCCAACTCCTCCCTCCTCTGCGGAGCTGCCTTTCAAAGTGGTGCTGCATCCTGCACTTGTTGAATATACATATATGGATTCGGACCTGAGTTTTGCCTCTCCATCTTTAGGATTCGTTCTGGCTTCGCAGTGCACGCCGCATGCGGCGTATCCTCCTCGGTGAATGCGCGTGCGTGTCTGTGTGCGTATGCGTATGCGTATGCGTGTTGCGGGGTTTGTGTGGTAGCGGCGCATGCAAGAGTATATCATTCGGAGTTTGTACGTCGAGCTCTTAGGCCACAGTGCCGCTTTCGCGCATATCCATGCAGTCAAGCTCGCAAACCAGCCGCAAGCAAGGGCCAAGTGGATCGGTGCATAATAAAACGCTTAAAATCAAGCCCTCCTTCCAAACCCCCCTTACGCAGCCATGTATCCCGCCATTCTTCCCCTTTCCCCCCGCAACATCTTTTGTGCGAAAGCAGTGCGTGTGCATTGCGGTGCCATAGAGGCCCCTCAGCAGCAGCGGCAAGGCGCCTGCCCTGTCAAGGCAGAGTCTTCTCGCCGCAAAAGACGCCTTTCTCGCTTCGCTTCATCGCTGGGGAGGGTTGCGTTTTGGTCCGGATACTGCTGCAGGCTATTTGGCGTGCAATTTATTCTTGCATCAAGACCACGAATTGATGCTGCTTCTTGTCAACACAATTCAAAAGGCAAACGCTGCATGCCTGCAGTCCCTCGTTTAGAGCCGTGCTTGAGAGTCTATCCTGCAAGTTTTCTGTTAGCTCTCCTGACATTCTGAGAGAAGCTTCTTGGAGCTCACCGTACGAGTAGTCTGCTGAAAGAGTCTGCAGGGAAACACAGGGTTGTGTCTTCGTCTTGTGGGTGGTGTAATGTGGGTGTGGTGTCAGGATTTGCGGTCACCTAACGTGCTGTACGCGCAGGCGGCGCTGCAATGTGTCTCGCGTCTGCTCACCCTTGAAATGTTGCCTGCTGTCGCTGCGGCAGCGACGGATTTGCTGCAGCACCCGCTCGGTGCAATTCGAAGGAAGGCTGTCATGGTGCTGCATCGAGTGATCACTCTGCGACCACCTCCCCCGTTCCTCTCCCCTCGATCTCAGCCGCAGCTCTCGAGCCAGCCGTTTCAGCGGCAGCAGCCACAACAGCCTGAAGGGGCAGGAAGCGCTGAAGAAGACGACTACATCATTCCAGATCTACTGGGAAAAATAAGGCGTGCTCTTTGTGACGGTGATCCATCGGTCATGGGGGTGTCTCTACACCTGCTGCGACGCCTCGCGACAACGCACAGGGCCCAGTGCACCGAGTTTGTCGCCTCTCTCGTCTGCATCCTCAAACAAATCTTAGATAGGAAGCTACCCAAGGATTTTGAATACCACAGAGTTCCTGCTCCGTGGATACAGGTATGTGTGTTAAAACGGGAAGGGGGGGGTTCTTGCTGCTTTCAGATTGTTAGAGAACGTCGTGCGGGCGAGGCAGCTGTTTCGGCGTGTCGTTGTGAGGGCGCTAGAGTACACGATGGGATCCGAATGCAAGCCTTGGCAGACTGATTCTTTAGCTCAAAGGCTTTTGATGGAGGTGGGTAGTGGTTCAGGGCCTTGTTTGCCGCGCGTCTATGTGCGTCTTCATGGCATCCGTCTTGGAGTTTGCTCTCAGATGAGTATCTTGTCAGTCCTCGCGAAACTCGTGGCTGGAGATGCCCGCTTGTCATCCGAGGTGTATTTGGTGCTGGAGGAGGCGATGCGCCGTGCAGACTGCACGGCGAACGTGGGGTTCGCACTTGTGTATTCCGGTGTACGTACAGCTGCTGCGGTGTATCCGCAGCAGCGCCTGCTGGCTGCCGCTGCCGCGGCTACCTCCAAGTTTCTTCTTTGTAACAACAACAACCTGCGCTACGTAGGAGTTGCAGGTCTCGCTGCGTTGGCAGGAGTGGCCCCTACGCATGCAGCCAGCCACCAGCTCGCCATCATCGACTGCCTCGAGGATGCCGATGATACGCTGAAGCACAAAACGCTCAACCTCCTTGCAGTCATTACCAACCCCAGCAACGTTGCCTTCGTCGTGGAAAGCCTTTTGCAACATCTCCGCACGGCAGCGGACCCGCATCTAAGGGCGAGCCTGGTCTCTCGAGTCGCTATGCTGGCGGAGAGGCGAGTCGCGAAGCTCTCATCCGAATGCATCCTTCTTATCCCCCCTTGCTTTCCACTCCACCGATGGCGATCGCACCCTCGAACAGTCCCCTGCCTGCACGCCTCACGCCTTTGCACGCAGGAAAAATGTTGGAGGCGGCGCGTGTCATGCCTCCAAGGGTAAGGCTAGTCAGGCTCCTTTGTGTGAATTTTTTTTTCGCGTGTCGCTCCAGATTCTCGCCAAGTCCGAAGTGGTTCGTGAGCTCTGTGCTCGCGTTGCTGGAGGTAGGAGGGGGGGGAGCCTGCTTAGGTGCTCCTGGAGCAGCGGCAGCAGCAGCGACTGCCGGCAGCAGCGGCAGTTGCAGCAGCACAGCCGCTGCGATGCACGCAGCGCAGTCTCTCCTGCAGTTGGTCGCAGACGGAACGGATGGGACCCCTCAGCAAGACTACGAATTCAGGGTGTATGTGGTCAATGCCCTCGCCTTGCTGCTGAGACGCAAAAAGCAGATTCCAGACATCCTAATCCAGGTAGAGCTCTGCTTAGCGTCTGGCTGTTTCAGAGAGAAGAAGCCGCGCATGAACGCGAGGATGGACTCACTCTGCTCGGTGCAGGCCGTGTGCGCGCCTTCAAGTTTCGACTGTTCGCTTCAAGAATCAGAGCTTTTTTGTGTCGCAGCAGCTGTCTTTTTTCACGCTTGAGGGTGTCGCCGCAGGTGGCTAGCTGGGTGTTGGGCGAGTTTGGTTCCCTGTGCTCGCTGCCAGATCTTTCGCAACGTGATTTGCTAGCGCTTCTTCGAAAGGCTGCGCAGTGGTGAGTGAGCGGCTCTACGTCCTGGCGTTTGGAGCTAGCTGCCAGCTGTAGCCTCCCCCGAAGCGCATGCACGCAGCCTTCTGTGCGCAGCAGACAGCAGCACGGCACTTGCACGCCGTTTGCTGCGTGTCTCTGCAGGACGCATGAGAGCAAAGCAACGCGAGGCTGGCTGATTTGGGCATTGGTGAAGCTGTCAGCGCTTCACGCAGCAGCAGCACCTGCAGACGGGAGAGCTGCAGTGGACGGCATGGTGCTGCAGCAGCTGCAGCAGCAGCAGAAGCGTCTGGCAACAACAACGGATGTTCAAGAGAGATGCTTCAGGGGGGCCCTTCTACTGCAGTTGCTCCCTTCCAAACTCCTCGGGTTCGACACGACGATATCTCGTTGTATTCGTTGAACATCCTCGAGGCTGCGAACCAGACGAGCGCTTCGCAAGCACACAAACACGCTTCCAGCCAACACCAACAAACTGCCAAAGAAAGGGCTTGCGATCAGAAGCCTCAGTAGCTTGCGGCATTCGATGTGCATCGGTTTGTTTTCAGGGAGGTTTTTCCGTTCGACGCAGCAACCGAAGATATTCCTTCAGATGCTCTTTTGAACACGGGAGCGGTCCGCTACTGCTGCTGCTGCTATAATATTTGCTGCCCTTGCTACTGCTGCTGCTGCTGCAATATTTGCTGCACTTGCTACTGCTGCTGCTGCTGCACTATTTGCTGCACTTACCACTGCGGCTGCTACTGCAAAAGCTACCGCATTGTGCGTGTGCCTGGGTATGGATTCTCCCATTTGGCTATGCTGCAATTTTGTGTGACTGCCTGTATTGGGGGATTTCTGCTGTTGCGTGCAGGCGTATGCCAGAGCCGCCGTTGCAGCAGGAGCTGCAGCTTACATTCCCCGGAGTCAGCGAGAAGCAGCAGCCGTTGCCGTTGCTGCTGCGGCTGCACCAGCCGTAGCACCTCACTCCGCAGCAGGAGCTGCGCAGCACCACCAGCCAGTCCGTCTCCTGAGCTGTACCTGCTGGGCTATCCGGTTCACCTTTTCGAACTCCTGGTTTGAGCTCTGCCGTTCGGTTTGAAGGGTGCGAATCCGGATGTGCGCTGACTGTTGCGGCTTGCTTGCTTGTGCGTGGGGTTGGTTGCTCAGGCTCACACGGCTGCCTTGAACTTCACTCCCTATGCACTGCCTACTGCACCGCAGCAGCCGCAATCCAGGCCTGCTGCAGCTCCTGCCTCTTCTAGCACTGGACTCCAAGTGCAGGGTGCGTGCAGGTTGTGTGCATTTCAGAAAAATCTCGCTGGAAACGATCGCCACAACGCGAGGCATGCACCCCACGCCAAGATTTTGCGCGCTATCAGAGATGTGGCTGCCTTTTCTGCATGCGCTCAGGTCCACGACGTTGGGGTCCTTTCGGCTTTGTCGGCTCTACGAATGGATCGGAGCATGCTGCTGCTGCTGCTGCTGCTGCTGCTAGCAGCAGCAGCAGCAGCAGCAGCAGCAGCGCATGGCAGCCGCATGCAGCAGTAGCAGCGGTTTCCGCCATCGACTTGCCTCCACAACCCCAGTACCAGCAGCAGCATCTGCAGCAACAGCAGCGCGAGCTGACAGAACGGGAGCGGATGGCTGCTGCTCTCTTTGGTGGACTCTCAGGAGACTCGGCAGCCGCAGCAGCCGCAGCAGCAGCGCCTGCCGTTGCAGCAGCTATGCCAAATGGCGGGATGCTCGGCAGCATCTCAGCTCCTGCAGCAGCGTCTGCTGCTGCAGCGACTGCAGGAGCACCAGCACCCCCTCAACCCCTGCCCACTATTGACCTGTTGGACCTTGACAGCAGCAGCAGCAGCAGCAGCAGTAGCAGCAGCAGCAGCAGCAGTGGCAATGGTAGCAGCAGTAGCAGCAGCAGTGGCAATGGTAGCAGCAGCAGCAGCAAAAGCGGGGCTGATGACATTGTTTTAGACGTTCTTTCTCTTAGTTTACAGCAGCAGCAGCCGCTACAGCGGCAGCCACTGCAGCCTCTTGCCATCACTACGGAGCAGGTGACGCGCGCTGCTGTGGATGATGTATTTTGCTGCCTTTGCTCTACTGGGTTTGCAGCGCTCTGAGCAGCCGTGCTTTGTGCTGCTCCTGCTGCATGCGTTTCCTTGCTGTTGTGTGCTCTGCTGCAGCTGGGCAGTGGCTGGGCTGCTGTACCTGGGGAGGCTGCGGCAGCCGCCACATTGCAGCGGCCTGTGCTGTGCAGCGAATTTGCAAACACCTTTGCTGTAAGCGCAAAAGCAAGTGCTCGTCGCTCCCTAATGCTTTCTTGCACATTGTAAAGCCGCTGTGTCTAAGTACAGAGGCCAAGTTGTGCTTCTGGAGGCTGCTCGTTCCTGCCACTCAATGAAGCTTTCGAGAGCAGCTCACACTCAGAGTGGGTGGCGTGGCATATTGCGCGCAGCGAACTGTCGGGGCAGCGGTGGTAGAAGTTATTGGCAAGGAGGCAGTAGCAGCAGGCACGGCTCAAGAGGGTCCGGTGTACATCCACCTCAGCGTGGATGCACCTACTGCTACCGTTCATTTTAGGATCAAAGCAGCATCTCAAAGGTAATCTGCTTGGATATTGCCATGCCTTTAGTGTTATCCAGGCTACTACAGCCTCTCCACAGGTGCCGCTTTAAAGTTTACGGCTTTGGGTATGCGCTCTGTGTGTGTGCTAACAGCCTTGCGGACCGCGTTGCCGCAGCTTGCAGCAACCTATAACTTGGCAGCAACAGCAGCAGCAGCGCCAATCAGATGTCGATTGCTCTTGCTTCTTTAGGGTGTAGGTCTTCCTTCGCCCTGAAACCTCGCTTTTCTGTTTTCGAGGCTTTTAAGGGATAGTTGTATACCCATTAGTTCTTTCTAAATGAGTTGTTGCTGGAGCAACAATCGCTAGTTTTGTGCGTGCTAGTGCCACCTCACATTTTGCCGCTGACGGACCAGTTGCTACAGGGGTGGCTGTGATGAGGCTACAGTAGGTGCTCCTGCAGGAGTTTGAACTAGACACATGGCTGCTGCCTTCTGCACCTTCTATTTCAGGAGGCCATGCTGCTGTAACGAGGGACCAACCGCCTTAGCGGCGTTCTTGCTCCTAGTCGCTGCTGGTGATGCCATAGTGTTGCCACAGTACCCCGTGGCTGCTCTCTGCTGTTGAGCTGCTTGAGCTTCCCAGTGCTGCTTCTGTGGCTTCTGCCCCTCCATCTTCTCGTGATGCTGCACCTATGGGCTTGCTGCAGCTCTAGTATTCTTTTTGGGATGCAGTACTTTCTGCTTCTGCTGAATGCGCTGCTTCTGTTGCGTCAGATGCCCTTTCGCAGCTGGCTGCTGAACGCGGGTCTATAGTTTCTGACGGTACATCTGATCTTGTGTTTCCCCGGAGTGCTCTATCTGGCGGTTCATCTGTTGTTGCTGCGGCTTCCGTTATCGCTGTGTATGTCATTGTCTCCTGTGGTGTGGCTGCCTCCTCGACTGCCGTAGTCTTATCTGCCAAAGTGCTTGTTTCCTCCCCTATTCCTGGTGCATCGCTTCTTCCTGCATCTGGTAATGCTGCTTCGTTTGGAAGGACTGCTGCTGCTGGCTCTGCTGCCATTTTTGCCCTGTCTTCCTGTCCTCCTGCGTTTCCTGTTGAAACATTGGCTGCTGACTGGCACGGAGTTGCTGTGGCCGCTTCGGTTTTCCCTGGTGTATCGGGTGCTACTCCGGCTCGTTGCACGCTGTGCTGTGTCAGCGTCTCACCTGCTGCTGCTTCTGTTACACCTGCTGCTGCGGGGGCTGTTTGCTGACTTGGCGATGCTGCTCCGTTGGCTGCTGTGTTTGCTGCCTGTGCACCGGGGGTGTCCATACTTCTGTCGCTGCTGCAACCACTCAGGGAGCGGTCGGTGCTGCACCAAGTGCTCTCGCTTTGCAGTTGTAGCGGAGGGACTTGCAGTTGGCTGCTATTGCTGCTCCTCTCGCCATCGCTGAAAAATCGGAAAGCAGCAGTCTCGCTAGAAGCCACCCTGCTGGCGAAGGTGCACCTCGCCAGAACGCTGCTTCGCAGAGAAGCGCTCTGCAGCCGCTGCCACCATCGTGACCTCTGTTGGTGCTGGATTTGCTCAAAATAGTGGTGGAGGTGTGACATACCTATTGGTTGGTTGGGCTTGTGCCCTGCGAGCCTCTTCGCACACGCGCCTAAACCCTGAAGCATGGAATGACAGATATGAGATGACATATACAGGGCGAAGGAGGGATCAAGAGAAAATGGGCAGCAGAAACAGAAAACAGGGAGAGCCACAAACAAATAGGCCGGAGAGCAGTTCGGGATATGAAGGAGGGCAGATGCAATGGGGAAGACACAATCCGGCAGGCTAGCTGGTGCAGCGAGGGGTGATATCGCAACAGCAGGACAAGGAAAGGAGGGCAGGGCAGAAGTATTTAAGGGGCAGTAATGAGGCACAGCGAATACGGAAACACCAGAATGCATAGCTGAGAGACTGATGTACAAGATGAACCCGATTTGTTTTGGTCGACTCGTTGCTCCTTTCTTTGCTGACCATCGATCAGTCTAGTTCGTTCCTCTCGCTTCTCTTTGTTGATCAGCTCCAGCTCCTTCTTCTCTGCCTCGATACCTCCCTTCAAGAAAGCTGTAGCAGTTCTTCTGTCCCTCCACTTCACAGGAGTATCATCTAGGAAAGTGAGAGAAGGAAATCCACAGATCAGCCTCTTCCTGTAGTGCCGGAAACTGCTTACCTGCGAAATACAGCAACGTGAATTTCTGCCGTACTCCGAATGTTCACAAGTTTCGGGCTCCCTTCTGCTCCCCCAGAGTAACAAAGAAATTCTTTTTTGCTTGATGGAAGAGGAAGGAGCAGAAACCCCGAAATTTCGTTTGCCTCCTCCTATATCTGTCCTACATCCCCCTCTGTTTCAGTGCCGAAGGCGGCTTTTGATAGGTTTTAGAGCAGATGTGAAGAGCAGAGAATACGAAGGGTAGCTTTAGGCTGATGAAGGCTGCCATCACTGAAGCATACAAACACTGGGGAGGGGCACTCGATTACTGCCATCCCAGCCCACCACAGGGAGAGAGGGCCTTTGAATATTCGGAGGACGCGAGAAGGAGGCACAGCCATTACCTTGCAGACGTGTATACACCTGTCCGTGTAAGTACTTAGATATGCCACATGCATGAACATACGTCTACAGGTGCGGCTGTCTCTGAGCCGTTCCCTGAATGTATCCATGTTTATAAAAGTACGAATCTGTCCGTAGGGGCAAGTCGCATGTAAGCAGATATATTTTTGCTCCAACCTCCCCGAAAAAACCAACCTTGAGCCTCTCTCTAGGACTCAGCTTTGCGTACCACAGGGTTTCGATGCAGGTAGAGGACCTTTAACTGCCGAAGGCTTTGCAGTTGCTCGATGCTTTCTCCCTTGCATATATGGTTGTGGCTCAGATCCAGCACGACCAGGGCCTTAAATCCCAGTAATGGTGTCAGCGCTTCGTCCTCTATCTGGTTAAAACCCAGATGCAGCGTCTCCAGCAAGGGGCAACAGCCCTCTGGCATTGCAGCGGTAGAGCAGTTACCGCACAGAACTCGTCTCGTACGACCTGATAATTGTGTGGCGCCCTCGTTCACTCTATATACATGTGCTGCTATCCCTCTTATCTCTGTTGTGGGTGGTGCAGCATATCCTAGAAAATACCCCAAAGTGTCTCACAATGCCTTTGGAACTGACCGAGCCCTGAGATATCTGAGATGAAGTTGTTGCTAAGGTTCAGCACCCGTAGGTCTTTGAGGCAGCAAAGGCCGGAGATCTCCCGAATGCAGTTCTCGTTCAGGCAACTACAAATACAGAACAGGAAGAAAAAGAGTGAAGTGAGCGAACAGAGCTACAGCAGCAATGGCAAGGCGAAATACGGGCAGCTTGAGCAGCTGCGGCATGTGGACTGTCATCTACAACATACAGATAGAGAAGAGACACCGGCATCGTGGCAATTTCACCTTTTTTGGTGGCACACTGCAGAAAGCCGATAGATGAAGGCTCTTAGGCGGTTAAAGGGTCTAATAGTCATGCAATTGTTGAGGAATTGTGGCTTCTCCGGGTTTGAGGTTTATCTAAGGATTTGCGGCTCATGCTGGGGTTTACGCTTTATGCCTATCGCCGTTTTCCCTCACAGGGTCCGCAGAGACGTGCAGCCATCCAAGCCCTCAATTTTCGTTATTGCTAAACACACGGCACATCGTAAGCCGTACACTTTCCACTGTATCGTATGAGATGGCTAGCATGCGCTGATGCGTCTTTTGGATTTGCATCTCTGTTGCGGCCCACGTGCCTTACTATATCTGCCCCTGCTATTTTTCCTGGTGTGGTGGCTATTGCCGCTGCAGCCTCGCTGCCTGCTGCTTTCTTCTTTCTTTTCGATTTGCATGTATATGTATGCTGCAAAAGCCGCTACAATGGGTGCCTTATCAACTTTAACGTCCATTCCTAAACCCTAAGCACTATCACTAACAACAGCAAGCATTAAGCCCTAATAAATCAATCGAAAGCTTTTTTTTCTGACCGTTGCCATCCGCATACAGGGCCTTAAGTCCGCAGAAATCCTCTAGGCCTCCCAGATTTTTGAAGCCCTTTCGGTGGATGTACAACACGCTGTTCAGGGATGCAGTCCTGTAGTATAGCTTTGGCTTCTCACCCAACACGCGTGCCAGCACCTCCCGAGTCATCTCACACGCAACCTCCGTCATTGTCTATTACCCCAACTCCAACGTCTAATGGTACAACCTGAATCCTTTGTGTGAAGCTTCAAATTGTGCGCATCTCGAAGGATAGAGAGCCTATAGAATACACTGGGAACATATATAGACACAGAATTAGATGGAGAGGCCGTCAACATAGGAGGAAGCTCATGTACAGGCTAGGGGGTCTCGGGAGTTGTTGAACAACCCAATTTTTTTTTGGTGCGGACCTAGCACCAAAGCAGCTACAACAGAAGCAACGGATGGATAATGTCGCACGAAGAATTTGTGGTTTAGATATGGGGTTTGCAAGGGTTTCATGTCGGCGTTTTATTTTTGGGGATGCGACCAGCGCATGCGGTAGTCTGCGCTGCCGCATGCAGCAGCAGCCACAGCTGTAAAAGGGGTAGCAGTGACTACTGTCCCCATAAAAAGGGTTAGCGTTTTGGATGTTCTAAGTGTATTTTTAAGCGAAGATGGGTATTTGCTGTTATCCCGAGGACAGAACCTCTTAAAACGGAAGGAGCAACACTAGTGGAGGGCTCTGAGCTTTGTGCCCGGAGCGCAGGTGTGTTGCACCAGAGAAACGCTGACTACTCTCGCATCTTTGCGCTGAAGCCCGAATACACTGCAAAGGCTTCAGCAGGCTGACTTTTTCTAGCGGCCGCAATATGGTGCACAGAACTGCAGCGCGAGCAGCAGCAGCACTCACGACACGTGGAGCATACACAAAATGCAGTGGAGTCGGCGCTGCCTCGTAGGCGCTGCCCTGCGCTGCGGCACAGCAGCAGGAGCAGTAAAGCACAGCGGTGTGGGGGCAAGGAAATTTTTGTCATCGGCGGCGGGCATAGGTGCCTGCTGCGTAAGCTGCCAATGCTGGCAGCTGCGTTCAGCGGTTACAATAGCTGGAGAAGTGGATGCAGTAAGAACGGGAGCAGCAGGAGGCGTTTCACGGCGTGCGCTGCATGCAGCCAGAGCACCACCAAAAAGTCAGACGGCGACAGCTGCGGAAGTGGGTCCACATGCAGCAACGGAACCAGCTGCCTGGGCTGCTCCTTCTGCACCCAATGAAGATGCCAAGCTGTATACTGTTGCTGCAGCTTCTCGTCAGCTGGCTGCCACAGTGCCTCTGCAGCTGCTGAAGTCTGCTGCGGCAGCAACGGCGTCTGAAGCAGCAGCTGCCGATTGGAGTCCTCTGCGTGCTCTGTGGAATCGCTGCGTGAAGCAGCAGCAGCAGCGCGATCTGGGTAAAGACGATGCACCGCTGCAGCTAGATCACGTTGCTCTTCTCCTTGAAGTGAGGAATGACTCTAAAAGCCACGTGCCATGGCGTGCTCGAGTCTGCCTATCCCGATTGAGAGTGACCCCTCTCTGTCTGCCCCTCTATCTTGCTAGAAGCTTGTCTAAGGATTCAGGATTTTGACGCCGATGCGAAAGATTGTGGTGCAGGGATGTTTTGCTGCGGGCATGCGCGAGTTTTCCGTAGTCAGCGGCTTGCTGAACATTGCCCGAACCGCCGTGGCAGAATCTCCTGAATCTCTGTTGCAACAACTCCCTCGTAAGAATGTGCTGTTTTTACCTTTTCTGGTGTAGTTGCTTCCTGGCGCTGGAAGCTCTTCCGTTTGGACCTGTGCCGCTTCTTTTACGTGAACACGACTTTGCGGCAGCGGTCTAGGACTGGGGATATACATACATATATATGCCTACCATGTATATGTGTCTGCTCTATACATATGTCTGCTCTATATATATATATATATATATATATATATATATATATGTATATATGTATACTATATATTTATGTATGTCTACTCTATACATATATGCATATTATGTGTACATTTATACTATATATATATATGTGTGTATATGAGGGTCGAGACGCCATGCTTCTTTAGTAAGGGCTTCTGGTTTGCATTCAGGCCTAAGCAGAGCTGTGCGCAGCCTGGCGTTTTTGCATTTCGACTTCTTTCGAGACGCGGAAATCGCAGTTGCGCAAACAGGGCCCTCTCGAGGTAGGCTGACTTGAGCCTGAGGCTCTGTACAGACAGTGCGCTGGGGTTGGCTGTCCAAGGAGAGGCATCCGGATGAAGCCGCTTGCTGCTAGGCTGTGGAGCGTAGCTTTGGGGTGTTGCGTGCAGTTGCCTCTCTTTGGAGTGGACGGGATCTGTGCTCCGTCGTTGAGGCGTTTGCCCAGCAGCGTATGCCGTCGGCTGCCCTCGTTACAACGGCGGAGTTTGTGCTGCAGCAGCAGCAGCCGCTGCTGCCCTTAGCCACTGCTGCGCGGCTGCTGCTGGCGTGCGCGCAGCTGGACGTTCAGGTCGAATCTGTGTTGCAGCCGCTGCAGGAGCGCTTGCAGCAGTTGCTTGAAGGGCAGCTGCAGCAGCGGGAGCTGGGACGGGTGGAGGCGTTGGCTCTTGGCTCAGCCGCTGAAGCAGCACTTCTGCTGTACCATCACCCCCAGTGCTTCCAGCAGGAACGCTGGATGACTTTGCTGCTCTCCTGTGTTGAGAGGTTAGTTCCTTGGGTTTCTGGCACGCGCGCTCGACGGAAGGCTGGGCATGGGCATGTGGCGCGCTTGCGATGTGTGCAGGTATGCGTTTTGCATTCTTTGCCTTGCCTGTTGCTGGCGATGCAGGGTTGCTGCCTTTGCTGCTGAGCAGCAGGAGGCCTTCTGGATATTTCCGTCAAATGCTCGACTCCACAGGTGTGGCTTGCGGTGAAGCGTGTATAGACAGATACTCATTTAGCAGGGCCGAAGAATTTGAAAGTGGAGGAGTTCAAAGACTGCGAAATTTCGAGAGGGTAGGAGTGAAATATGTGTGGGTGATGGTGGTGATAGTTTAGGGGTTTAGTTCTGGGGTTCGACTGTGTTCAGGCAACTTCTTCTCTGCCGTCTGGCACTGCGTACTCTCAGCCGCCATTCGTACGAGCACCTTGACGGTAAGGCTGCTAGGACGAAGGGCTTGGTTGGGAACTTGGTGTGTCTCTGTCATTCGCTTGGAAAGGCCTTCCTTTGTTCTCCCACTTTGAGCGCTAGGTGTATCGACGTATCAGCCTTGAGCTGAAGATCACCGCACTCTTTGAGACTGTTCGCTTGCAGTGGAAACTCGGCGGGCTCTACGGCAGCTGCAGCGCGTGGAGTTGACGCATACACCGAGGCCGCCGACTGTCTTTGTGCAGAAGGTAGGATCTTGGCTTTGCAACTTTGGACTAGGTTCTTGATTTTACGGAGAGTGTTTGCTTTTTTCGACTTGAGCGCTGAGTTCTGGCCGTGAGCTTCGACATTGAGGGTAAAGGTTTAGCGTTTGGGGTGAAACGTTTGTGATTTGCAGTTTAGTGCCATTCTATCCAAGCTGCGAATCGCTCACCAGGCTTACGCAATGCGGTGCGTCTCTGCATATCCTGGTTGTCTGCACAAAGCCTGAGGGTAAAGGACTCTGGCTTTCGAGCTTTGTCGTCTGCAGCATTTCGAGTCAAGGTTTAGTTAGGGCGCAAAAAAGGGTGCTTGAGATTTCGTTCAGGGGCATCCTTTGTTTCGATATTCTGGAACGCGATCGCAAGCTGGCTTGGAGCTGCGACGGAGCAGATCGGTTCTACGTGCACACAAATAGCAAAACAGCAACGGGTATAATATGAAGCTTAGGCTTTAGGTTTGAGTTTGCCCAGCCAACACGTGATGCTCTGTTGAACTGGCTGGTTGAGATGTTTTTTGGATCGTTTGCACAGCATTTAGCCAGTTTCGCTGTAGAACCCATGCCACCCTAAGATTAAGATTGAAATGTACAATTGGCGGTTTGCTGCGTGCCTGCTTCGCAGTGCGCTTGCATGAAAAGATCACGCGAGGCCTTGGAATCCGAATGGCACACTGCGCGTATTGGCAGTGGAACAAGATGAAGTAAGTCCAAACGCTGCTGTTCTGGCTCTCGAATCGCTTCGGCATTCAGCGTGGGGAAAGTTGTTATCTGTTAAGGGTTTAGTACTTGCGGTATGATTGAAGGGCCAGAAGAACTCGCATCGAATTCGTCCGGATGAGTCGCTATTATGCACTACAGGATCGTCGGTAGGCTCTGATTTCCACAAAAGCCTTGATAAGAGACACCCCTTGATGAGTTGCCTATGTGTGCCTATCTGTTAGAGTTCTAGGTGCCATGGTTGAGTCAGAAGTTTAGATTGTCTGTTTTGTGCTGCAGCGAGACGGACTTGACATTTGAAGGATGGTTGCTTCCCCATGTGCATCATGTGCATAAGCAGAACAACATCGAAGCTTTCTGTCACTTTCCAAACAATCAGCCCTTGGGTCACGCTGTTTACTAAATTGCATCCCCGAAATCCTAGATCCTTTTGACTCACTAATCACATGCCTTTTACCCAGCTTCTTTAGGGTCTAGAGCTCACAGCTGTGGAGGAAAAACGGTGCCGTACAATTTCATGTGTGAAGCCAGGTACCTTAGACCCTAGAAGTATTCATTGTACTGTATTTAGATTCTATGAGCAAAGGGGTGCTCCATTTCCTCGCAGCAGACGCCATCTAATTGAAATTTAGAGTTTCGGTTAATGTGTGAGAGGCAAAGCTTTATGGTAAACGCTTGTCTCTGTTGTACCTGTTTCCGCCCATTGACTTGAATAGCCCCAAGGGGTAATCTGGAATGCGCCAATGTGGTGCGCGGCACACAAGCCTGCTACTTCTCTTGCCAAGAGCTGTGGTTTGGTGCGATGGACTCTGAACTTAAGACAAGCGAAAGCCTTCAAGGCTGTTTATTTTGTTGTTCTTGTGGGGTGTCGTGTCCGACTTGACATTCCTAGTAAACACGAACGCGGGAAGGCGCTTCGTCTTCTCTGCTGCAGCGTTACCACGAGAAAATTCGTACATCCAAACTGACGGGGGGGCTTTCTATTCCTGGAGTTTCGCCGATTCACAAACTGATAGTGCCTACTGATAGGGTGTCCGTGGGCCTCAAGCAATCAGAGTAAAGGCGCGCATGGGCTGAAAGAGAAAGCATTGAATGCATAGAACATCAACTGTCAGAAGACTTGCATCAACTGAAAGATCACTTTTTGTACTCGAAGCCCATTTAAATTTCCCCAGAAGCATGGAGATCGCACTTTCGACCGCCTGGTCGGCTGCGTGGCCTGGTGCATAAGCTAGAGCCACCATGAACCACTGCTACCCCGTCTTACACTTCATCACACGCTCCAGCATAGCGAATAACAGATTCAAAGCTGTACAAATACTGGATGGATGCCACTGTTTCACTAAAGCATTCGCAACGAACGCCACCAGAGGCTCTCCTGTGTGCCAGCGAGTCGAGTGCTCATACTTTGCAGCTTAGCTGGATCACCGTGAGCCACCGCTTTGAGTTCTTTACCATCAAAGCATAAATTATTCATAAATACAAGGCAAATTCTAGTGTGTCTGTGCTGTAGCAGTGCAGTTCCTCGCAGGGAATATCCGCTTTCGGATGCTGCGGAGTGACCTCGCAGTCTGTAAATCGAGGCGAAGACACGCCTTCCGATGGCAAAAAGGATGGCATCTTCGTCATAGTTGCTTGGGGAAATATGTTTAAGTACTCATTTCTGAGTGCTGAATGCCCGTGCAACGTGTGTGTGCGCACGGCCAGAGGCGTGCGTTGTGCTGCCACGTGCCACACCACTGGACCACTACAGCTCGATGCGGAATGCTTCTGCAAAGGGGATGAAGGTCAGCATTCCTTCCTCAGATTGGTTATTTGATTGTATTATTAATTGTAGTAAGTGCTTACTGAACGCATCAACACACCTTCCGAGAATCGAGTGCCCCTTTTCTCCCAAGCCACACACACCTCTTGGCACATAAGCAAAACACTGTCCTTCAGGTCCCCCAATACAAGATGCAGATACGCGCTAGACTGTAGCTTGGTCTGTCTGCTGTTTGTTTTGCTTTGATCTCCAGATATCCTTGCCCCTCAGGTTCATTGCTCCCGAAGGTGCTGTGAATACACTTATATACCCCGTGGCAGCGTCAGCTTCCCCCGCACCTCGTCCCCGCCATACGCACGCATTACTTTGAGCTAAAGACAAACAAAAGTCTCATGTGAAGCCCATATACACGTGAGGCGGGGCTTATTGCCTGAAATCACCTCATCATGGAGCCCTCCTACTTGCACCCCTCTGTTTCCTTGTCTCAACCAGACTACGCACGCTTCTGTAAAAGATATTAATCAACGGCGATACAGCCATGAGTATCTGACACTCAATTTGGTCTGTTTCCTTTCCTTTTTGGCCCCAACTGTCAACGAAAAACCGCTGCCGCTACTGCTCCCAAGAAACTTCTTTCCCTGCTTCGGGTTCGTGCTGCAGGCAAAGGAGAGATGCCTTTTCCAAACCAAGATTGGGAGCAGAGTTTCCAAGGACCCATGGAAGAAACTTTAGGCTCCCGTACAGCAGAGAAGGATACAGAAGATGCCAAAGGCTGGAGCCCCTGGATGGCCTCCACCGTGCTGAAATTCGGGCGTCCGCACGTATCACCCCATGAGGATGCAGAATTGGGTACACCTGTTTTGCCCTAGAGTCACATGGAATTTCTAATTCTCAGACTCCATCTTTGTCTGCACAGCTCTACTCGTTTGCTTCATTTTCTCTGGATGAGGTTTCCCTACAACCCTTAACTAAGATGCTTCCACCTATTTTCTTGTATATTTTTTCCCTTTGTTCCTTCTCTGTCGTTTATATGACTACGTATCTGTGTGCTTGCCTGTCTGCCCCTTCTGGATACTTCATTGTTCGTGTGCGCAAACACTGTTGTCCGCACGCGTGCTGAGTTTCCTGCGAGCCCCCATCATTTTCTTCCAAACCCCCTAATGCGCCAGTATGAGCTTTGCTGGGTGATCCCCCAGTAAAAGTCTTCACGCCGATTATTATTTTTACGTGCGTGGATCTGTATATATATATGTATGCAACGCTTTTTATGCTTACATCTGGGTCTGTTTACAGGTAGAGCTATTTGGCTCTTGTATAACCACATATCAGGAGTTGTCTTTGAGTGATCACTGCTTATGAGGTGTGTACTGCTACTCAGACTGGCAACAGCTCGTTCGAGATATGGTGGAGGCTGCACAAAGAGGAAGCTCCTCGACTGAAGGTTTCAAAGACAGTACACCCGCCGAAGAGGCCTCTACCACCTACAGTAGCATCAGCAGCAGCTGTTCCGGTCCTCCAGACAGCTTTTTAAGCAGCAACAGCAGCAGTTTTACCACCTCCAGCGGATTGAGCAGCTCAAGCAGCAGCTTTACCAGTAGCAAAAGTGCCAGAGCTTCCACCAGCAGCAGTAGTAGCAACAGCATCCGCAGTGTGTGCACGATGGCAGAACCTTCTAGCAGGTGCTCTCCGCAGCCTTCGGAAGAAGTGCGCCTCCATCTGCTTGGACCTGAAAGCGCGTCTGACACGACAGGGTTAACATCCCCAAAAGCGGCTCTCGCGGCTGCGCCTGCGGAGCGGCAGCAGCAGAAACAACAACAACCACAGCAACTGCACGACAAGCTGGTGCACCAACAGCTGTTGCTGATTCAGCAGCAGCAAGCGGTATATGGCCAGATGCTGTCTGAGGGTCTTCAATTCCTCTCTCTTAATCATCTGCCGTCAGAGGCTGCGAAGCCAGTGCAGCAAACGCTGCTGACGAACCAGGAACGCGGCCAAACGACAGCGCTTACTACGGAGCTTGTGGTGACAGAGGCACCTGAAGGAGCTTGTTCCAATATCTTTGAAGAGGGTGGCTTTCAAGGCCAGAATGAATCGCAATGTGTTGCAAAAAACGCCTTGCACTGCAACCAAGAACAAACACCTCATCGTCCACTGCTTTCACTGCTGCAGAAGCAGCATCAGCACTTCCGTGAGGTGCAAAAACAGGTGGAGAGTGATAAGCTGAGATGGCGAATAGAGGAGCTCATTGAAGCCACAGTGGGGCCTAGCGACCTCCATGAGCCAGGAATTAAGCAGGAGCCGCAGTCGCTTGTAAACAGCAGTGCAGTGGAGATGTCACTGCCAGAGGCAAGCCCGCCGGAGCAGGAAGTACAGACAGATCAGCAGAGAATGAGACAAAATGAGCAGCTTCAGTACGATCGAATAGTCCGCACGCTGCATCAGCTCTCAAAGAACGTAACTCCCCAGCAACGTCAGCTGTTGACAGACATTATGACCACCAAGCCTGTTCGAGAGCAGCTGCACGCCACAGCGCCGCTGCACCTCCCTCTCCGCCCCTTTCTTAACAGCAGCTGCAGCAGTCCCAGCAAGGTCGATGCCTCTGCGTTCTGGCAGCAGCTGATCCGTAAGATAGATCCTTTTACATTCCGCAGAAACGAACCAAACTTAAATCAAATATAGTCGGGAAATTGTAATCTGCCGATGCTTGCCATATATTTCTTTTCTCTAGCTATTGTATTGGTATATCACCTACAAGTGAGATGGATCTCCGGCTTCGTCTGAATTGTGTGCAACTCTGGGATGTATCTACAGCTCAACAGTCCCCTGTATGGGCTGCTGGGGAAAGCGCTTCTCTGCTACTGGCCTTACAGAGCCTGTACGCTGACCAGATTCTGCCATCCGCCTTCAACCTGAAAGGAAGACTACTGGAGACAGGCTGCTCTCACCATATTACCACGAACTTTGTGGGGACATACACCACAAACACTACTGCGCACCAAATAAATTAGATAGCTTGCTGAGGGGCAGCAGCTCTGCTGAAGAGCAACTACAGTCGGGCAACCAGATCACCAGACGCTAGCGCGAGTGAACTGGGCATCCTGTTTTCGAATTAGCCATGTGCCTGCTTCTGAACACCTGTAGATATGTAATTGGGCACCGCTGATGTTGCATCATTTTGCGTAGACCACACAGGATTGATGCACTGAGACCATACGAAACTAACAGCAAAAGAAAGAAATGTCGGAAGAGGTTCTGGGTGGTTTCTGAAGTGACAAATATGAAATAAGTACTTATGGCTGTATATATGTATGCATTTTCGTGATGTGCAGTACTTTTAGGATTTACTGTTGTATACTTGGACGTCCATGACTTGGGATAACGAGTTTTGTTCATCTTTGAAAAAAGCGAGAAATGGCTAGCATCGCATCCCTGTGCACAGTCCACATCGCAACCCTCTATGCTGTTATGGGTCTGATGCGAGGCGCTGCGATGTCTCCTCAGCTAGAATACTACAAGCAAATGACAGATACTTGCCGTGTGGAGTGCCAAGGGGCACCAGGAGAGGAAGTAGTTTATCTTCTACATCCTCCCCAAGGCCACCCTGGTTGGGTAGACGCGAACAACCCTGTAGACCCTTATCCTGAAGAGCTCTGGAACAGCTTCATGCAATTCGTAGAGGCTCTATCCATGTCTGACTGCAGCAGACTTGAAATAGGAGGGGGCAGGTGCGCACCTTCTGTTCTTCCTTACCCCAGAGCATCCCTTAAGCCGCTGTGAACTTGAAGCCGTAAGGTCTAGCCTGTGCTTCTCGACAGTCCAGTCTATTGCTTTAACTGTACTGATAGATCGCAAAACTGTTGCGAGCTGATGGGGGGCTCTCTGGCTGGCACGCAGGAGTATGCTTAGATCATACGGTATGTGGTTTACGTGGACTGTAACGTCTGCAGGGTTGTCTTGTGGGGCCTCAGGTACGGCATGGCTCGGTTCCTTCAGAGCCGGAACTTTGCCTTTCTCAGAGGCTACAGCCTGGGGCAACTCTGTCACATTGTACAGCTAGCAATCTCAAAGAGAAAGGTTCTCGCCTACGAGGATAACATCTTGAAACCCGTCAACCAGTGCAAGAAGGTTGTCAACGCCTTCCTGGTAAGGTCATTTCAGTTATCCATAAAAAAAGAACGCTTTTTTGGATGGCCGTACAAAAACCGCAGGCTTGTGGCTCCTCTTCCTTTTTCGGTATCTTCAGAGACTGCCTGAGAGGAGCAGCAGCAAGAACCACATTAGCAGCGTCGGAGAACTCCAGCATTGCATTTTGGAGCTCCTCAAGGCAAACCCGGGAGGTCTGACACTCTCGACGCTAAAACGGAAAATTAAATTAAGGCAAGGCTTGTTGCGACCTTCTTCATTGCCACCTCGGTAGCAAGCAGCTGGGAAGCCGTACTCCCTACAACTCCCATAAGACACCCTTGCATTTGGCTTTTGCAGATTCCTTCTTCACACACGTGGCCATCCGAAATTTGTGCGTCGCTATCTATGTGCGTCTGTTCTGAGTCATTCTGCGTGTTCTAATTCGTTTCCTGCATCATCTCGGATTATTCACATGTGCATTAGTTGCTGCTTTTACGTGCATTCACCTCCTTCTAGGTTTGGAAAGGAGCTATCTCAGACAGTTTTCAGCTGTACAAAGCTATACGACCTAATGCTCCTCCCTGAAATTCGTGCAGTCTGCACCACTGTTAAGGTCGGTCTCAAGCTTGGCACTTATCCCCTTTGCTTGCGCTTCTCCCCAGCCCTAAGTCCTTGCCTCGCAGCTTATCGCATCACTCCTCTCGATCGCTTGCCTCTCTCCCTTCTACTGCTATTTAAGTAGGAGATCAGCTTTGAGACCTTCTACGTACTGATGTTTTTCTCTCCGTGGACCACCGGTCCAACCTATGATACGCTCTACTAAGAGGCGGGAGCATCTTGTCACTATCGTTTTCTCTCGTTATGTCTGTTCGTGTCTCTCCCCTCTTCCCCCCCTCCCCTCCCTTCTCTGTTTCTGCGAGTCCATGTAGCCTCTCGTATTCCTGCCGACAATAGCCTTCATGTTTGCCATGTCGTGCAGAAGGCTCGCCACATAAAGGTCATTCCAGTGCGCCCTATGGCATCAAGTCACTCCGCCGCCTCAGATGCCTCCTCATTGCCCCCCTTGCTACCAATAGCGGTAGAGTGGGATCTCCCTACCCAGTCTAGCAACAGCCTCAACGCAGCAGCAACTCCAATGGCACTCGATGTATCTGAACGCTCCCAGACGCCAGATGGAGGAGCCTCTCCCAAGGCCCTTGAGACTCTAACGGAATCGGCAGTCGGTGCACAGGAGAGCCTCCTGCGAGTTCCCAAGGCCTCTTCTGGGATGACGTTTACTTTGATGCTTGATAACGGCGTGGGTGCCATCAGCAGCACCTTTGAAGAGTTGCAACAGCAAAGCGCACGGGCATCTGCTGCTGCAAGAGCTCAGCTTGTCACTGGCCAAGGACGAGGTGGCGCACTTTTCACGAGTGAAAACAGAGCAGCCGCCGATGCGGCAGAAACAGCAGAAGCCTCAGGCAGCGAGACAGAATCTGAGGGGGCAAAGGGAGACCTTGACCTTATTTAAAGTATCACTGGGACTACTTATCTTGTATGAGAGGATTCCTCTCTTTCCTTCGCTATTGATGTATAAATATGTCAGCAAATAGGCTTTTGCATATATATACATCTATATGTTTGTATCATAAGTGCGTATACATGTGTTCTTATAATAATAATGCGCATTCCAAGAGATACTCGATATCAAAAATTACTTGACTATTCACACGCATCTATGCAGTCATATGTGTGTGTCGATATAAGTAGGAATGCACATGTGTAGGTATATGCACGTTTGCCAACCAAACTGAGAGGGCTCTGGTGGCCACCTCGAAGCAGCACTATATGCTGCACCAGAGCTGATCGTACACATATGAGGAATATATCATCTGAGCTGTGTGTACACTTCAGCCGGCATCTTCTTTCTCGATAGGGCATCCGCCCACGGCTATGGCTTGTCTCGCCTCAGACGGAATTTTCTCCCCAGGTGCAACTTCGTTATCCTCTCACCATCTGGAGCAGAGGTACAACAACTATTTGTGGCCGTGTGGCTGTCGCACTTCTCCACTATATCTTGCTCTGGGGCTACCTTTACGGACGAGGTTCACGCTGCTCATTCCACCTTAACCCTCTCGATTTTAGCCTACTAGCAACTGTTCTCATGGATGCGTGCATCTGTGGACGCTGATGTTATCAGCACTGTTGCGGAGTATACACTTTTGTACACCAAGCAAATCCGTAACTCCGCCGTATTTGAGAACACAGAAATGCCGACGCATCGCTTTTTGGAATGCCCCGTGTCTTTGTCGTCCTCCTGTCTCCCCCCTCCGTTGTACGGGTCCACTTCTCCCGCCCCTCCCTCTGCCCTACCTTTGTCGTACGTCAGCACCGGATGCTGCCGTGCAGTGTCAGCTCTCGCTGGATGCCATTTTTCATCTTTGAGCATAGCTCTGTAATTATTTGAGGCTGCTTGTACAGGCCAAATGAAAACATTTTAATGTTCCATTACAAGAGTCCGCCCCCTGGCAGTGTGTCGGTTTTCCCGCCAAACTATTGAGCTACCTATTTTGCTAGTTCGCTTCAGCCTTACACGTCTACCCATCTGCTTTGCTGGCTGCCCAGCATGATGGTCAACTATATCTCGAGTGAACTAAAGGCTGCTGTCTAGCCAGACCGCAATACGGCTTTTCTTTGCATCAAGCAGCCAGCTCTCGGGTTGGTTTCTTGACAACGACTGGTTGAAGTTGTGTATTCCATCGCACCGGGAGCTCAGTGCTTTATCCAAGGTCGGCGTAGGAAAGATTCAATTCCAGATCTAATCCAAACTTCCCCTCAGTTGAAACCCGAATAAAACCTTATCAATGACTCCCTCCCTCCCCTGCTTTCGCCTCTCAGGGCTCCGACAGGGAGGTAACAGGTGCAGGTAGGGCGTGCGTTGCTGTACCCTCTAATCACTGTCAGCTTTCACCGCCAGTTCCAAATAGCATGTAGCGCTCCTGGGCACAACGGTGCGTCCCAAGATTTGGAGTTTACGTTAGTTTGCAAAAGCCAGACTATGGGAAGCCTCAGCAAGTCCTCAATCTTTTAGTGGCGTTTAATTGAATTCAATAGATGTACTAGAAAGGCGCTTGAGTGTAGTTAGGCCATCTGCAATGAAGGGCTGCAGCAACGCGCACCCTAGTATCAGATTTACCCTCACATCAGAGCCCCATACGGCGCGGGCAGGGGAAGAAGAGAGCTCTCTTGAGAAGGGTTATGTAGATTTTCATCAAGTTTGTATTGAGTCTGAAGGTAAGTGCCTCCTTACGGAGATCACAGATGGTGCGTTACACGAACGGGTGGATGCACAAATTTAAAGATTCTAGACAAGTTAACGGTCAGGGCAGTTACGTGGGAAGGCTATCCACTTGCATAAATGCTGTATTGTCGGATATTCCATCCGCTGTGTCTCACGAGGTACCTCACGCCAAGAAACTCTGAACGAGACCTGCGGGGCAGAGTAACTGGCAAAGCGGGGCTTGGGTGAATTCGGGGTACAAAGTGTCCTAGGAGGCCATCTTTTGCTGGAATTTTTCATCAAGACGGCAGTATAATGAATATGCAGAGGAAAATGGTGAAAGAAATGATCTTTCTCATTATTTTGGCCACTGGCTGTCAGCACTGTAGGCTGCGGTGATCTGTGCAATCAAACAGGCACCTACAAGGGGCATCGGGGCTGTAATTCCTTGGCGATCTTTCAACGGAAAATGCGCTAGCGAAACTGCTATTTCATTTATATGCATATAATTGGGGCTGTAGTTTCAGAAGAGAAGGAAAAGACAGGAAAAAGAACCGATAGGGGCTGCCCTGCGTGCTCCTGTAAGGCCGCTGGAGCCGCTGCTGCTGCTGCAGCACACCCCTCCCGCTGCTGCAGCAACAGGGCTGACTATGGCGGCATCCGAGTCGAAAATGCGCCTTGCCCTGGTGCATTACCTCTCCTTTTACTGCTGAATTGCCGCTCGGAGGCCTCCTGCTGCCAAAGCAGGTAAGCTGCACGCTGGGCTGCTGCCTGTGAAGTGGTAATCAAACAACCGCTCCCTCCAGAGGAGCCGCACCTCAGCAGTGCCGTCTGTCTGCCCTTCTCTCCCTCAGTACGGCCTATTTGTTACTTATTGTCGCTGCTTCAGTGGCTGACAGTCTGTATATCAGCGGAAGACGGACGGAAATACGCAGTCTCTTCCTCCAGGCAACACAGCCGGAACCCCCGCGCGCCCCGCAAGCGTCACGGCGTGCTGCTGTGGCCTCTGGGTTTCTTTCCGATTCTTACCCTGTGGGTTCTATATCTGTTATACTGTTAAGATACTTGCCTCTCTTCCGTTCGGTTTGCTTCGTCGGCTCTTTTTTGCCTGGCATACTCGGCTTCCCCCTCTTCTCTCTGGACCTCTCCCCCCTCCTTGCGGAAGCAAAGAAGTCACCCACAGGGGAGGTCTTTGCAGCCCTTCATTCATTCTTATTCAATCTTTTATCTTAGCTGGACTCTGCTAGTCCCGTCCCCTTGGGGTGTATCCCTACGTCTCTATTGTTTTATCCTCTATAGAGGCTCCGCTGTCTCCTCCACAGCCTGTCTCCTAGCTTCGTATCGGTGTCTCCTTAGCGAATCCACGATGTCGACAGGCACGCTAGCACCCTCCCCCACCTCCGCTGCGGGCGAGAGCCAGCTGCCCCCCCAGGCGCAGCAGCAGCAGCAGGCGCCTCCCCCTCAACAGCAGCAGGCTCCTCAACAACAGCAAACCTCCGGCCACCCCACATATGTATCGCCTTCCCTCTACATAGGGGATTTGCATCCCGACGTGACAGAGGCGATGCTCTTCGAGGTGTTCAACTCCGTGGGGCCAGTCACTTCCATTCGAGTATGCCGAGACAGCGTAACGCGACGCAGCTTGGGCTATGCATACGTGAACTACCAAACCCTGCAGGATGCCGAGCGCTCTTTAGATGCTTTGAACTATACGCTGATTAGGGGGCAACCGTGTCGCATTATGTGGAGCCAGCGTGACCCTACTCTGCGGAAGAGTGGAAATGGCAACGTGTTTGTAAAGAATCTTGATAGGAGCATCGACAACAAGGCCCTCTACGATACCTTCTCGCTCTTTGGAAACATTCTCAGTTGCAAGGTCGGCGTGGATGAGAGCAACAGGAGCAAGGGTTACGGGTTCGTCCACTACGAAAGCGAGGCTTCGGCGAAGAGCGCCATCGAGAAGGTGAATGGCATGCTTATTGGCGGAAAGACGGTGTATGTAGGGCCGTTTGTTACGCGCAGTGAGCGGGAGAGCGCCGGAGAGAACCGATATACGAATATCTACATCAAGAATATTCCCAAGTGCTGGGGGTCCGTGGAGGCTCTAAGGCCGATTCTGGAGGAGTATGGAGAGATTACAAGCCTTGTAGTTCGGCAGGATCCTAAAGGCCGTTACTTTGCCTTCTGCAACTTCGCCGAGCATGCAGAGGCGAAGGCGTGTGTGGATAGCCTGAACGGCCGGCCTGTCAACGAGAAGGGGTTCAAGGAGAAGGGCGAGCAGCAGCAGCAGCAAGACCAGCAGAAGGCGGAGGGGGAGGAGGGCACGACTGCCGCTGGGGAGGGCAGTGGAGCCGATGGCAGCGAGGAGATGCTGCTCTTCGTAGGACCCCATCAATCTCGCGCGCAGCGTTCAGCGGTGCTGCGAGCTCGGTTCGAGCAGCAGCAGCAGGAGAAGGGGGAGCGTTACCAAGGCGTAAACCTATATGTTAAGAACTTGGACGACTCCGTAGACGACGAAAAGCTGCGCGAGCTGTTCGAGGCTTTTGGTCCGACCAGCAGCGTCAAAGTCATGCGGGATGAGCGCGGCGTCTCTCGAGGGTTCGGTTTCGTCTGCTTCGTCAACTCGGAAGATGCCACCAAGGCTGTCGCGGAAATGCATTTGAAGTATGTTCGGGGAAAGCCTTTGTACACAGGACTGGCAGAGAGGCGAGAACAGAGGCTCCAGAGGCTGCAACAGAGATTTCGGCTGCCTCAGATGCGTCCTGCTGCACCGGGTGTAGGTGGACCTCATGTTGGCTATCCAGCCGCGCCTGCAGCGCTTGCTGGCGTTGGGAGCTTTCAGCCTAGGCCTATGATGTATCCCCCGCAGTCTCACGTGACGATGCTCCCTTGGAATGGCAGGCAGCAGCAGCAGCAGCCTTTCCATCCCCAGCAAAGTCTCGCCATGCAGAGGGGGATGACGCCTGCGTTGCAGCACATCTATGGCCCTCAGTCGGCCGTAGCTGCTGCCGCGGCGCTTCAGGTGTCGCTACAGCAGCAGCAGCAGCAGCCAATGGTGCAGCAACAACGAGGGGCTGCTGGACACAGAGGGGGGAGAGGCGGTGCCGTGGGGAATGGGAAGCAGCAACAGCTGCTGAAGCAGCAGCAGCAGATGCCTGGAGGCGGCTCGTTCAAGTTCACCCCGCAAGTGCGCAACCCTCGAGTGGAGCAGCAGCAGCAACAGCAACAAATGCATGTGCAGCAACCGCAGCAGCAGCAGCAACAGGCACCTCTCGATACTCCCCATCTCTTGCTCTCCCCCGATGCTCCGCTGACGGCAGCGGCGCTGGCGGCAGCGCAGCCCTCCATGCAAAAGCAGATGTTGGGTGAGCGTTTGTTCCCGCTCATAGCTCGCCATCAGCCAGAGCTAGCTGGCAAAATTACAGGGATGATGCTTGAGATGGACAACAGTGAGCTGCTCATACTGCTGGAGAGCGAGGCTCAGCTGAAGAGCAAAATCGATGAAGCGCTGGGAGTGCTCCGGAGCGCCAACTAGGCTCGATTCAGAAGAGACAATGACCATCGGGGGGGGACAGGCCGCCTCTTCTTCTGTAGCAGCTGTCGCTGGCGAGAGGGGAGAGATGTGGCGGCAGCAGAGGGTTGGTCTTGCAACAACAAGACTCAAGAAGTGCGGCGGCATTCGAATGAACAGCAGCTGCAGGGAGGCAATTTTGCTGCGTGCGTGCAGCTGGCTGTAGCCAGCTGAATGGGTGGCAAGTTCAGCATACATCTACATACGTTTACGTGTATCCTCCTTCTGTGTTGCCTTGTGTAGAGGGACTGGGGGGTCCTCTCGTCGTGCAGGGGTTCTTTGTATAGGGCCTCCTTCCCTGTCTGTTCTGCGTCGTTGGTTGTGCTGTGTCTTGATCTTTTCACGTCGGTAGTGACAGCAGTGCTTCTGGTGATGCTGTCCACTCACCACACGCCAGCCTCCGCTTCCCTTTGGCGATGCGCAGAAGGTCTCTTTCCTCCCCTCCTCGCGTTTTCTTTCTGGCATGGGCATATACATATGTATATATATGTATATATATGCCGGCATACAGTGCTGCAGCACTCACTGTTGCACGGTTCAAGGGGCCTCTGGGTCGCTTTCACCTCCCTCTTGGCACACGTAGGGGCGGAGGGGAAGGGGGGAGGGGGGCCCTCTTCTGGTTTTGTACAGTGCGGTGCGGCGACAATTTGTTCGTATCAACATTCAGATGGGGGCTTAAGGGGGAAGGAGAGAGGATAGGAGAGGGCAGGCGGGAGGAGATGAGATGTACACACAGTGGAGAGGTTACGCTGCCAATTAGTTCCCTTTTGTCTGCATTTCTGTCAGAGACGCGGAGGAAGTTGGGATGCCGTAGTCGCAGGGCCGAGGAATCGAGGCGCGGGAGCTCCCGTCGTCGTGGACTGAGCGACTGGCAACAAGAGCTGTTGTAGGGTTCTCCCGCGGACGGAAGTTTCGATGATAAAAGTTGCAGCTGTGGCTGTAGCAATGAAGATCTGGGGAGAGGCTTTAGGGTCCATGACTCTAAGACTCTCGCGTGGTGAGAGGTGCCTGTACGGGGTTGGGGGGGACGGAGGCGGAAAACGAAAGGGAGGCGACCGACGTGTCTGCCTCGCCCACCATCGGTCTGTACACCCCCCCCGTGCGAGCCAGCAAGTGTAGGTAGGCCCTTCATTCTGGGGGTCCGTCCATGCACAGCAGCGGCAGCTGTTATGCTGTCTTGTTGGAGGCGCGTGTATTTTGGGCTTAGCATTGGCGTTCGCTGCATATTTGTGTCACGTACGCGGCGAGCTCCTAGTGTTAGCTAAGGAGGCGCTGATTTAGGACAAAATATAAGCAAAGGCAACCGAGCTACCAAACTGCCTCTTTAAGTGAGAACAAGGGAGGTGCAATTGGATCGACGAAGCGACCTTGTGCTGGTCCAGCAGTTGTAGTTGCGTGTTGAGATTGAAGCGGGGGTACTACTAGAGGAATGCGCGGGGGTGGGGGGGTTGTTTACGCGATGTCGAATTCCTCTGTACATTGGGTTGGGGGGAAAAAGTGGGCACAACGGATTGGGCAGTGTAGGGCTTCCATCGCTGGTGGAGGCGCGCACACTTGAAACCGGCCGCAAGGGTGCATGCATCTTTTTTGGCGCGTGTCTCCCCAAATCAGTTCAGTTTCGTGCCCCATCCCTAGATCCCCTCTAGGCTGTCGGTCTATGTTCAAAGCAGCCTTCTGAACGCTGCACCTGCGCCAGCGATATTAAGAATAGACAGTAGTGTGAACAGCCCTGCAGGAGGCACAAAGGGCGTCTACATGCTACCGCTTCGCCTGCCGTCAAGAGAAAGGAACACCCAGACTAGTTTCAGAAAGAAACCAGGGTGAAACGTCTCCACAGTCTGACCGCTGCTTGGCTGGTGCCTCTCGTTTGAGCTCCGAACGATTATTTCTTTTGACAAGAATCAAACAAAAACCACCGCAAGACCGACGAGTGCGACGAGAAACTGTACTTGGTTGTTAACACCTCAGCTGAACTGCAGTGGCGTGTCAAGGTTCGCTGGATAGCTGTCCACGTGGACGACTTCTTGTCCAGCAAATGCATTCAAGAGCTATCACGCCATGCGCTTCTGATGTAACGCCAGTGTGTACAGTAGTGGCGTCTGCCTTTTTACTCTTCAGTGCATTACTTAGGGTTAAAGTTTGGTGGGGGGTGGCAAAGTGCAGGAATGTGACACGCTTCGGCAGTTGATTGTTAGTTAAAAGCAGAACTGAGTCATTCCTGCATGCTCTGTGACTTCTATGTTGGATCCGTGCACAATCACGCAGGCCTATATATGCCGTGGGTGACTGCGGTCACCGCTGAGCGCTCTGAAGGTTCAGTGTACCGGGAAGCACTCGGAAGAAGCAAGTTTTTGGCACCTCAACAACGGGCTTTGTAACTCTGGTGAGTGGAATAGAGTTGGCATCTTAACGAGGTGAGACACATGAGACTTCTTGCGGGCGGCACAGTAGCGCAGTAGGAAGAGCCGGCTCTGAGCAGGGGCGTGTCTTGGTGGCTGTGCAACAGGTCCAATATATAAATTTGCCTTCAATTTTTCTCGACAAGCAGCAGGAGCTGATGAATATAAATGACTAATTCGGGGTTGGGCCTAGTAATGACAAGCACCCAGGCTAGCCACTTGCTAGTACTCTAGCGTGCCGTATCGAGCTAAAACCTGAGCTAGTCCCAAGTTGTTTTCCGCTATATCGGAGGCTCCCGCCACACGACGAGGAGATTGAGTGTCAGGCGGATTATGTGTTGAGGAAAGGCAACGTGCGAAAATGTACCAGTGCTTTGGGGCCTAAACCGATGTTAGTGCCCTAAAAGGACAGAATGAGACCAAGGTGCCGTAACTCCAAGCCGATTAGCAAGACTACCATGATGCGGAAGTTCCTCATGGCTGACATCGGCGGATTCCCGGGCAAATTACATGTATCAACGACCTATTGGGCACTTAACATCACAGACGCTTTCCTACATATCCTTATTCAGACTAATGACAGGAACAAGACGACGTTCCAGTATCCCACTCGTAAACTCAAGAACACCTGTATGCCCTTTCGCAGGTGAGGCGGGCGATCAAAAAGTCCATACACTCTAGATATTTATGAGCCCACGCCCCGAAACCAAGCAGCGGTATTCAATATGGGAAATTAACTCTCCGCCGTCTAATAGGGCTTCAAAACGCACTATTTACATAGGCGCTATTTTACTCTCTAGACCGACCATCAGTCGGTACTGTACTCTACCAAGGGTTTTCAGGACTTCGATAACCCCAGACTTGTTCGCTGACCCAGGCGTCTCCTACAGTAAGCATTCGCAGTAGACTTGAAGGGCATCCCCAAAGTGGTGACCGGTGCGCTCTCGTGACACCCCAGCAATTCACTACTCTGCAGCACTACCGCTGTTTTATTGTGATGACATGCAGCTTTCATCGAAATGGAGTGGATCTTATGCCTTTGACTTCTCTGTATCAGCTCCTATTGTCAATGTACAGAGGGGCAAAAGGGTGCAGCACGATCACGTTGGGGATGGCGTGCTATGTTTAAAGTAAAGCGGTGACTGTGTCAAGTGTACATTCCGACTTCATTCTGCAGTGTCAATGTGCACAAAGCACATGATCATCTTCTTTAGAGCCATGATTGAATCAAGTCTGCGCTGGAAGAAGCTTGAACAGTTCTTGTGGCGGCCTGCAATGCGCCTCGCGGAAGAGGGGCATACACTGTCCTGCCCAGATTTTCAACAGTTGACTATACAGTTCTTTTGCAGCTGGTTCTGTGCAAAGCCTCTCGGTTTCTGGAGAGCTTTGAGCAAATCTGGCAAGTAATGTTTTTGTTAGACTGAGGGAGGTCAAGAATCAGAATAACATCCACGTCGTCATTGACAAACTCAGCAGAAGTGCCCATTCATCCCTTGCCCCAGCTATGCCGCAACTCAGAAAGTCGCTCAATCATGCGCTCTTGTGAGCCTTCGTGACGCAACTATGTGGAGACCATAATGTGGCCACTCTAAACGACCAGGGCAAATGGATAGAGCAAGCGCATCACCCGCACTCTTCTGCGGTATTTGCAACTTGTGATTACACACTTCGAGACTCTTGGTTTGCATTTCTTCCTTGTGATGCATGGGTTCATAGTGAAACGGAATACGTGTCTTTGCGTTGCACCCGCTCCTTTGGACTACACAGAATAGACCTTCTCCAACCCGGGTGAGATCTGGTGGTCCGGGGTCAGCAGCTACCTTTGGCAGGGGAAGGATTTATCGAGCAGCTGGCCGGTGCACTCGCATATAGACTCAGAGCTCAACAAAGACAAGCACAGGATTATGGTAAGTGGCCGTAGGCAATGTATTTCGGGTCTGGCTGTTTGATCCTGACGGAGCGGCAGGCTTTACGGGGTGTACCAAAAGGTGGCCAGACAAACGCGTTTGTTTGCCTCCAGGTGATTAGGACCACTTGCTATCCTCTCACGAATCAATAGTCTTTCGTGCTCGAAGAGTTACACGTACAGCTAGAGGCTCTACAGAACTGACAATAGTGACATGACAAAGTTTCAACGCACGCTCCCCGGATCACTTGCGGACTTCGCCACGCATGCAAGCTGCCCCATTGAAGACCGAGGATCCACAAAAGGCCATAGAAGTGCGGGAGTATAGGACTTTAGGCCTTCGAGGACACATTGGCGCGCGTTCCACGTACGACGGAATGGGGAATCGCAACCTTATTGATTGAAGGAGTCGCAGCTGCAGCCTTCGGTGCCTGTAGAAGAACTGACGGTACTTTTGGCTATGAACGCTAGTTGCCATGGAGGACGCTCTTCCTCACATTCCCGCGTAGTTGTCGTAGCTACTTCCATCTAAGAGTGGCGCTCGAAAGCTTTCAACTACTATTTTTCTTGAAAGGGTGTTCTGTATACTAGGATTTATGCGCAGGCACTCCCACGTACGTTGTCCCCATGATCATTGTGGGGCTTTGAAATCGCCTACGCTGCATGTGCCTGCTGTATTCGCATGCAAACACTGCACCATGAGGCCTGGATGCACTGCTAAGCTAGCGAATTTACTTTTACATTTTCCGATCTTCTGCTTTCTCGTAGCAGTCGCTGCGCCAGCGAGACATCCAGCCGAAGCGATAAGGTTAGTTTGATTCCGCTTTCGTTGTTAGCTAGCTAGCTGCATGTCATACTTCGCCTCGATTTGACTTTACCGATCGACGCGTACTTTGCGCTTCTCATTTGCATTGCCTTTCGCTTTCCTCCCTTGCTAGGGAGTGTCGAAAGTTGCAGCAGTCCTTTTTTCCCGTACAAGTTCGCAATGTTGTGTGCGTGTGCACTACACTATATGTGCAACTAGGTGTGAATGCCTCGGAGTATTAAGACACTACAGCCACGCGCATCCTTGGTTGTTCGACTCCTCTCATGCCTAAACACTGAGGCGTTAGGCAGGGAACATGGGGAGTTTTTTCAAAGGGGCACTCGACGATTTGTCACAAAGTTCGCATCAAGTTTTGAGTGAAGTGCCTCAATACGAAACGAATTAGATGGGACATTACAGAAAGGGCAGCTTAAGATAGCAGAGGCTTATTTCGCCTCTCGGACGGGCACTGCCTTACCTCCGCGCACGCCAACCGAGCCTACGGAGACGCAGAGACTCCCCTTACCGGGAAGGGCACACACACCGAACAATGAACACTAGCGTAAACGAGTGCTTCGAGGGAGGGAGCAGTCAGACACCGTACGCAAAGAACACGGTGGGAACGCAGGCCCTTAAGCCCATGGAGAAAGACTAGATAGCACTCCCCCCACCACTATGCGTAGGGGATCTATACGATACGCTATGGTAAGGAGCCACACAACAGCAGGCATCTGTGTCCTTGTCATGGCTCCGTTTCGAATGTGACACCATCTTCAAGTTTGTCAAAAACACCTGCGCGCCCTAGCGCCATCCTTCCTCCCCCTATGGTGCCTCTACATCATCCCGTACGCCCATTCGGCTGCTTCTCCGTCTACAGGTTCCTAGTGGCATGAAGCCGCATAGATGCGTTTCTACGGGGGTCACAGCTACCCCACAGTTACCCGAACATGGCAAATACGCGCAGTACTAGTACCACTTGTGGCTCACGCACGGCAATACACCCAAATGTAATGTAATGCAAAGTGGGACCAACAGTTCAAATATAAAATGGGTGATCAGAAGGGGCTAGAAACGATGTGAGAACAGGCCCATAAATCCTGCCCGGCAATTTATTTGTGTGCGAAAGTTCAGATGTGTGGTGGGTCCATCCGCACGATGAGGCGACCCGTGTACCTCGTGGTCGCAGACCCCAGCGATCTGTGCCTAACGCATGTGCATACGCGTAACACCCGTCTGCAGTCTACCACTATTCGTGCAGTACAGTTAGTAGATGTACTTCTTCTCATACAGCGAGGCACCGGCGTCCGCACCTCCAGCTCCGCCGGCGTACTTGCCGAGCTGTGCGTCGCTGTTCGCCTTTGCTCTCTCCAGGAGCGTCTGTTGAGCCTTCGCCTTGTTTTCCGGCTTCCCGGCCCAGTGCTTGAGCGTGGATGCCTGCAGAGCTCTTCCGTAGGAGAAGGAAAGCTTCCACGGGTGCGGCCCGATCTTGTTCATGGCGTCGAGATTCACGGAAGCCTCCTCCTCCGACTGACCTCCAGAAAGGAACATGACTCCTGGCAGTGCCGGGGGGACGGTGCGAGAGAGAGCACGCACCGTGAAAAATGCAATTTCTTCCGGGGTGGCCTTCGGTCCCTGGGCGCCAGGGGTGACCATGTTGGGCTTAAGAAGGGCCCCCTCCAAAAGAACCTTCTGGTTGTTGAGTTCTTTGAAAACAGCTGCCAGAACCTTCTCAGTTACTTGGGCGCAGTGACGGATATCATGAGCGCCGTCAGTGAGGATCTCTGGCTCCACAATCGGGACGAGCTTGTTCTGCTGGCAGATGGCGGCGTACCGAGCGAGGCCGTAGGCAACCTCTGCAATAGACTGGTTGGATGGCTTGTTCTTGGCCTCGTCGATCTGCAGCACTGCCCTCCACTTTGCGAAGCGGGCACCTGCCTCGTAATACTTCTTGCACCGCTCGCTCAGGCCGTCTAGGCCCATAGTCGCTTGTTCCCCATCGGTGCCTGGGATGACTTCCAGGCCCTTGTCGACCTTGATGCCGGGGATGATGTTCTCCTGCTTCAGAAGCTCTACCATGGGAACACCCTCGGGTGACTTCTGATACAGTGTCTCCTCGAAGAGAATAGCGCCACTGCAGTACTGGCCTAGACCCTTTGAAGTGAAGAGCAAGCCTCGGTAGAAAGCACGATTGGCCTCAGTGTTCTCTACGCCAATGGAGGAGAAGCGCTTCGCAATAGTGCCTGAGAGTCCATACCGCATGCAGGCACCAGGCCCCGAGAACATGAGAAGCATCCAGACCAGATCCATCCCGTACACACGCATGCAACGACCGGCATGCCGACCAGCACACACCAGGAATCACTGCGTCACAAAACACTGGATTAGAGGGCTTGGCAGGGAAAGACACATGAAAAGAGAGCACACAGCCTTGTGCAAGTAGAGACTGGGCCACGAATGCGCATGGGCACCTAGCACTGTGATGCAGTCAACTAGAGCCAATCACACAGCTTTGATGAGATCTAAACAAAAATCCGGTTACTGGGAGATATTAACACAATATGAGAGCCACGCGTTGAGCACAGAGAAATGCGTAGTTACCGGTAGACTCATCGGCTGCAAGAAGTCCTTTGCCAGGAGAGGCCAGACTTTTGGCGGTGGTGGCGAGCTCCTTGGCGATTTCCTGAGGAAGTTCTGCCTGCACGGCCAAAGAATCACAACAAAGACTAAGGTTGCCGTTGAGAGTAAGGGCGGGCAAGAATATGAAGAGGTTGACAATGGCCGTATCCCAGCCAACGCCGAATCGTTTGCCCTCTGCAAATCGACAAAAGCTGCTTCTTTGAGCTTGCATTGAGAACAGAATACATACAGAGCGTCTAATTCCAGTGACCGGAAACGATAACCCCGGAGGGCGATGCAAATGGATGTACCAGGACTTAATCTGTGTGCAGCCGGCGCGGGCACGTTGACAGAGCATGGTAGTGTGGTTAAGGCTCCTCTCACCATTTTAACGAATAGATGGGCACAAAAATGAGTGTGCAGGCGGTCTGAGGTGAAAAGCTGTGAAGTTTAACTGAGTAGAGTAGAATATGCAACAGTAGGGGTGTATGCTGTTGTGTGGGGGTGAGGGAGGAGCAGTGTGAGGCAGCCGGGAGCATGGGCGTGCACATGCACCTGATGTTGCACAGTCTGCTGCACTGTTGCATTGTTCTTTCCTATACTGCAGCAAAGCACATTTATCTGTAAATGAATCGGATGTACCTTCTAGGCTGGCTCTTCTACACGCTGGAATGGGCACGGAGGGCAGGCAATATCTATGGGCACCGGGAATTAAAGACACATACTACCAATGCAGCAACATGCCCCTGCACACCCCATGTCCCCGAGTCTGATCCTGTTCAATCTATTCATCCCTTCAAAAACCGTACATTCTTGTGGCGTCATCTATCCTTACAGGAACATTCAGACGGATTGATACTCGTGAGTGCACATCCGACCAGACCGAGCGATATTCCCGATTTCTTTTTGTGTTTCCCTCTTATCGCCAGCTATAGTACCTAAAGTGGGTGGACTTCTGCTTCTCTGTGGATTGTAAGGGTGAATTATGCATACAGAACGGGGCCTAGGTCGCCGCACCAGCCCCGTATGTCGATTTTCTAAGCAAGGTTCGCAGTGATAACCAAGAAGTAAAAGACTTGACTGTTGTTTCTGTGGGGGGTATGTTCAGTTCCTCGCTTTTACTGTCGTTCTACAGCCTTCCTGGTACTAGCTTGGAAGTGGGCAAGTTGCATCGCAGCTCGCAGCTGCTGGTGAGAAGGCCAGGGCCACGTCTTGCAGGAACGCCACTTAGCACTCCGAAATTCCACTTTATTACACCACTCCTCATATGCACGGAGATGAATCACTGCCCGAGTGTAGCATCGTTATAAAGGGGGAATATTCGATAAGTTAGTCCTTATCCTGCATGAAGGATGTGTTAAGTAAATGGATCAGGTACCGCACTTTCCAGCATTTGTCTGATGGTGCCTTCTCTCGAACATCGCCTTAATGCTTGCAACTTAGCCTTGGCCTCTGCTAAAACAGCTGACATAGCTTTCTGTTGGGGATTTAAAAGACGTGGCTCACTAAAGACCCCTTCGTGCCTACTTCGACGGCAGATTGAGCAGGTGCGGGCTTGTCGCACAAACTGCCGCTGCGCATTATAAATCATTATAATGAGGGTCCCCATGTGTTTCCAAACTTGATCCTTTGCTGTGGCTGATTGTTCGTCGCTTCCCTACCCATCCTTCGCCGTGTTGGACCTATACTTTTAGCGAGTCACGTTGCACTGAGGTGCCCTCAAAAAAACTATGTATGTTTTATGAACAATTTTTTCGAACTGGCTTGCGAGTTTCAGTGTTAGTACGTTTTTTATGTTGCTGAATAGAGGCAGTATTTGCAGTGGGCTAAGGTACACTTTAAAACCTCGACCACGCTAGTTACACACTTTAAATTAGTGAAGGGTTGACCAAGTGTTTTGTCCGTTCCTATATCTTTTTTATTGCAGAATAGACGGCTCTTAGCTCTATAAAACATGACGCAATGTCGTGTACATGTGAACTACATGCTATTTGCAACTAGCAGTGTAAATTCACGAAGTGCTTAGACGTTATAGCAACGCTCACCCTAGCTGTTCCTATCCTCTCATATTGGGAGATCTGAGTGGCACGGACGGGTAATGCATAGCGTTCTTCTCGGAACCACACTACGGAGAATCTCTACAAAGCTTTAATTGAGTTTGAAAATAAGTATCTCATTACGGAGACCTGGGAGGGAGCACTACAGCTGGTAGCACCGGATGGTTCGATGCATCCGTTCGCCACTCATCCACTTGCTACGGATGCAAACGAATGCCAGGTTCCCCACAACATGTTTTGGTTTCTTTGGCAACAGGCTGGGTGGAAAATCCCTCTGGGGATGGACGTTTGGAGTGGCACAACTCATGTTGGTGTGGCACAGGCCAACGTTCAATCTGACGTATACGCGGTAGGTCACCAGTTGGTGGAAACGCATAATCTGTCAGCCAGTGCAATGCGCATGGAAGCATCGCTGAGGCAATGCCCCCCACTAGAAATATGACTTCCTTTATGATGGACAACTAGTCGAAGATTTGATCCGCAGAATGACGAGTGGATTCTGTCGACGCGTCGGTATATCGAGAAAGATGAAGCCTTAGTTGGTGGAAGCCAACATGTAGAAGAACAGGTGCTTTATCCATCATTTGTTTCGCGTCCATTCAAAGTGTCACGCCAGGTGGTTGCCGGATTGGCAGAGACTCAGCGGCTCTGCAGCCGCCTTCTGAGAGGGCCACGTGTAACACACTACCAGAGGTTTGATGAGCTGATGAGAGCACTGCTGCATGTTTATGTGAGAAGAAAAAACCGAATAAATACTTCAAAGCTGTGGGTTTGTGGTCTGTATCAACAGCCCTCGTCTACTTGTTTTAGAGGACGAGGAAAGAACACCTTAGTGAAGCTGCACTCATAAGCCCCGTTAGACAGCTCCCAGCGACGCACCAACTTCCATTGTCATAAATTTAACTATACGAACTGAAGCTTCGGGTTTGTGCAAAGACACGAGGGCCCAAACGAGACAGGTTTCAAACGAGGCTAGCTACTTAGCAAGCTAAGAACACGCATCAGGGAAGCGGAAAGCCTCCCGCATGCAGGGCGTGGTACAAGGAAGGGGGCTACCGAGAATAGAAACACAGTTGGAGACCCACCAATGGATCGATTTTGCAGAAGTATTAGCTCGCAATAATATAAGAGTTACTAGTGTTTATTGGATCTGGATCTGTTACACGAGCAGACGGCACGGGCGTGCAATCTGCCTCTTCCCTGTTTAGCGCAGTCTCTAGGATTGAAGTTTGATGAGGGGCGGCGAAATGCAGGGACTGGCAAGGCTATGGCAAGTGAAGGCAATTAGAATCGGAATTGGGCCCTACCTACATGATCTGTGACAAAAGCTGAAGCACCAAGGCATAGCCTCTTCTCAACGCACCCACAATGATGCTTTAGAGTTGTATGGGCTTGCATCTGATCACCAAAGTTTCATCCCTGCATTTGCTCGGTTTGCTCCTTATCTGACTGCTCTTATTCAAAAACCGTAGTCTACCACCTGTACAGAGGAAGCTGATGCCGCAGCAAGAAGCCTCATTGGCAGCCTTGCATATTCTTCAGTGCTTGCGCTACCCAAATACGACTGTTGTTTTTTCGACAGCCGGCGCTAATGACGCAGCTGTGCATGTTATTCTATCACACCAGACTTCGGATTTTAACACACCCAATCATTGCTTGTCATTCACATCGCCTCATCAAAACCAAGCAGCTGTATCTAGTGTAAGAAAACGATTTCTATGCACTTGCGTATTCTTCGCTTGCTAAGTAGCTAGCCTCCTTTGGACCCATTCTCGTTTTAGGCTCGCGTGTTGTTTCACAAACCCGAAGTTCCAAATTATCTAATCAAGTTTACGACAATAGAAGCTGGTGCGTCGCTGGGAGCTGCCTGATGGGGCTTATGAGTGCGGATTCACTGAGGCGTTCTTTCCTTGTTCACTATTACCTGTAAGCGAGGGCTGGTTGACACATGCCCCAAACCCATAGCTTTGAACTATTTATTCGGCTCTTCCTTCTCCCATAAACTTTCAGCAATGTGCTCATCTGAAAGTAAAACCTCAGGTTGTCCGTTATATGTAGACCTCTCAGAGGGCGGCTGCTTACCCGGCAAGCCTGCAACCATATAATGTAACACTATGAATAGACTCAAGACAAATTATGGGTAAAGCACCTGTTCTTCTACTTCGTGGCTTTCATCAACTAAAGCTTCATATTTCCTGATATACCGAATTGTTGATAGATTCCCCTTTCGAGGCTTTCTTACTTCTCTCAAAGCTTTCTGTTGAGCTGATCTCGGCATTAATTGATAAATCCGGGAGTGAATGAATGCCTCAAGCTCTGGAAGTCTCCACACCCGGGTGGCTTCCTGCGCATGGTTGAAGTGCGTCTACAACTAGATAGCATGCCGCAAAAGGCAGTCGTTTCCCTTCAGCAGGGGAGTATAGAGCGAGGTACATCTCCAACCTGCTTATCAAATCTTTGATTAGTTTGTCCTCTTTACCGCGAACACACCTTTCTGGTGGGCACAGCCTCATTGACGCATTCATAGGCATTGCACTGGCAAGCAAATCATGCCTTTCCCCAAGCTGTAGAGTCGCTGCACTTACATAGGCTTGTTGGGCGGCCTCTGCGGTCCCGAGAGGCGTTGTGCCATTGCCAACGTCTACCATTAAAGGCTGTTTTTCATTCAACTTGTTGCCTGAGAAAATCATATCGATGGATTTGTAATAGCTTGATCAAAGCCAGAAAGTCGTGGTGGGCTACCTGACATCCCACTGCAGTGAGAGCCAGTGGATGAGCGGGGAATACCTGCATTGAGCCATGAGGTGCTAACAACTGTGGCACCATCTCCGAGGTCTCAATAGGAAGACGCTTAACGCCAAAACAGTACAAGCGTTATACGCAGTTGTTTCGTGCGAGAGCTCCTGGCCTCTTATTCCCGCGTTACTCAGAGTTCCTGACATGAGGAAAAGTAACCGCTAGAGGGAGCACAGTTGCACCAATTCAGGCACTCCAAGTAATCATAACTAGTTGCACATAGCATCTAGTGCAGACAAACAGAACATTTAAGAGTAGTCTGCAGTGAAGAGATGCAAAGAGACAAACCAAGTAATATGCTTGTAATTTCTTCTTAGTTAAATTTAACTGGTGCGGTAGAAGGCGTTTAACTTTACTGTAGCTGTCTACATTGTGCTGGTTTTTGGTTCGCTGCTGGGTCTCACGAAGAATCAGGGGAATGCTGATACATAAACATGTTCAGAAAAGAGCGTAAAAGGTATGTACAGCAGAATGGTATTCATTCTCATTAGGTGTTCATGCTGTCAGGGACTCTACGACTCTGCACACCAGCCTGCTGAATGTGCGCAAATGAGTGTCAGCTAGCAGGCACGGAAAGATTCCCACGAACCCTCCAAGAAAAGAACTATTCATTACAGATATTATTACTCCATAAGAAATACGAGTCATTATCTTCGATTTTTGCATTATCAGAAGGCAAACAAAGTTTCAGCATCGTTAGTGACCCTTGCAGTCGCGAGTAGATCCGGCGGGGGTGGGTGGGAATTGTGGTACATTGACGCATTTTGCTTGTTTTCCTTAAGCCATGAAGCTGGCAGTCATATGCAAAAGTATACTGTAAGTGCCTATTCGTTCTGCTTCAGCAGGTTCAAAATACCAGGGTAGTGGACTAATCGCTTTCGCTACACTACGGGGCTGCGGAGTATGTGAATTTTGCTTGCCCCGCCACCCTGTCGGGCCCCAAAGCGCCTTGTCTGTTCATTTAGATGCTCATTATAAGCAATAACATTACTTGCTCCCCATTAAATTCTACGGAATATGCCGGTTTGGAGCAGGATCACTGTCGCCCGCGCACCAGCTCTGCGACGCCTCCAGTAGCGGAGAGAGCTAGTCACCACAAATCCGGCAAACGAGAGCTCTAGCCCGTATTTAACTCTAAACTTTATTTGTTAGTACATTCGCGTTAAGCCGCTGCGGACTTTTCACCACTTCCAGACCAGGGAGATCCAGGCAACGCCGCCTCTGCCGGTCGTGTCCGTGGACAAAACCCCGAAACACTTCACTCCTGTACTTCAACCCCAAGAAGGTTCAATGTTCTAACGGCCATGGATTGGAATCCTATAACCGCGTGGCATTATCCAAGCCACTCCACCCCGTCGTTCGTATCGGTGGCAAAGCAGCTACCAGGTGCTCGCTGTTAGCCACCCGTTTCTCCAAGAGACGGTTTAGCAGTCCCACCACGCCGGGCTGTGTGGAAAGTATTTCCTCAGCAGAGTCTGCTGTTGGTCATTCTGGGGACAAGGAAGCTCGGATCGGCTCCGCAGCTCTAGAGTTGCTTGTGCAAAAATTCCTCTGTAATTTGCTATCTAGGCTCACAGATTCCCGCCATCTCTGCCTCTCCGAGATGGACTTGCAGTGGAAGTGCTGCTCTGTCGAGAGCGCTGTGCATATCGGGGCAGGGAATCGAAGCTAGGGGGACCGGCTGCACCCTTTCAAACGTCCCTCCTTCTGTCTTCTTGTTGCAGCAGCAGCTGACCAACTTTCTATTGGTGTTTATGTATCTATACAGTCTAACAGCAATTCTCTCATCGGAATACAGGGAGAGGTTTTTCATTGTGTCTCATCGGAATCTGACCTGTTTCATTCCCTCACCTGCGCTTCTCCCCAAGGGGGATTTGCATTTCACCGAGTGGCGAAAAGGTCGTCGCCGTGCTGCCATTATTGTTCATTGAAGGCCCCAGGGCCGTTTCTTTCAAAGTACCCAGGGGATTTCGACATCGTATGGGACGGAGCCGTCTCAATTTCAGGCTCGGCGCTGGACTCGAAGACTGCAACACTGTCGTATGCCCAGGGCACAGCAGCAACGAGAACCGCCAACACACCAGCATGCAGGGTGACAGGGAGGCCAAGGTGCTTAGCGGCGCGACAGCCGTGACGGCTGCCCCTACGCCAGCTGCTTTCAGGATTCAGCTCCGAAAGGAGCACCGCACAAGCGTGAAGCCTCTAATGAGCGCGCCTGAGGCTTGTGTAGGTCTTCCTAGATAAAAGAGCGCACGTGATTGTTTAGGATTCGGGGTCTCTAGATAGAAGTGGAAGAGCTCCTCCCGTGTAGAGTGGAGGAGTATCAGATTTCACATCGGGTGGCTAGGGATTTGGGGTAGCGAGACCAGCATAAGGTCGTGCAGCGTTAACGTGGCTTGAGCCCGTAGGGCCCGTGGCGATTCTTGTAGGAATTCTACCAGACGTGCTCCTCTGTAGATTGTGGGTTTCTTAAAGAGGGAGATTCTAGGAGCATGGAGGGGCGCCAAAGCCTTCATAGTGGCGTCCTCGCATGTGCGTGTGTGTGTTGCCTGTGTGTGTATGGGTCTGTATGGCTTGGGATAGGCTGTTATCGAGAAGGCCTGGCTGAGGTTCCTCGAAAGAGAGAGGACACTGCTGGCAGAGCTGGTACGAAAAGTTGCCTTTAATTTAGCTACAAGGCTCCTTCCGTGGCCTTTCCCACATGCTGACTGATCCCGGTGCTCTTTCTGGGTCTCTTAGCATGCAGCGTGTGAGGGGCACTAAAAGCTGCTTCTGCTGCAGGCGCTACACATGCAGATACTACGTACTGGCGTGTATGGAAGTGTGTAATTTGTCGTAACTAACCCCCGAACACCAGCAGAGTAAACCCAACCAACTGGGAAGAGCTAGCTAGAACGATCTGCGCCTCTGCGCAAGGAATCTTTAGGCCAGCGAACGCCTGAATCTGGGCTCTGGAGCTTGTGTGGTGTGTGTGGGGGGCCCAGAAAGAAGTAGCTCAGGTGCTAAGGAATGAGGCAGCGTGCGTGGTGCAGAGCTATTTCAGAGGTGATTCCAAAGCCTTACCCCAACCGGGTGTGCTTAGGTCCTTAGGCAACCATGTTACGTTGTTTGGTCTATTCACCTGCTCTAGTTGGAAGCCTTGAAAGCTGCTTGGTGGGAGAACGCCGGAGTCCACTGGGTTCTAATGGCTTTTTGTCCTCCACACGGGCCTCTACGGGAAGGCGTGTGAGTGGATGGAGCCTGCTTTAGTAGGGGCCGTGTCGGAGATCCAGTTTCCAATACTCTTCTCTGTCCTTCACTGTTTGGGCGGTGCAGGGTATTTGTTGAGAAGAGTTCTTCGGGAGGAGCTTGAGACCACCGTCATTCGGTGGACCGACGCTCCCCTCGGGAAAAAGCATGAGGTAGGAAGCAGGTACTGCAGTAACACCACCAAAGCGTAGCAGTGTGCTCCATTGTTGGCAGCCTGTAGTAATCAGGAGCCTTCACTTTGGCCCCTAGACTCTGCCAGTCAGACTTCTGAGCCAAATTGCGTGCAGCCCTAAACCATTGCGCGCTTCACGATTTCATGAGAGACACTGCCTTTGACAGCAGTGAGTAAAAGTCCTCTGCTGCGTGCAGGCTGAAGTGAGTGTCTGCGAGCCGCCTCATTGGAGGAAGAAGCTTTCCATGCACTTTTGTCCTCTAAGGAAGTAAGCCTAGAACCCCAACTCCTACGTTGACATCATAAGGTTTGTTCTAGCAGTGCGATCAATACTTCAGTGACTATCTTGCAGCTGCAGTCGCAGAGTATCCTTGACGGACCCCAAAAGTCGGAGGTTCGCCACTACCGCTATGGCTCAGGACTGTGTGCTGCGGATTTTCAGAGCATATACATGCCCCGTGCAGATTGTGAAGGGGCGGCTGCGGGTGCAGCTCTTGGTTGATGGGCGCCCCTTTCCCCCGCACCGAAGCCTCAAAAAGACGGTAAGCAGAACGCCACGACTCACAACGCATGTGGGGGCGCACGGTTGCCCCCTGCTCCAGATCCGCATGCCTTCGCACTATTGAAGCTGCTTATATTTGCGTTTGCGTTTTTCGTGGCTATCCCTAACCGGACAGCAAGTAGTAGATGATAGAGGTGGTCCTCACGAGGCTTGGTGGTGAGAGCCCGGCTGGAAAGGGACGGAGTGCAGGAAGCACTGTTGCTCATGCATGCCCTTCGTACGCCACAGGCATCAGAGGACGATACTCATGGGGTATTGCTGCTTCCAGGGGTTTCTTTAGGGCAGCGAATCGCCCCCCGCTTTCCATGGAGAGCTGCGAGGCACTGGTTACAGCAGCAGCGCCCGCCGCAGCAGCTGAAGCAGTTAGAAGGGCACCAGCGGAAAAACCATGAGCACCAGCAAAGGAAGCAGCAGCTTGCCCAGGTGCGACAAGTCCATCCAGCAACGGAACGAGACACACAGGCATGGGTAGAAAGCGGCTCTCTAGGAGGCCCCCTCAGGAACCCCCGGCTGCCTGCAGGGGGCCTTTTGGGGACCTCTGAGGTGAAGGGAATCTTCGGGAGAACGGCTGATTGCTCTCCCGGGAGTCATCGCTGGAGCTGTGACACTGATACGCAGGAGGAACCCCCTTCGTCGGATACGTCTTCCAGTCACGTGTGGCTTTGGAGCAACAGCAGCAACGGAGACGAGGAACTCTCTCCCTTGCAGAGGGGGCCCTCGTGGGCCTCCGGGTCTCATCGCAGTATGGGGCAGCAACGCCGCGTTCCAGTCAAGTGGATGCAGCAGCAGCACCAGGAGCAAAAAGAGCAACAGGGGGGCGAGCAGGCACAGGGAGAGCAGGAGCGCCATCAGCAACCAAATAGTAATCTGAGAGGACTGAGAACCCGTAAGAGCATCAGCACTTTGGACTCTGATGGGCACGAATCTCCTTCCAGTGCCAACGAGAGCACGGGCGAGTCGGCAGCAGCCTTGGGAGCACCAGCAGCAGCTGCTGTTGCTCCCAAAGCTGCTTCCCCGAGTGAGTCCAAGAGCGCTTGGAGTCCCTTCAGACCGGCGCTGCCTTCATTCCCTCATCCCTGGGCCCTTCTTCCACTGCCAGGCGATTCTTCAAATGTTTGCACCCCGAGGGAGGCTCCACCTGGGGCCCCCAATGGCAATCGCAAGGAAGACCCTTCACGGTGGAAGCCGTCAGCAGAGCGTGAGCCGTTCGATGCCCCCACGTTCCACACCACTTGCATCCAAACAGCCTTAGGGCGAGACCGAGAAGGGGCGGAGTGGTGGGGGCCCAGAGAAGAAGATTACCCTTGGAGCTCCTGGCCTTGGAGCCTTTCCGTGTCTCCCCAGACAAAGGCCTCAGAGGCACCACCCGTGGTATCAGGATTCCAAAGGGACTGTCGACACTTCTCGGGCTGGAGCAGTCTGGCTCCGTTCACTCCTGCTAGAGGAGCTCGCAATTGTTCGAACGGCGGCAGTGGCGCCATGCCCCCAAGTCACGCATGGGCGTTGCAGGGGTCTCTAGGGCCCCCACGAAAGTGCAGAGAGGCCCTCATGGAGAGCGCAGACCTGACGGGAGCATTGCTCTGGGCCCGCAAGAGGAGTCACAGTTACTGGGAACTGCGGAGGCCGCTTTCACCTAATCATTTGGTGCTGCGCTTCACGAGGAGTTTGTCCCTGCAGTGGTAACAGATGCAGCAAACATGCGTGCAGCAGCAACAATGTCGCCAACAAAAACCAGAGTCTCCAACGGCAGCTAAAGCCGCGAGAACTTGGACCCTCTGGATAAAATGGCATGCCATACTATTAGTGCTGCGGCTCTATTTATCAAGGCGCTGCAGAGGGTGCAAAGGGCACCGGGTGCAAATAGCGCTGCTGAATGGCAATGCAGCAACATTGGTGGGTGCCGTAGCACCCTCTCCGAGTGCTGCAGGAGCTGCTGCAAGTGCTGCATCAGGAGTAGTACAGACTGAGGCAGTAGCATCTGCAGTATCCGCAGCGTCGGAAGCGTTGTGACGTGTGCAGTAGCATGATCTGCGGCGGGTGCCCGTGTAGTCTTTAGCGGACCGTAAGGCACCCTTCACCCTATTTTGGGGTCCCCGTAAGGGCCCCCAGAGAAGGGGAGTTAGAGTTCGACGACGAATTGGGTACACCTGGATCCATGCGTTTCCGCCTTTCTCTGGTTTTGCTGTAGTGCTGCAACTCATGTAAGGGTGCTGATGCACCCCTGGTGTATATGCAGCACACCATCATCTCTCCCTGAGCATTCACCCACGCACTTTTGAAAATAGAACCCTCCGGTGCTGCTGTAAGGCACTGAAAACCAGCACCGCTGTAGTAGACTAACTAGAAGGCTTCACACGGTAAGGCTCGCCAACGTCTTTCAGCAGGGTATCATTCACTATTGATGTTTAAAGGCACAAATCCTACATGCTGCTAGCCATGAGCCAACTGCGCCACGCCGATGAGAGAACGTTAACGGCCTGTTTCTTGTACCAGCAACAATTTCCACACGGCGGTCCGGCATAAATTAAGGGGAGTACGGGGAATAAATCAAAGATTTACAAGCTGGTCGAGATTATGCCTGGAATAGTGGAAGGCCTCTATAGGAAGGCCCTTTGATAACAGAATGCTTCTGAGCGCTTATTGTGTTGGGTTTCCACAAGCAAGGCTCGATTTAATGATCCTGCAGAAGATAAGTGAGGGAAACGGCGGCGAGGCACACGTTACACGCCCCTTCGATTCAGTATTGCGTGGTCTATATTCGAGGCATAGTAGATTACAGCTTCTTGTTGATCTCGATCTGTTTGCATATGCTACACCAAGATTCTAGTGCTGTAACATGTAACGCTTTCTCTGTTTCCGTAGAAAAAAACTTAGTTCCAGAAACTATTTGAAAAATATTATTAAGTGTTTTACGGTAAAACTCATGCCCTTCCCTGCCTGTGCAACTCGAAACTTCATGAGGGCAGAGGGACGGCTAAACTTGGCATAGCTACACTTTCTAAGCAGTCCGGGCATTTACAGCTAGTTGCCCGTGTTTTTAGTGCACACACACACGGATTGGTTTCTTGTATGAAGCATACAGTACTTTGCAATAAGCGCGGAGTAATAAGAGAAAAATGGTTAATCAATTGTTTTGATTCTTAGTTTAGTACAACTAGTGAAAAGGAGAGCGCCTAATTGTAGATTAGTCCGCCGCATACTCCCTCCTACTACCCCGGCTTCACTTCAAACACACGCTCGCGTGTCCCATAGCTGTATCTCCAAACCAACTGCGGGCAAAACAACTGGATATCTGTGCCCTATTGCCAGTCCCCAGAAAGAAAGAAACAAGAGCATCAACGCAAATGAGAAGTGCAAAGCGCGCTTTGACTGGTAAAGCCAAATCGAGAGCGAAAAATGACACACAGCTAGCTAACAGTAAATGAGGTACCAAGCCAACACGACCGCTGCGGTGCAATGTCTCGTTGTCGCCGGGGCGATACAATGTTTAAGCCTCGTACTGCTGCCAAATAAAAGACAGCCAAAATGTGTGAAGGAGATCAAAATACACACTAGTTTAGCAGAGCATCTACGTCTCATGGAGCAGTGTCTGCATGCAAATACAGCCGGCACACGCAGCGTAGGCGATTTGAACAAAGAAAGCGTGAAGACGACCTTAGGGGCGACATGCCTGGGAGTGTCTGCGCATACATCGGAGTGTAGAGAACACCTTAGCAATAGTACTCTGGAGCTGTTTTAAGCAATACCCACAGATGAACGTAAGTGTTTCGGGCAGCGCATGCCTTAGGAAAGGACAATTGCCGGGAACGTGGAGAAGAGCTTCCATGGTGACGATTAATCTTAGCCAAAATCGTTGCCAATTCTCCCACAGGCACCGAGGCCCGCAGCTCCGACTCCTTCAGATTACTAAAGCTGTTTTTCCTGGAATCTGTGCACTAAAAACTCGCGTCGATTGTGCTCTAGGCCGTCAAGAGTCCTGACCCCTAGCACTTCTACGGCTTTCTGTGGATCCTCTGCCTCCATAAGGGTAACTTGCTTGCGCGACAAACTCCACGAACCATTCGGGGAGTTTAGAGACTTCTTGAAGAAGTCAATATTCGTAGTTTTGTGGCACCTCCAACATTAGGGAAAACGATAGAGTAAGAAGGACTTTTGGAAAATGGCCCCAGCCATGTGGCCGCAAGTGTCTTGGTTTGCCACCTTCTGGAGGACCCCGGAATGCCTTTCGATGCACCAGGACCACTTCCTTATGCTCAAAATACACAGTAGATTGCCACATATCATAAATTCGTGCTTGTGTCCCTCGAGCTGTGCGCATGCACTTTGCGCGCATTGGCTAGCTGGTCGCTAAATCACTTCTCTGCTTGAGGTGGCTGCTGATCCCAGACCACCAGGTCCCTATCACGGCAGGATAAGGGCTGCTCAGTGTAGACGACCGATGCGAGGGAGCAACGGGAAGACAAGTGCACTGTTGCATCATAGGCCCATTCAGCACAAGGAAGACATTGCAGACCAAGAATCTGGATGTGTAGAAGCGTGGAGCTGCAAATGCTGCAGAAGTAATCGGGTGACGCGCTTGCTCTGTCCATTTGTCTCAGGGTCGTTTGCAGTGGTCACATCATGCTCAACGCATATTTGGGCCACAATGACATACCACAATGCACCAACGAACTTGGGATCCCTATCTGTAATGATACTTCTGACGAGTCCGTAGAGCTTTCAAAGATAAAAGGGAAAATAATTGAGCGCCTTCCTTACCCGTGACATGACTGAGGTAAGGGATGAATGGGCATGTTTGCTGAGTCTGTTGACAACGGCATGGATGCTATCCTGACCCTATACCTCCGCTAGTCCAACAATTAAATCCATTGCCGCATCAGTTCAAATAACCTCAGGAACCCTTTGCAAAAATACGGGTCTAGAAGCATGGTGCGGTTTCAGCTGCTGAAAATCTGGGCATGATATTGCACCACAGTTTTCTGTCGCGAGTCGTATCGCAAGCAGCCAGAAGGACCGAGTGAGCTTCTTCACCGCAGTGTAAAGCCTACTATGATTTGAAAGACCATGATCTTGTGCTTTGCGCAAAAAGGCAATGCGGAATGAAGTCGCAACGTACACGCGGCCTAGTTCCCGCTTTTTTTGAGCCATAGCAGGCCATTCCCAACGGAATAGTGCTTCAGCCCTCTGCCCTCTTGAACTCTGACAATAGTAGCGGACGCAGGGGTCTTAGTGGCAAAGCTTTTGGGGAACTTTATGGAAACTGCAAATCTTCACAAGGCATCACTGGTATTACGGTACAATAGTGAATGATATAGGCGTCACTAGAGTAGATCGGCAACCACTTGTGATGTTTCCATGATATTCTTCTGTAGGTGCGTACTTGAGGAGGTGTCCATGCCAGCGAAGAACTTTGGAACAATTGGTGTACTAAAGGTTTTGGCAAGGCACATTAGGTTATGGTAGTCGATCTAGATAGTTAAATGGCGCCCACATAGTTTGCGTTTTGGCGCCCCACCAGACCGCATAGGAATCGTTTTCTTACACTGGATACCGCTGCTCGGTTTCGATGAGGCGATGAGAATGACGAGCAGATTGAATGTTTTGAAGAATTCATAGTCTAGTGTGATACAATAACATGCACAGCTGTGTCATCAGCGTCCGGCAGTTGGGAAAACGACAGTTGTAATCGGGTAGCGCAAGTAATGAAGAAATGGCAAGGTGGCCAACAAGCGTTCTTGCTGCGGCATCAGCTTCCTCTGTACAGGTAGTAGACTACGGTTTTTGAATAAGAGCAGTCAGATAAGCAGCAATCCGAGCACATGCAGGAATGAATTTCGGTGATCAGATGCAAGCCCACAGAACTTCGCAGTATCAATGTGGGTGCGTTGAGGAGTGGCTATGCCTTGATGCTTCAGTTTTCGCCGAATCTGGCTTGATCCCTGCAGCTGAAGCACGAATCCCAAAACATGCACTTGTTGTCATGCAAAATGGACATTTTTGTGCCCTTACATGTCACTGCTTATCTTGCAGCAGCAACAGCGGACGCCGTAGGAGCTGTTGGTGCTGTTGAACGCTTCGGTTGAAAACTAAGACATTGGCCTTTGAGACAGCCATCCAACTTTCCTCCGTAGGTTCAGAAAGATCCAGAGCAACTTGCCCTTGCAATTGAGGTGGGGCATCCAAAAGTCTAAAAAGCGTACATCTGTCCGTAAGTTTGCTAGTGCAAGACTGAAAAGCCATTTGGTCCCTGTCACCACTCTGAATGGCCACATGTAGAAAGCGTCTATTGAGTGAAATGCCCAGTAGACTGTTGTTACATGTAACTTGTCATAAGATTGTCAGATGTGAGTCATCGAAAGCATTTTCAGGGCAATTCTCTACGTTAACGCACATTGGTCTCATTCCGTTTTTTTTGGCACAAATAACTACTAGCAGGTGGTCAGCTTGCTGATAGCACGTCATTATTTGGCACATCCGCGAGCTTCTTGATATTTTCTCATTCCCGCTGCTACCAGACTCAGCAGTCAATTAAATTTGCTTGTAGATATCATCTGCAAGACGCACACGGGATGCTTGTTTAGAACCGGCTTCTCCTGCGCTGCTGAGCCGCCCTCAAGAAGACTCATTTACTCCAACTCGTTGAGATACCCCCTTCACCCCCCTAGTCATTGAAACAATGACCTTTGTTGAGGTGACCAAACGTTGCCTCTTCCTAGTTTTTCCCTGTACACTAACGTTCACAGCGCGAAGCTATGGCTGCTTGAGCCTCGTTCATTGAATCAGCCATGCCATATCTAGGAGTACCTCATGGTGCATCGGTCCAACACAGAAGGCACAGATCATGCAAGAAAGACCCAATTTAGATTTTACAGGGCATAGAAGTGGCTTTGCCATTCCCTGCATTCTGCCGCCCCTCATCAAGCTTAATCCTAGATACTGCGCTAAAGAGTGAAGAGGCAGACAAAAGACTTCTGTGCCGTCTCCTCAGATGACAGATCCAGTTCAAAACCAGTAACCAGTGACAAACTTTGACCATTATTGTGTGCTTGTACACTTCCGTTTTCCCTGACGCGTATTCTTATCTCGCCAAGTAGCCGGCCCCGCTTGAAGCCAGTTTCATTCTTTGAGTACTTGGATTTTTACATGCGCCCGCAAGTGCGCATCATTCAACCCATTTTTCGATTCTAGAAGCTGGCGTTTGCGTGGAAACTGTTTGAGGGGGCTTGTGAATGCGGATTTACTGAGGCGTTCTTTCCTTGTTCACTATAGCCTGTAAGCGAGGGCTGGTTGACACAGACTCCAAACCCATAGCTTTGAACTATTTATTCGGCTCTTTCTTCTCACATGAACACTCAGCAATGTGCTCATCTGAAAGTAAAACCTCAGGTTGTCCGTTATATGTAGACCTCTCAGAGGGCGGCTGCTTACCCGGCAAGCCTGCAACCATGTAACGTAACACTATGAATAGACTCAAGACGAATCATGGGTAAAGCACCTGTTCTTCTACTTCGTGGCTTTCATCAACTAAAGCTTCATATTTCCTGATATACCGAATTGTTGATAGATTCCCCTTTCGAGGCTTTCTTACTCCTCTCAAAGCTTTCTGTTGAGCTGATCTCGACATTAATTGATAAATCCGGGAGTGAATGAATGCCTCAAGCTCTGGAAGTCCCCACACCCGGGTGGCTTCCTGCGCATGGTTGAAGTGCGTCTACAACTAGATAGCATGCCGCAAAAGGCAGTCGTTTCCCTTCAGCAGGGGAGTATAGAGCGAGGTACATCTCCAACCTGCTTATCAAATCTTTGATTAGTTTGTCCTCTTTACCGCGAACACACCTTTCTGGTGGGCACAGCCTCATTGACGCATTCATAGGCATTGCACTGGCAAGCAAATCATGCCTTTCCCCAAGCTGTAGAGTCGCTGCACTTACATAGGCTTGTTGGGCGGCCTCTGCGGTCCCGAGAGGCGTTTTGCTACTGTCAACGTCCAACGCCACAGAGCTTTTTCACCCAGCCTGGTGCTGAAGAAAGCAGACTACTGAGATATCAAATGTCATGATCGAAATCAGAAAACTACCATGGGATACCTGACATGCCTTTGCACCCGCAGCAAGTCGATGAGCGGGGAACAGCTGCACCATGGGGTGTTATCAATTGTAGTGTTCCCTCAGAGGTCTCAGTAGTGTGTTATCTAACTCCAATCTCCACTCAAACCGAGTGGAAATGTATTTGTTTTTCGTCGGCCCCCCGCCTTCCCCTGCAGGGGCTATTTAGAGTTCATACAGGAGGGAAGAGCTACAGCTAGGGCGGGCGCACTTGCGCCCTCTCCGAGCACTACGACCATTCACAGCTAAATGCAATCAGCATATGACGCACAAGCGCACGGCATTGCGTCATTGTACATAGCTAGCACTACTCTGCAATAAAGACATATACCTGATACGGGCCAGTTAGTATATTCTTTGCTCAACCCTTGTAAAAATATAGCTGGTGTAGTAGTGTTGAAGTGTAGCTTTGCCCTCCATGTCAGCTGCGCATGAATCAAGTATCTTTTTGCTTTTGAATATAGAGGGATGCATACAGTGTTGCACAACACATGTCTCTGGAAGTATCATAAAAATTGCGTGCGAGGTCTCTTCACTGGCATCCCCGTTGAGACCAACCCCATTGAATCATGCCAGAAGCCTTTGTGCCCCTCTAGCTCCACACACTTGACCTTCAGACACCAAGAAGCGAGCCGTGGTGATTCGCATGGGAACGTCTGCATCAACGATCTAACCCACATACGAAGCCGCTGTGTTAGACCTCTGGTAGTTTCATTATGTTTCTAGAACTGCGTTGTTCTCTGATCCGTCTCCTTGAGGGAATGCCGGCGGGGGCAAGTAACAGGCAGGTATAATGACTCTCTTGGAGTCACAAACGCCTACTGAGTTTCTACGGAGGTATTTCGAAGAGCTGCTTTTGTAGTTAGTTGTAATATAAAACAAGTTTTGGGGAAGCAGAGATGATGCGCTGCACCTCGGTGCGATCTTCCCCCCGCCCCTCCCCGGTGGAATACAGAAGTAGGCCTTAATTGCAGAATAGCTATTGTAGGGAGCTTTTTGAATCTCTTACATTAATAAAGACACTATACTTCCGTGTAGTGGTTGCAGCAGCGTATCATTTGGGCGCAAACTAGGCAGTGGATGTAAAGGTTTCGGAGGGCACAGCAGCGCGGCTCCTTTCCCGCGCAGGGCACAGCGCCCGCTCTCTCGCTCTCGATAATCGGTTTGGTCTTCCTTGAGAATTTCGTGCTCCCGCTAAGGTGTTTCCTGTTTATTTTAGTGACGGGGGCCCGATTTACTAGTGCCAGAGGACACAATTTTTCGCCTTTCCTCCTCGTACCACGCTTTTAAGACCCATGGGTTCCGCAGTGCCTACGGGTTGTCATGGGATTCCTCCACTGGGAATAATATGCGCGATTCTGGTGTTGTCAGCCTTTTCTTTTTCCAATTTTGTTCGAGTTTGAAGTAGAATCGCAGTAAATAGGCCACTTATACCAAGGTGTTTTGTTCTTCTCCCTTCCGGGTGTCGGGTGTCTGCAGCTTCCTAGTCTTCCTTTCTGCTGGGCAGTGCGCAAGGCACTTTCCTCCTTCCTGGATTTTGTTTTCCTTGGTTTTCTTCGGCCTTGTTTGTAATTCCGTTAAGGCTCAGTCCTTTTGCTGTTCTCTTTTTGTTTTGCCTCCGGTCGAGTACTCGCAGCGCCCTGGCCTCTATTTTGTGGAGTTCGGTGTCCGTTTTGGTTCTTTCGGAGCGGAATAGAGGAAGTGAACGTCTACCTAGGCTTTACTTGTCATTCGATTTGGATTATTTGCTAATTCATACATTTGTATGTCTATTTTTTCCCTTGAGATGATGGATTCTCAACACTGGCAGCAGCTGCCACAGCAGCAGGTACAGGCTCCACCACGCCCGGCTCCAGCTGTTGTTGCGTCTGCACTTGCAATGGGAGGAGTCCCCATGAAGGGCGTGATTCTCGCGAACAGAAAGACAATATTCCACAAGACACGCGTGTGCCCCCGCCTCGGCCTGGGAGCGTGTCACTTGGGCAGCAAGTGCAACTTTGCACATTCCCTGGAGGAGCTGCGTCCTGCTCCCAATCTCGATAAAACCAAGCTATGCCCGTCTGTCCTCCACCCGGGCATTGTCTGCCCTGCCAAAGCTAGAGGGGAAGTCTGCCGATTTGCCCACAACAACTCGGAAATACGACACACTTCGAATATGTTCAAAACAAACATGTGTCTTAAATGGATCCGTGGGAAGTGCAAGGTGGGTTTTTCCTTCCCTCCCAAGTTATTGTAGATCTTTGTTCGGCTTTTTGGATATATTATGCGTTTGTTGGCTTGTTATTTGTGCTACAACTTTTGCGCAGTGTCTGGAATCGCTCTCCCAGTGCATGCGTGTGTTGTGCTGTGTAATCAGAAGGACGCGCAGTGCAGTCATGCTCATGGACACCAGGAATTAAAGTATTATAGGTCCCTTGCAATGGCGAGCGGATCTCGCGACTTTGCGCGTGAGAGCGAAGCCACGTTTTCCAGGAGGAGGAAGCAGAACGGTTCGGTCGGTCCATCAGCTGCTCCTCCCCTTGCTGGTCTGACAGACATCCTCTACTCACCTCAGCAGCAGCAGAAGCAATTAACCGATAGCTACAGGCAAGCGGATAGCTCCAGTAGCAGTATCCGCCACGAGACGCTGTACTCCCTCTTGACTCGTAATGCTAGTACATCCGAACAGCTTTCGAAAAGCAGCTGCCCTTCGGTCGACGTCGCGCTCGCAGCTCTTTACGAGGAGTTGCTGAGATGCAAGGCCAAAGGAGAGGGTTTTGGGGGCTCTAGGGGAGGCATGGGAGCCTCCCTCAATGACGATAGCACAACTGCAGCTGACGAATGCTCAGATTTTTCTTCCTTCTCATCACGGTGCCTGACGGACGCTCTGCGTTCAACTTCGTCCACAGTCGGCACCTGCGGGGGGCGCATGAATTCCCCCGAGGTTGAGGCGGTGCTCGCTTCTCCCGCTTCTGCACCTACATGCCCAGGGGCATCAGTAAACAATAGTAACGACCTTTCTTTAGGTATGGATCAGTTGGTGCTGCTGAAGGCTCTTGCAGAACGAGGAGCACTTGTGAGGGGGGCGGCCGAACGACAGGCGGAAACGCAGCAGGGGCCTGACATGTCCAGAGCTGCTGTTTCTATGAGGATGGGAAACTCGTCAGGTGTTGCTCAATCCAAGAGTTCTGGGCTAGAGGAGGCCCTTGGCAGCAGTCTTGCGAGGCTTTGCCTGGGAGACTTGGACGTTAGGCAGCACTGCTATGCAGATCCTCCTCCAGGGTTTGAGCGGGAGCTCCGCCAACAGCAGCAGCAGGCGGTTGTGGATTTGGATCGTCTTGCTTCAGCCAGTGGTTTTGATTGAATGGCATGTTGGAATTTCGTATATCTTCCTGTCTAGTTTAAATTCACCTCAGAACATCTTCGATTCCGAGACTTTATTTGAAGATCGAAATGCTGTGTAGGAGGAGTTTTGTTGAGGGGCCCAGGAAGGATTTCCTGTGCAATACAAGCCTTCCGGCAACCTTGTTTTGGCTCCTCCGTCTTTTCTGTATTGTCGCAGACATCAGCTGCCCCGGGTCGCTGACTCTGCATCCAGTACTTGCTGGAGTCGTATAGTAGCTTCGTGCGTCGTGTATGGAGATGACAGGGTCGTTGTCACGGCTGGAACTGTTCTACTGTAACTGGCCGTATCATGTGAATTACTTCCAGTGTCTGTCTCGACATGTCGCACAGCCATGCATGTCTCGCCTGTGCCTGCGACGGGGTTTGCAATGTCTGCCCCTTATGGTCAGCAATTAGCCGGGGCAGCTGACATTTCCCGTATTGTTTCTCTATTGGCAGGAAGGCGAGGCTGAGTTTGCTCCCCTGGTCATTTTGGGGCGCCTGCGACACGTTTGGAAATTTGGAAAAAAATGTTAAATGTATTTTCTCATTGAACAGGAGGAGGATCTTGAACCTGGTCAACCTTGCAAAGCGTAGCATGTTCTCATCAGTGGTTGAATTTTGGTGGATTTTGAAATGCACGCTCAAGCATGGTATCTCAAGGCCCAGTTTGTGCTGGCGGCAGACACAAGGGGGAAATGCGGCAGAGAAATACGAGGCCTGGACGAGGATACAGCTTAGTGTAAATGGATGAAGAGGCTTCGCTGTGATGCCGTGGAAATGGTTTCTGCCCAGTTGTACAGTTTTACAGACAGCCGAACGTCGCTAGCTGGAAACGCCGGTATGTCTGATTCGGGAACACGTTATTGGGAGTAGCAAAAGGAGGTCTACCATAACGGTCCCAAAACTGCTGTGGTAGATTTATGTTGTTGTTGGGCGCATTCCCCCGCATTGATTCGTGCCGGGGCTGATTTAGTGATTGCTTCTTAAGTGTGCCATGACGTTTTTGACTGCTTGCATGGTAGCGACAGTTTGAAGCGCGGAAGCCCATTGTTGCTGGAGCAGTGCTTGTTTTATTCTTTCAAGTTATAGTCTCAAGAAGTGGTTCTTTGTTGCTTGCCCACAGTTTCTATTGCGGTTGGGGGGTGACGAGACCAAGGTGTTTGGTGCCATAACTGCAACAAACGCGTACATACGTACACACCCATGCGGCGCGCTGTTGGCGGCTGAACACTGATTTTATGGTGGCTGCACGGCGCGAACAGCGTGAAAACCGCAGCCTTGGGGCATCATTTCAAGTGGCTTGTATCGTATTCAGGCGAGGGCCCGTGGTGTTCCGAGGGTAATAACGTCGCTTGCTTTTGCATGCAATGAAGAGCTCGCAGACTTTCGTTGTTGAATAGCCCTTTTTATACACCAGGAAACGGTCTTATGCGAAGGAATGGGATTCACCTTGAAGTGCACTAACGGCAAGTGAAAAATGAAAGTAGTTGATTCGCCTTGGGCGGTGTTGGCAGTGGTCGTCCTTTTGCAAGTATACTTTCTAGATGCTAGCTTATTCGTGGATGCTTAGTCTGATAAGGGATCTTTTTCCCTGCATGCGTCTATCTCGTTGAGGACATTTGCAAGGCTGTAATTTATTTGTAATAGTCTAGCATTTAGATTTTAGGCTGCTAGCCAGGTGCAGCCAATGCTTGACGACCCTTGCTCTTCCTTGACTGTTTGCCAGTCTTTTTGAGTACTAGACCCCCCTAGGTCAGTCTGAATAGTTTTATTGTTTGGTCAGAGCTGCCATGATAATAATCAACGTAGCGCTTTCTGCAGGGAGAGGTAAAGCTTGGCCTATTTATAGTTTTGGACCGAATGCAATGTTCGGCTCAAAAACACTTTTCTCTTCGCCTTCTGGAATGCCACTTGGCAGAAAATGTCCAGGCTAGGGTCTGGGCAATACTTGGACACCAGTCATACTTGCGAAATAGTCAAGAATAGATAACCTGCCCTAGGCGCTCGTATATATTATCTATTAACACATTGGCTTGAGCTCGATATAGTTATACTCCATGGTATATACTTATGGGCTATCTGCTATGTGCAATCAGCTGCGAACACCCATGCTCAGAGGACGCAAGTATGCGCACCCTGGCGTGCCCCTCTTTCGTCGCCGAAACTTGGAGAGGCGCGGGTACCGAAGGGCAGCAGTTACTACAAAAAAGACTCACTAGCGTTGTTGTATCGCCAGTTGGAGAAGTACCTCGCAATTTCATTTCCAGACGAAAAGAATTGACCGATTTTTGCGGCATGTTCACAGAATGGTAATGAATTTCAAGAATGGCGCAAGTAATGCAGAGGAGCCCTTGAACTCCAGGGACCACTTCAGTTCACGCTTGCATACAAGCCCTCACTGATCTGTTTAAGTATAGATCGGTCCAAGAGCAAATTTTGCAAGGATCCAGAACGCCTTAGCAGGAGAATCAATCAATAGATCGTCACATCGAGAAATGTGAAAACTTCCTGCAAAAGCCACAACGTAGACAAAAAAACTGCTTGATTATTGATTTAGCTGGTGTCTACCCAAAGCCTCACGTCCGATGGCCACAAAATGGGCAGCGGCTTAGCAAATAAACAGCCTACCGATGAGGCTTTCGCAAACGGTACACCATTTAGGGTTCAACAGGCAAATAAGCGCATCTGGCGTGTTTTGTGCGGAGAAGGTGGAGCCTACTCGAGACTCAAAACTTATTCACTTATGTGGATTCTTGAAGAAAGCCTGAGGTTATCTGGTCCCTTAAACAGCCACAAACTGCGCACAGCTACCTAACTGCTTTTGTGGACAATTGGTTTTATAATCCAGGACTGCACTCACATAGAAAGAGCCCAAGAATACGAAGAGCGAGACTGAGCTCGGCGAAAGGAGGGTCCTTGGCAAACGAAGAAGGCAAATCAGGGAAACGGAAAGGCCCCCACACTCTCCATGCCAGCTACTGCGCAGTAAAGGGGCCACAGAAAATAGAGTCGCAGTTAAAGGCTCATCAGCCATCAAATTTGGGTTGGTACAGGCTCACAGCAGGGCTAAGAATCGCTAGCGCTACTTTACACTAGATGCCAAGTGAATCTGCTAGTCGAGGTGGCGGAGCAGAAGTGCAGCCAGCCTGTTCACTCGTTAGCCCAATCCCTCACGCAGGTTTGATGAAGAGCAGCAGAATGCAGGGTCTAGCAAGGGCACGGCAAGTATATGCTTATTCAGCTCGGCACAGAGTCTCAGCAGTATGGTCCGTGACCTTTATTTTGGGATCGTGCAACCTATTCTCCTAGGCTTGCCAGGGGTTGCCCCAACGAAGGTGCTCATGTGGCCACAGCTGCGCGCTGTGAAGGTTAGTATACCTGGAGGTATCAGGATGAAGCAGCGCTTGATCTCCTTACTAGCTATTCTTCATTTACGGTTAGGAGAAGTCAATAGCTCAAACGGGTTGAGCAGAGCTTCTTTGCTGACGGTAGGAAAGCCGGTTCTCAGCATGCATCCTGTTTTCCTGGTATCGGAACTGGATACCTATAAGCATATTCAAACTGGCTATTTATTCTCGTGATACTAGGAATGTGCAGATATCGAGAACTTCGTGTATGTGACATATGATGACGAAGTGCTTATCAGCTGGTCGCCTGCTAGTCGTATAGCCGCGCCCGTTGAGCTGATTTCCTGGTTAGCCCCCAGCTATGCCCCGCGGGCATCGAAAGGGTTTACAGCACTAAGAGAAGATTAGCCGAGCAGGCGGATGATTTGTGAGAACGAAAAGTACAGGAATAATTCAGCGCTATTGGGCATAACCTAGTGTTGGTGCCGGAAAAGGATGAAATCTGGCGCACTTGCGTTGGCTTCGAGCCTCTACAAAATCATTGTAAAGCAAAAGTTTACAATGCCTCATACTAGAAAATTACCCAACAAGATCCATGGATCAATATTGAAGCGGGCACTTGATTTTACAGACACTTTAGTACAGGGCCCTATCCAGCTTAACGGCAAGCACACGGCGTTCCACTGCCACAAACTCAAGCATGCCTATATGCTGTTTCAATCTGCCAAGTTCTCTGCTGAAGCCAGACAGAAATTTATCTGGATGTTCTATGAGCCTACTAAAGGGACTGTTTTGCTCTCTGCATGAATGACATCTGAGTATTTAACGGAGACGTTTAGTAGCACCAACACGAGCTACGACGTGCGCCTCACCTGGCAGAAGACAGACTTCGCAAGTTAACAAGCTCAAGCGTTAGATTTTCATAACATCTGTGCTTCTATGATTCCGTGTCTCGGCTTTCAAAGTGAGCTTGATGCTGCACGTGGAATTTGCCTTTACTCGTCTGTGACGCAGTCGACTACATAAAGGATATCACCAACGCGGTTGCCGACGCGCTTTCACATTGCCCCGGCAATGCGCTGTTGTGCAGCACTGCCGCTCTTGTCTGGGCTAACTTGTGGTTTCTATCGGAAATGGGTGGGTCCCTTGCTTTTTATATCCATGCACTCATCACTATTGCCAAAATCCATAGTGGCAAGGGCTGAAGCACTACCACGGTGGGGAAGGCCTGCAGTGTTACAGAACTAGGCAGAGTCGCAGTCGCGTGCACATTTCCACTTTCTTCCACAGTGGTGGTTTGCACAAATCACATGGTCGTGTTCTTCCGAGCTATGGTGAGATTCACATTGCAATGAAGGAGCTCTCACGTCCTTCTGGTATCTTGCCGTGCATCGTGCGGCAGAAGAGTATGAACTGTCATGCCCAAACTCTCAGCAGATGAAGCTTTGCACTCTCCTGAACTCGACATTTGCAAGTCCCTCTGGTTCCTGAAGTTTGGCTCTGATATGTAACCATGGATGCATTGTTGGACTGCCGGAAATCAATTGTCAGGATGGGCTCTACGTCGTTGCTGACAGACCCAGCAAATATGCCCATTGATCTCTTGCTCCAGCTCTGTCACAACTCAGGAACGCGCTTAATCATTTTTACCTCATGTCTTGGAGCTAAACCAATTTTTTAATGAGTAATAATGCGGATAAGGATTCTAGCTTTGTTAGCGCGTTTTGGTGTGCCTTTATGACGCAACTGCGCGAGGAGCAGAATATGGTCCCTGAAAATGATCATACGGTGAATGGGCTGACAGAGCGTACCAACAGCACCCTTTCGCAGTACTTGTGACTCGGTGCTCACACAAATCCAATATTCTTGGCCTGATTATTTGCTTTGTGCAAATTAGGGTGATAGTATGAGAGTGTACTCGTATATCCGTTGCCTCCCCGCATACCTGTTGAACATGGAGGTGCCCCTTTGCAATCCGGGCCGAGACCTGGTATTTCCCGGAGTAGCCACAGTTACCATCGTAACATTTAGTAAACAGTTGGATAGCTCACGTGTATGCATGCGGAAAGCTCAAGGAAGACAAGCAAGGATCCATGATAGGGGTTGGTTGCCTGTGTGTTTCATGCCTAGGGTTTTGGTTTTAGCGGAGTGGCAGGCTTTATGAGGTGCACCAGAAAGTGGCCAGACAAAGGCGTTTGCCTCAAGATAACAAAGACTAGCTGCGATTGCCTTGCCAGTACGTTCTCTTTCATGCTCTATACATTGGCCATAAAGCTGACCGTGCTACTAAGACATTAATATTGGTTTTCTAAGAGGATTTGAAGACTCACCAGGTTGCTCACGGACTTGCCCCACAGGTAGCTGACCCAAGTGGAGGCGCAGGATTCACGCACAGCCATGTAAGTGCAGGATTTCAGGGCTTTTGAGCACCGAGGACACAATAGACGGACCATCGTTAATTGGGTGGAGAACACAACCTAAGTGGCTGACGGAAGCGCAGTAGCCGGCTTGGTGCCTGTGGGAGAATTTTTGGTGTTTGGCTGGCTAGAACACCAGTAGCTATGGAAATTATTCCTCCCATGCCCTCGTGCTTGTCCTTTTCCCACCGCAGGCTCTGCCTCGAATGGCTACCTCCATTGATGGGAATTGCTCGAAAAGCTTCCGGTCATTGTTGTTTCTGCATTCTCTGCACTCGGATCTATGCGCAGGGACTCTCAGATATGTTGCCTGTAGACCGTCCCTCATGCCTCTTTTGAGCTTTAAAATCGGCAATGCTGCGTCTGCCGCATTTATTTGGATGCAGGCTTTGCTCCGAGGCGCGGAGCCACTACTGGACCGGTCTGGACGCTGCTTCGCTTTACACATTTTACGTGTCCTGTGTCTTGCCGGCATAGCGGCTTGTTGACAGAGGCAGACGCTGCAAAAGCAGCAGCAACGACGCGGGCAACGATGAGCAGAAAGAATATTACGTTGTAGCATCAGGAAATTCTGGGGGATGCAGCGTTTTATAACGTCGGCCTTGGATTACCCAATCAGCAAGGGGCATGCAGATGTGATTCTTTGCAGCGGCAGTAGCAGCTTATCAGGTATACCTTGAGAGATTTTCCCAGAATCTCGTGTAGTTCTCAGCACAACCTCGACGGCAGCACTGAGGAGTCCATAACAGCAGCTACCTTCCAACTGTCGCCTGCCTGCCCATCTACCAGTAACAGCAACGAAGAGTGGCCTTCACTCCGAAGGCTAAGTAAGTGTGAGATTAGGACTGCGTCTGCCCAAAGCAGATATCGGAACGATAGATTCAGTGTTTCGCCACTACGCGTGACATAAAGGATAAACGTTTTTTTCGCGGGAAAGAGATTTACGACGCTTCCCCTTAAAAACTCGGAGACTGCTGCTAATACTGCTAAGTGACGATACAACTGTTGGCACTACTGCTTTTGCTGCTTCGTATAAAGCCCACAAATGGGGAAACGGACACGAGGCAGCATAAGATTGGCACACACGGAAACCGATACAGACACACACGCATATAGATTGAAGCCCGCAACTAGATCCGGGAGAGTCACACATAGAAGGCCAGGAAGAGTGACATGCAAACAGCAATGACAACAGTGGGCAACAGCGCAGACAGGAGAGGGACGGTTACCGAAGCTCATGGGGATCTCGCTACAGTTTCGCAAAAGACTACACTTAAATCCAAGCAGAATGGATGAGGGACCCCTCAAGGCAGGAAAAGCCATCAGTCCCTCATGAAAGGGAAGACCGTTAGGAAATTATGAGGCAACAAAGAATGGCCACTGCGGGCCTTTTGGTTTGACAGGGCCCTCACGGGAGCCCTTCGATGGGAAGCGACTTTTAGTTGCCTCTGTAGCTACCATAGCACCGGTGAACGCCACTAATCACCGCAGCGTTTTTGCTGCTGCAGCATCAACTCCCTATGGCCCACCAAAATAAGTGAAGGAGGGACTGCTGCCCGTGATAGGCCCCGTTAGACCCTCGTTATGGGGCCCTTCTAGGAGCTTTCCTCCCTTTTCGAGCGAAAGAATACCGGCTGCTGCTACATCAGCCATTCGAGGTCCCTGCTATACACGAAATTGGCGCAAAGGGGCCCCTTAGTAAAACAAAAGGAGTCAAACGAATGTTACCATGAACCCCTGAATGGGCTGAAAAGGAAAGTCAGGGATAAGACTGGCAGAGTAGGGGTCAGTGAGAAGGAGGCTCCACCCGCTTGCTTTGCAACCGACGCCTAAGGTCTCCTACACGCGAATGCAGAGGTAGAGAAGATGGAGAACCCCTATTGGGGGACGATGGAGATCCACCTTCGCTGCCCAACGGAGATGGCCTATCACCCTCCTCGCCATCCGCAGCCTTTCTGGTAGCAGCAGCCGCTGCTGTTGCAGGAGGAGACCCTGCAGAGCTTCCGCGTTCAACAGGCCCTTCTTCGCTAAGAGACCTGCAGCAGTAATAATGATGTGAACAAACGAAAGGCACCCCAAGCGCTGAGAAGGAAGCATTCTTGTGTGGCCTTAATAAAGCACTTCTGCTCTCTCAAAGACCCTCCCACGCTTCCCTTTCTTCGTGTCAAAAGGCTCTACCTGCTTTGGCTTTTGTAGCGATCCACGGTCGGGGTAGGCAGTCCTCGGTTCGGCTGCTGTCTGCGTACGGGTCCCTCATCTCTTATGGGAGGGCCCCTCCGGATGTGTCTCGCGTCTCTTCCATAGGGGCGGGGGCCCCCCATGGGGATATACCCCCTTCCTCCCCAGTCTGCGTCCCTCTCTCTGTATGCCAGACTTGGCACTGGGGGCCCTCGGGGGTCGTAGTAGGCCCCCATTGGGCCAGGAGAAACCCTGCGCCTGTAGCCACGTTAAGCAAATGAACACACGAAAAACCTGCTTTCATCTGTGCACCCGTGTGTTGGAATGGATGCTGCAACAGGCGCGGCGGCGTTTCCCGCCGTTACTGAGGCTATCTCTCTGATGCCGCCAGCAATCCTTAACCTTCAAATGGGCTACAGTCCAGGCGAGGGTTACAGCGACTGCCTGCGCCAACATCGACTTACGGATAGCGTCTCGGGGGAGACCGTGGAGGCGATCCCGGAGAGCGTCTCCACGATCTGAGCTCCCCCCCCCGTGGGGAAGGAGACCGTCTCCTTAGATGGAAAGAAGGGCTTCTGCCTCTCTTGGAGGGAGGCCCCCCGGCCATTTGGGGGCCCCTCCCCCTCCCAGGAGACGAAGAACGCTCCCTGCTACCTGAATACTGGCGCTGCTGCAGGGGGCCCCTGCGAGGCGAAGGGCCCCGGCGGTGAGAAGGGGCCCCTCTGGGCCCCCGACTCGAAGGTGAAGCCTCAGAGACTCCCCACTCGGGAGACTTGCGCGGGAGTGCACGGCCTCCACAAGACGATCTGGATCGCCTCCTGCGCGGTGAGTGCGAGGGTGAGTAGTTGCTGCGCCTGAAGGTAGGGGAGGGGGATCGGCTGGTACTGTCTTTGGGTGGAGGGGCCTCCTCTGCAGCGATGTGGGATCTTCCGGGGGGGCCAGGAGATCGCGAGCCTCTCCGCGGAGGAAGAGAGCGTCTCTTGGGCGAGGGCGACCTTTTGCCTTGCCTCCGGGGAGAGCTGAGCTGTCCCCTCCGATGAGCGTGGGGAGAGCGTCCAGCATTTGTCTGCCTCTGAGCAGACGAGGGGCTAAGTCCTCTCCTGCTATCCCCTGGTAGTGCTGCAGAAGATTCCCCTTCGCGAGCAGCGTCGCTGCGGAATGACGCCGAACGGGAGCGGGGGGGGGTCCCTCTGGATTTTCCAGCCGGTTGTACGGCAGCTGCTACAGCAGGGGAGGGAGACCGACCCTCCCGTGCCGATGATAAGCTCGAGCGTACCCGTTTGTTCCTTGGGAACTGCGGCGACCGTCTTCGACCCGGAGAAACAGAGGGTCTGTGCTGCATTGGAGGCCGTTGCTTTGGAGTCGGAGAGCGCCTCCTTGGAGAGGGGGAATGGCGACCTCTTGGAGTGGGAGAGCGTCTCCTTGATAAAGGCGAGTTTCCTCTTGGCGAGAGCGAATGCCTTTTGGGGGACAAAGAACCTCTCCTTGGTGTGATAGAGCGTCGTCTCTTTGGAGAGACTGAGCGTCTCTTTGGGGAGATTGAGCGTCTCTTTGGGGAGATTGAGCGTCTCCTTGGAGAGGGTGAACGTCTCTTCCTCAGCAGCCGTGGAGGGGACCTTCTGTGCTCCGGAGACAAAGAGCGTCTCCTCCTAGAGGGGGAATGCTCCTGCGATCCGGGAGAACGCCTTGATGGGGAGGGAGACCGACGCCTGCCAGAAAGCGATCGCCTTATCGGGGAGGGAGACCGCTTTCTGGATGCGGGTGATCGCGCAACAGGCGAGTTGGAATGCATGCGAGCCACCATATCTCGCTCTTCCCCCTCAGCATACGCCGCGTGCTTCAGCTTCTCCTTCAGAACTGCTGCTGCACCCTGTGAGCCTAAAGGCCGTAGCAACGGCCGACGCTCTGCCTTCTCCTGACTCCCCACCGAGTCTCTTCGTGGCACAGACCTAGAACGATCCCTCAAGGGGCCCCTGAAGGGGTCTCTTGAGGGCCCCCCTGCGGGGGATAAGGAGCGGCTGGGAGCACTGGGGGAGCGCGAGACGTGCCTGCGTTACAAATACAAAGACAGCGTACAGGCATTCTTTCTGCTGCTGCCAAGGCTTTTCTCTGACTGTCGCTATCCGTGCCAAGCGGCCCTATCACCGGCACTGGAGCTCGGTTTTCTCTGTCTCTTTCTGTCTCTCTCTGTCTCTGTCTCTGTCTCTCTCGAGAAGAAGGAGGTTCTCTCAAGGCTCACTGCTTGCGCTCGCTGGGCCTTCTGTCCCTACTCCTGAATCTGCTGCCGCTGCGAGATTGCCTCCTCTTGTCACTCGGCTGCTGAGCAACCGCTCGAGCGGAGACCTTCCCTACTTCCCTTTCGTCTTGCGCATGCCGCAGTCGCCGCTCGATGGCATCCTTTGCTGCGGCTGAAAAAAAGGGCTCACAGCACCGCGTGAAGTCGCGATTTCAAAGGCGAATCCAAGGCGCAAACGCACCGCAAAAGGAGACAAAGACGAACCCCGGCACCAGGATAGAAAGGAACGGATGCAAAGACAATACAGCTACGCGCCAGGCACCGTGCAGCAAGCAAAGACATGCAGACATGTGCGGCGGGAAGCCGCACCGCGAGAATAGGGAGCTCCCGATTCTCACCAATTCTCTTGTCTCTGAGCTCCACTTGTTCCTTCTGTTGCTCAGGAGACTGAAGGAGCTGCTGCTGCTGCTTGATCTGCGAGAGAATGGGGGGAGCGGGAACCTCGAACAAAACACCATCTGGGTCCCTGAACTCTACCAAGGAGCCGGATTTTTTCACGCTGCACGAGAACAGCGCAGCATTCAAATGCAGAGCCTAGAGGTGGCCTCTTTCGAGAGGCGAAATAGCGTCTGTCTGAACGCGCGAGCCACAAGCAGGGTGCACAGCGGTGAAGACTCAGCAGACACACATGCATGTGTGTGTCAGCCTAGAGTAAGTCGCAGTGAGAGAAAGCGGCAAAGAGACGGGTGCAGTTGACCACTCATACATGCACACAAACACACACCACTATCAAAAAGAAACTCACGTTCGAAGAATATGTTAGACGCAAGCAGGAGGAAAAACACATCAAGACGGACTGCAATATGCAGAATGAGGGCAAGCTTGTGCTAGAGCCTACGTGAGGACTGAGGAACCAATGTTCTTGCCATCCAAGGCTAGCACACCAGCGGCTTCTTGGGCGTTCTCGAATTCCACGATGGCATATCTGCGGGGAGATTCACAAAGCACTACCGATAGACAACATGATTGGGAAGGATAACTAACACCTGCCACGAATTTGTGCCATAAATGCGTGAAGCCACATCTCCACGGCACGCCAGCGAACGAAGGGGCAGGGATTGAAGGTTGATTTATGTATGTCGACAACTTCGGGCATACTTTGGCTTGCTAGTGTTCGTGGAGAGTCTAATGGCAACGACTTTGGCGAGGTCGTTGAGGAGGAGGCTGACCTCCTTCTCATCATACTGCGGCACACAGATAGAGCCACCGAAGCTTCGAGCTTGCAATGCACACATAACGCCTACAGCACGAGGCCCTTCTCTCAGCAGCCTAATCTCGTAAATTAGTCTCTCCCACGACGAAGAACGGAGGCACCCTGAACAGCAAGTGGCGAGGGAAGAAACAGGCACACACCCAGGAAGGCAGCAAAACAAAACCGACACCTATTTGTAGCAAAAGTTCGGCCATAGATAAGCGCGGGAGAATCTCTGCGCAGCTCCTTCCATGTCTGCCTTCCTTACCTCCTCAGGAAATCCCTGAACGAAACATGTCCTCTCCAACTGGTCAGCCTCAGGCTCCGCCACGAGAACTCCAGAGACAAGCGACTGAGCAGGAGGCAACCGGCCGTCTACTGCTGTAACCGCGACTCCCAAGCCCAACTCGCTTTTCTTACGAGCTGCCAGCTGCTTAGCCTGTGCAGCAGCGGCTTGCACTGCCTGAGACACAAGCCACAAACCCATGACTCTACTATGCAAGTCATAAACCGCGAGACATCCCTAAAGGCAGCGACCAGCCCGTAACTGAAAGGGCCTCAAGCAAAGCAGACAGAAAGAAAGCAAGGTGTGCATGAACAGCCGCAACCAGGCGCGCTATCACGCCCACACACACTCAGCAGAAGCAGACCTGAAGGTTCGCCAGATGATTCTGCATGGCAATCTCCACCGCAGTGACGGGGGTCGCTGCTGGGGTGACGGCAGGCAAAAAGGCAGCAGCGCCACCAGAGACTGCAGCGGGAGTAGCCGCCGCTGCTGCTGAGTTCGCTGCGGCTATGCCAATGGCTCCAGGCGTCCCCGCTAGAGAGGAACCCCCTACTACTCCAGCGGCTGCTGCTGCTGCTGCTGCCGCTGCAGCCGCCATGCCTCCAATGGGCTGTACTGGGGGAGGGATGACGACGGGAGGCGCGGGGGCGGCGGGGGGAAGAGGCGTTGGGAGGGGTGTAACCGACTTCATCAGGTTTGCTGAAGAGGGTCCTGGCGCCCCAGGATTTAGCACAGACACTTGCATAGCTAAGCCGAGCAGCTCGGTTCCGTTCAACTGAGACGCCGCAGTTATGCCTGCGCTGTCTACGAACTCTAATTCGCAATAGCGGCCTCCGCCAGGCGCCCCAGAGGGCCCCCCTGGCAGAGGCTTGAACTCCACCCGGAGAACCTCGGCGCAATGCGAAAAAATCGCCTTCAAATGCTCTTCTGTGACTAAAGGAGACAGATTGCGCACATACAGAACATTCCGGGGTCCGTAAAGCCGGCCAAGGGGGCCTCCAGTGGACCCCAAAGGGGCAGAAGCTGAGGCAGGTCCCCCTGGTGCTGACAGCATTGTGGAAAGCGAGGAGGGGCACGGATGAGAGCGAGGCACTCTGCTAGGTCGATGAGAGTTAATTTGGTTCTTGTATACAGGAAGAACGAGAGGCAATATCAGGAGTCTTCCTGTCAGCAGTCTTCTTAGATATGTGTCCTACAGGCCTGTGGAGGCCCCTCAAGCAAGTGAAGACGGCAGTGGTATGGGGATGAAGACACCCTATTTTGCATTTAACGAAGTAAGCCTCGTGACATGGGAGAGGTAGAAAGAAGGAGGCAGTCTGAAGCAGGGAGGGGTTGGAGTTGCCTGTACACCCCGTGGCCCCAGAGGGGGAGTGAGGTGCAGCGTCTAGTAAGGCACTTTTTCCCGTTAAATCTCCCAATTACAATTTGCTTAGTGGTAACTTAACGCCAGAAAGGAAACAACCAACGCTGGCACCCAACCTAGTAGCTACTTTTGTGCATGTGAACTGGCCCTGCGCCAGCCCCGTGCCCAGCCCCCATTTCTGCGGGGATGTTGTCGCATATAAGCGAGGAATCATGCACGAAAGTCGCAAAGTACTGTGGTTCTGATAAGAAATCCATATTATAGAACCATAGACGACGCGAAATTATCCTGTCTTGTGGCATATGGCGTGGTGTTGCCTTACCGAGAGTCCCCACCTCATTAATGGAGAAATTATAGCAGCAGATTAATTCTGTTGCTCATGTGCAGATGTCTAGCTACGTGCAGGTAGTACAATTGAAATGCAGAGCGTGGAGCTCTTTTAGTACTAAAGAGACACTAAACTAGCCACCTCGAGGGCGATACTTGCTTGCTTTTACAATCAGCACAGGCACACTGCAGCGGGATACGTTGTAGTTAAACGCTTTTTGTTACACTAGCTGTATTTGATTTAGAATACTCAGCAATTGATCAGTCTGCATGCGTGTTCGTATACACTCATTTTTGCATAGCCCTGTTAGTTCCAGACAGGAAGACGCAATGCTGTGTGCGTGTACGCCAAATGGTAAGTGCGAATAGCAGTGAATGGTCGGGGTGCACAAAGACCGCAGCTAAAAGCACCCTAGCTGACTCTCTTTTATCACATCTGGAGCTCTGAGTATTGCGTGGAGGGGAAGGCGGAAGTTCTTTTGAGGAACAGTTGGTAGCACTGCATGGTGCGATGCACATGTTCTCCGCTCGTCGACTGGCTGTGCATTCAGTGGGATATCAGCTATACCGCTCCATATAAGGTCTCCGCAGGGAGGCACTTTATCCAAACTTGATGAAAAATCAAGAGGATTACTGAGCGTTTCTACACAGGAACGCCCCTCTCCCCTCCCGCTTTAACTGCCCACGCTACTCAGAGTTCCTACACGAGGATAGAGATATAGCTGGAGTTGTGTTGTGCTGCGTTCTCTATACACTCCTAGCATTCACAGGTAGTTGGACATATAACCTAGCTCGGACGTACACATTAAGTCTTCCTGTGTGGAGTTAATACCCTGCGAGGAATAGGATGTACGAACAAGAAAACAAATTACTCAATTTCTCACTAAGGCTAGTTCAGTTGAGTAGCGCGGTAAAAGCCGATGAACTATCCGTTGGTCCGCTGCATCTTCCTGCCCCCCGCTCTCCCTCGCTTCAAAGCACGAGTTATCGTAGTCTGTGCATGTACGTCGAGACCAGCTGCATGCACGACAGCAGAGGAGATACCGCCCTTTCGGCACTCCCCAGCCGGAGAAAAACGCAGAACACAGTACACATGAGAAATTTGTGCACCAGTTGCCGGAGCTAAATCGAAAGTAAGAAAGATACGCACACTAATAAAGTAGCGACCAAGCCAACACGACCCTACCCATCGACCGCTGTAGCCAAAAGGTGATATTTGTCATACATCTCATAAGCTCATAACGCGCCAATTAAAAAGCGGGGATACTTTCCACAGCGCTAATACAAATTTCGTCCAAAAAGGCCCACGTCCATCTGAAGGCTCAGATGAGTGGTGTGTGAACAGCCAAGCAGCTGCAACCAACTAAACCGTCGCATATATATGGCCCTTAATCGGAACACATACAGGAATCAATGAAGTGAGAGTATGTATACTTACCTTGTCCTGAGGACCAAGGAGCCACTCCGGGGCGAATACTAGGAGGAGGGATTGGGTGTAAGCTGTTGCAAGTGTATCTGGGTCACAGTTAGGTCCTTGTGTGAGGGTCGAACGTCAATGCATTTTTCCTTTTCACTTAAGATCTTCTGCTGCAGTATTGTGGTACTGGTGAAAAGTGTTTCCACAAGCCATTCAGATGCATACGCTGTTACCTATGTCTCGGAAGCATCGGCACCTCGTTCTGCCATTCTCATATCCCAGTGGAACGCGGCCGGGCCATTTAGTAGAGCTGTTGCAGCAGAATCGCTTCCTCAATTCGGATAAAGCGATGTGTCAACCCACAATAAAAGTTCATGAAGCTGTCTTAGGGAGCAAGCCAAACGCGCCCATTGTTACAAGGCCAAGGAACAACAGAGGCAATGAGTGCAGCCGGACGAACGGACGAAGAGCAAACTAGGGCCTCCTAGAAAAAGTACTACAAAATATATATGGGCTATGTGCTCGGACACGATTATTCTCCCCTTGCATATCTGGACTTCGCCACAAGCATGCATTGACCAGAGGGAGAACAAAGGGCAGAAGTTTGGTTGTACGGGTATCCTGAGGTAGACTTTCGTGCACTGGGAAAATGCCAGTGGTACTGTGTTGCAGTTTGCGCGAAAATGCGTAGACATGGACGCGAAATCGGGGGTACGCATTTCTTACATATTTCACCCTTCTTAATTGGGCCGTGCAAAGAGGAAGGCTGAGTGTTGAGTGGAGAAGGTTGAAAATGCCTTCACCCGGACTCTAAAGGTGTAAAGCGGTTCCCTGCCAAGCGTATTGAGCTAAGATGGTGCCTGTTTCTGCTGTAATGCCGGAATTCCGTACTTAATGCATGATGCCAAAATATAGGATGGATAGGCACTTTTCATGTAGGCATCTGAGAGAAGAAGCGACCTCCAGGATGCGCAGTGAAAGTGGATGCTACTTCATCGGTGAATTTTCTGTATTTGATGGGGCGCCTCTATCAAAAAATTCAAGTTTCCTTCGACGCCACAATTCTCTACTAAAATACACATAGCAAATAAATAAGCTCGGCAGACTACCATGTTTTGTCCAGGGTGAACTTTAGATAACCAACATTCGTTGGCACCTACTAGAACATGAAGTACAGCATACGTGGTGGTTAATCTGAAGACCTGAAGGGCACCAGCCAACTGTAAATGCTGATTGAGAGAAACTCGACGAGTACTATATCTAAAAACGATCATCCGAAAGGGGGAAACGAAAACGACTGGGCACATTTACTGGGTAGCCTAGCGACTAGGGTTTGACTGCAATAGAGCCGTAACAAGGCTATCAACTGAATCTTATCTTTAAGGTATCCCTCTTTAGATCCATTATACAGACGGAAAGATTGTAAATAGCCAGGCTTTGGGAAGGTCACTACACCGACTTTGTGTCAGTTTTACTCCAGCTGACTATTTAGTACGGTATCCTCCTGGCACCTGCATTCAACTTTGTGTCCAACGAAATGAATGAATGGGAGCTATCTGGATAGATGAAACCTTTCACTTGCTTATTAGAACAGACCACTGCAGGTGTCGAGCCTTAAAGTTAAAGGGTTTGACTGCCTTGTTCTTGTTTCTTTTTGTAACAATTCTGCCTTGCTAGCAGCTGTGCCGCCTAAAGGGACATTTTCCGTGTGTATCTGGCTTGTACTAGCCACATGGTGTTGTCCACCACAAAAATATTCGGGTTTTATGCAAAGCCCTGCCCCATAAGAATGGTTTGCTGGTTAAACACAAAAACATGGTTGGATATTGTCTAAGATTCCTAATCAGATATTTTACGTGTGGTAAAATCAAGGCTCGGTCTCCTGAGTGGCAAGCCTTGTAGGTCCTGAAGTACAGCACAAGTAATCTGCATACTGGCTTTTCCAACTGTGCCCACATATTTCAACATGTCCAGTACCGTTGTGTAGCACATTACTCGCCATGATACTGTTGTTCGAATTCCTCCTGCCGTAAGTTTTGAAGCAATTTGCGAAAGGGAAAGAACAACTTGACAGACGAAGATGCATTTACCTGGCACTACCAGACATTCTTCCTGTTTCAACAAACCGTAAAGCAGGTACGGGGTTTCACAATGGGAGGAATTTGCCACGCAGTGCAGCAAGTCGTAGCAATGCTTGATATGACGCAACTCAACTAATTTGATAGCTTACTTAGACTCTGTTCGAGCTCTAAAGTGACTGCATTTAGGTCAACTAGCATCGAAATCCAGCTATAAGCTAGCTCCTGCTTTGAGAGCGTCGCAAGGTACTTGCATTATGTCATTTTGGCCTACTTCAGCCAATACGGTATCAGTTACCAAAGCACCAGTTCGCATTTTCACATATTTCACTTAGTGCCTTGCGTTTTTCGCATGCATGCCACGTATTACTGGAAGTGGGACTAGCAGGCTCCATACCAGTGTTACTGAAATAGAAATGGTATGGCCCCTAAAAGGATATCATGGTCTCACTTTTGGATCCGGTGGAACACAGATACGAACACACTGAAACATATACGTACACTTACGAGTAATTGTTCCCTTAGAAATACAGAAAGATCGACGTTTAGGCCCACAATGGCCACTGATGCACTGTACGTAAGTTCTTCTGCATGAAGAGCCTTCTGGTAAATTATCAGGTACACTAGCCATTTTACAGACAGAGAAAATGGGAATAGGTGACTACACTGCTCGTGGGCTTCACGCGCGCTGGCTTTCACAAGCTGCTCCGTGGACGATGTGACTTTATGCTGCTTCCCTTTAATTGCTTTGGACGGCAGGTGCAACAGAAAAGCCGGGGAGATTGCAGTTCCTTATTTGGATACAGTTCTGAACTCCGCTCAACTGAGTACACCTACATCACCATGTTTTGGGAAAGCCCGGCGATACG